TTCAAGACATATTATGCAATGATAAAACCATTGGCGCTCTATTGTGGGTTTATAGGCTGGAACCTCTCAAAAGGTAGTTTTCGAAAAATATATAGATCCAAGAGACATGGCAAGAGACGGGCAATATTCTCACGGGGCGTCTCAGAAATCCTGAGCGATTGATTGTCTTCTCCATTGCTGTCCAACTCATCTCAGCCGTGAAGGCGCCAGTGCAGCTGGATGATGACCGACGAGCAGTCAAAAGCATAGACTCCTTCAAAAAGTCGGGCGTACGGGATTTGACTGGTGGGCAGTGAAATTTGAAACAAATCTGATTTGGATATGAAGTCATTTGGGTTTTCAACTCAGTTTTGCCTCCAGAGTTTCATGGCCAACAGTGTTGGCCACATACCACCACGCCATTTTGAATACTCTTGCGGCACGACTCAACATAGACTCATCTCGAGGCAAGTCCTTGTGCTTTTGGTTTTCGTTTGGGATACTGCAACACAAACCGAGAAACATAAATATCATAAATCAACATAATGAATTTCAATCCGTAACGCAAAAAAATATATGATTAACGCATTTCAGAATCAAGCATTTGATCGGAAGACACTGATGTCCGTGTGAAATTTGCAGTGGAGGGCTCGCTGGAGCTCTCGGTGCACATGGTCACAGAATCCATATCGGTGTCAATATCGGGCTCCGAATCAGGCTCCATTGCTACAATGGCAGTCTGCTGAAAATGGAAACGCTCGTGTCTAACTATCAAAACGCTTGTCTTTTTAACTCTCCCTCTCCTGTGGTCATTTTTGCAGCACTAATTTTGGTTCATGCTTCCGATATGCGTGCGTGACTGTAAAAACGACTCTGGGCCAATCAATTTGGTGTGGCTTTGGAAATGACATGGAAATACAACCAGTGCGAACACATTTAGCAATCTGCAGCCACTGAAAATGCATTACTGAAAATACATTTGAGGACCTGACGCATGGAGGGGCGTAGCATCCGCGCAGACACTCGGGCGACCAAATGAAGCCGAGCTCAGTGGGTTTCTTTGACACCGCACTCCCGTCAACGTATACCTCGACATCCAAAAGCTCAGCTAAGAATAAATACTATAGCAAAAAGAAACACAGGATTTTAACATTATTTGGACCATTTCTGCCAAATTTTGCCGTGTCCAACTGAGTGACGTGGAAGACTTTCCGATGTTGCATCTCTGTGCGCGCCCTCGACCAGTAGGCTACCTGAGGAGCAAGGGAAACTGCAAGATCAAACATCCATTGAAATGTTCAAACCTGTTTTGAAGTGGATGAGAGTTACGGAACCATTCAATGACGCAAACAAACCGCAATTTAAAGAACCTTCCTAACCCGTACCAAGCAGCAATGAACTTCCACGCGAAGGTTGCCACATGCGTGTTTTCCAAGTCAAATTTATCCAGAAGCTTGCGGATTGTCAACCCATGGTCTTCCTCAGTATTGAGGAATCTGAAATAAAGGGGGCATGAAATTTGAAAACAATGAAAACATATGTTACAAATTTACAGGACCAAGAAAAAAATATATCGCCCTCTTCTCGACCCAGCATCGTTTTCGTTCAAAAGAAACAGCGCTGCTCGCGTGACTTTCTGCAAGAACAGACTGTGATCCAGTTTACGGTTTTTGGAACGGTGTTCCTCCTCTTTGACAGGCTCGATACTGAGCCGAGCCAAATTGGTGTCCACGTATTGGGCCAGTTGTTGAACCAGTGAAAGAGCCAAAGGTTGTAACAGGCCTCCATCAGGTTGGCATGACGAATCGAACGCAAAGGCTATCAGGTCCAACAGTGTAGGACGGCTGATGTCAGAATCCAGCCAGTGATTTCGGTTCAGTTTGTTTATATTCCATATCTGGTAGACTCTGTTGTAAATCGCCCTTGTCCAAAGCAGTCTGGAATCAATAGTGCCGTTCTGGGCCGTGACCTCTGTTGAGCACTTCGCAGCAGGGTCACCAATCTGGGACACGTTGAGACAGATTCGGCCTTGAGTCTCAAGGATGTGATTGATCAGCTGTCCCAAAAAACGACGGCTTCTCTCCTTCTCTTCATGCATTCTTCTCGGGGTTGCGATGCCCCACACTATCCAAGAAAATGCCACAGAAGTAGTGAACATGCTTTTCCGCCACCAAACCTCTTGCTCTGAGTCTTGTCCCTGAGCATGCCTTGCTTTCATGGCACTAGGAAGTTCCAGAGAAGGCCACAGCAACTTGTGCCATGAGTTTACCTGTGTTCTCTTTCTCTCATTCGCAAAATGCGCCCGGATTTTGTCATCATCTTTCGAACTGAAAATGTTTTTTCCAAACCCAATGATTTCCCAATAGGCTTGAGCTTCCTCCTGGTCAGTCTTGATGACGGTAATTTCGCTATGTCCAGGCAGTCGGAACTGGCTTAGCACCGGCATTGCCGCAACTCACGAAATTGGAATCATGTGGAAACGGGTTTTGATTTCATACATGGGCGTGGTCTTACATACATAATCATACATGGTCCTACATCATGTGTGTTACATTCCAAGAATTAAATTATATAGTTTGACAGGAAGTAAACTATTTACAGCTTTGGATCTGCCATTTTTTCTAACCTGATTGCTGGGCTTCAAATTTGAGCCGCCGAGGCCTGGCAGGTTCCCATTGTGGCACACTACTGGAAACATTGAATTATGGAACACTAATTAGGCGTTATTGGACACTATTTGCACACTATTTTTTGCCAAAATAATTAGTTCCTAATAGATACCTATTAGATGCTTATCAGATACATGTTAGATTCCTACCTTTATGTGTCACTTACCACTGGTTAGTTTTGGCATGTTTTTGCCAGGGGGGGGGGTTCAAGGGGGGGGGTTCCAAATTTTTGTGAATAGATGGATGGATGGATGTACGTACGTACGTACGTACTGTATGTATCGGGATGGAGATGGATACAGATAGATAGAGATCTGATATAGACCATAAATGTAGATATAAATGGATATAGATATAGATATAGATATAGATATAGATATATAGATATAGATATAGATATAGGTATAGATATAGATATAGATATGTGAGATGGATGAGATAGATGATATAGAGCAATAGATTAGATAAGATTGATGAAAAAAATAGATGATACAAAATATATAATGAACATATAGAACGTAGACAAGATAGATAATATAAATAAGATAGATAAGATCGACAAGATCGTCAAGCCCGATAAGAACGATAAGATGATAGATAAGATAGATAAGATGGATACGAAGGATAAGATAGATACGATGGATCAAATTGGATACGATGGATAGATAGCTAGCTAGATCAATAGATACATAGATCGGCAATAACTAGATAGACATGCATATAATATATTTTGGGGTTTGAAGTTCTGGTTAACTTTGACATGCGATGGAATAGTTTGTTTATGACCCAGTGTGGCCTAGTGTTGCGTATAAACTGAATAAGTTCATAAGTCACCAGGGCTACTCTTTGCTAAGATGGCGGTTCATTTGAATAATATTTCTATCATGTCCTGAATAGTGTTCATGATAAACATATTCCCCCTATTTGATGGCGTAACCCTCCAAATAAAGATATTTCACCAATTATAGGGGTTTGTCTGAGAAGAAGGTACCCTTAAATCCCCTAATTCCTCTGCTTAAACATCCTTTTCCCTGCGAAAAATTAAGACACACACACACACATGAATATATATATATATGTATCCGTGTGTCTATGTAGGTAGGTAGGTAGGTTAGGTTAGGTTAGGTTAGGTTAGGTTAGGTACGAGTAAGGTAAGGTTAGGTATGGTTAGGTATGGTTAGGTATGGTTAGGTATGGGTAGGTATGGGTAGGTATGGGTAGATAGGTAGGTAGATAGGTAAGGTAGGTAGATAGGTAAGGTAGGTAGATAGGTAGGTAGATAGGTAGGTAGATAGGTATGTAGGTATGTAGGTATGTAGGTATGTAGGTATGTAGGTATGTAGGTATGTAGGTACGTAGATATGTAGGTATGTAGGTGTGTTGGTGTGTAGGTATGTACGTATGTACGTACGTACGTATACATATCATAGGGCAATGACCTCATTTTCAGACGCACGGCACCTGCATCACCTCTGCAGCCGATTGCTGCAAGGCGGGAGAGGACTGGGTCCCATTCCGCATGCACGCCAGCTTCACATGCGAGCCGTCCTGGCAGAAATGCCTGTGATCCACCGCAAGATATATTTTTTGGGCCTTGGGAAAGAAATCAGGAGAGGTTTGGCATTTAGTTTACAAATAGATACAAATAGTAATCATATATTTATATATGTATATATGTATTATATATTACCAAACGTTATGATCAATAGTTTACACTTGCACATCTATATCACAAATAGATTCCATATGTTGTGTTCAGATGTTTTTTTTTTAAGATTGGTTAAGGCTAAGGCTACAGATTGTTCCATACCTGCATCCAATAAGGAGATATACAGGGTGCAGGAACCCTCAGAATGTATGCCCTAAAGGAGGGTTGATTGAAAGGAAACATCATCACTAAGCCACTAAGCGCTCCCTTGCGTAATCATAATGGGCCAGCAGCTTTGGACTGCGCCTAAGGGCGCATTCAGCCATGTTTTTTGCAGTTTTTCTTCATCCTCCACTATGTTAATCCGTAAAAATCCTTAAAGAATGCTTTGATCCGTATCGACCCGATGGCTGGAACGACCGGGACATGTCCTTCCAGGCAGAGCGTATTGGGGGCGTTGATTTTGACCCAACTTTTTAGAGCCTGGTAAAGATCCATCTCAAAAGTTCTTCGGAATGGTCTATGATTATGATAAAATATGATGAACCCATGTCTGCTAAAATTTTAAAGTGACTTGGCTTTGCCACGCTGATTCATATGGTTGATCCCAAGTTGGGACCTCAAAATTGGATAAATTTGACGCTGGCCCATAATTATCCATATCCATGCAGATCTGATGGTATCTGCTAGTTATGCTAGTTGGATCATGTTGGATCACAGTTGGCATCAATTGGCGCATCCGGGTCCCAATAAGCGCCCATCTTCGCTTGTTTGAAGTCTACCTTTGCCATTGGTCCCTGCATAGCCGCAGGCGGCGAAGGTGCCAGCACTTCCATGGGGGGACAGGAATGAGCCAATTGTAGGTACAAATGTGCACATCATATTGCACCATTCATAACTGATAATGGAGCGTTTAAGGGTACAGAATTGATGACACGTTCTAATCTGACTTTTTGAACTGTGGATTCCTGCCAATTTCGTGCAGGCGCAACTAGCTACTTTCCTAAGCTTAAGTTGGCTAACCGTGGCACCCCTCTGTGCAAGCTCGGCCTGCTTTTCGACTTCGGAGGGTTTCCAGTGTTTTGTTGCCTCCTGGGCTTGGTGTGGCACTGCTAGTTACCCCCAACAAAATCAGAAAAGGTGAAAAAAATACCACTAGTTGCCAGTTATTACAAAATATTATCCTTTAAAATGGGGTTACTACAATGTGGGAGACCCAATACCATAAACAACTCCAATTTAAGTGGATGGTTTCAATCCTACCCGTTTATGGTAACGGACATGCCCACTGGATGGTTGCCCTCCTCTTGCTGGTGGTTGTTTTTAGCTCCGATCGGCTGCGGTAGAAGTCAACCCTGCAAAACATCTTCAACATGAATAGTATATAAAGTATAACAGTATATATATAAATAAAATATTGTATGTAATTAATCCGTTATTAATTGTGTATATATATATAAATATTTAATTATATATGTACATTATATACCGATAAATTCACCACTAAAGTCATAAGACCTTCTTAAGGGAAGGCGTTCTCCCCACTTTAGCGACAAAACCCATGAACAGGGATTTGAAACATATGCCTCGAAACTAGCTATAGCATGCTATAGCTAATGATACATGGGAAGAACACTGGGACGTCAAACTGGCACCCGGAGCACCCTGCAGTCCTTGAAAGGCACCTCTGGCCCCCTGGCGCAGGGCTAAGGTGAGGATCATAGGACATAGGATCATGATGAATCAGCAAATATCACCCTGTTGGGCAAAAGACTGCAAGAAATGAAGGTACCAAATTAGTCATCTATATTCATCTATAAATCCATATTAGGATCCATAAATCCAGGGTCAATCATTGTGGCCATGTCATGGCTATCACCCCGGTGCCCTGGTGCTACCCCTGGTGCTACCCCTGGTGCTCGCGCCTCACAGGCCCTCGCGTCATGGGATGATTTCCGAAGCGATAGCCCCTGACACTGGGTGCCAGGCCATAGTGCTCCGCCACCACTGCCTCCGCGTGTCGGGCATGGCAATCCCCAAACGATCACAACGAGAAAGCCCAAAATCCATTGCAAAGTTCTATCTTATTTATTTTTTTGGGGGGGGAGAGGATGGATGGGGATGGTACATGGTAGAAGCAACCACTTAAATTAGGTGTCAATGGATTGGTTTCAAATTAATAATGATATATAACTATGATATAAACGCCTCAGTTAATTTTCACCAGGTCGAACAGTTCACCCAGCTGATGGAGATATCTATCATCACCAAATCTGATAGTCAATGGATTGATTTAAGGAACACATCCTCAGGATACTACGTTTTTCCGAATCCAAATATACAGTAGGCGGTTCCTGTGAATTGGAGTCTGTTTACGTGAACATGTGCCGAAAACAATGGTCTTTGCCATGGAAAATGGTGGGTTTACTGGTTACTGGTTTACTGTACTTGTCTTACTTGTTGAAAATAGGTCTTTTACATCAATGTTACATTCTTTCACTGAGTTTACTGGCTTCAATTTTCCTTTAATCCACTCCAATGACTTTGAAACGAAATGGGAGCCCCATGAAATGATCCACGGTTGTTGCGGGCTTCCAAGCGTTCCAACCTCATCCTTGGACTGCATTTGTGCTCGGATGCGATCCTTGTCATGGTCCAGTAGAAGTGTGTGAGCCTTGCGGCTCCCAATTGGAACAAACGGCATCCTTCACCGTGCACACCTTGGCGCAACATCGCCTTGCGATGCTCTGATAAGGTGCAGAACATGGGTTGATGGTGGTTGAGATTGCAGTGAGATCAGTGAGGAGTTTCATCATCTGCAAACCATCAAGAATCTAAAAATTACTTAGGATCAAGTTCCGTTTCATTTGGATTTCATGCTTGATGGAGGAATCAATGGTTGAAATATCGTGGATCTTTTCCTGGCCTGACCTGTCTGCGTACTAGCCCACACAAACTTGCCCTTGGCAAGCGTCAAAGGTTGAAGAATCCTTTTCGTGGGTGTATATCTAAGATTTGACAATCAGATAGTAAGTCCATGTAAGTCCCATCATATATCATATAACTATTTCCCGGAGATGGCTGAAGCCTGTTTGAACAAGCAAGCGGTTCAAACACATGGCTTTCGCCGTCAGTTTCCGAGCAGTGCACGCTGCCATGGCCGGGCAGGCTGCAGCACTGCTGGATCATCGAGCCGGAATGCAGGATGGTTTGAAGCTCTAGGAACCCCGGAAAATTGTAAACAAGTGTATGGCAATTTACATCAATTTACCACCATACATATGTTCTAGGTATATATAATATAATAAAATAACATATAATATAATATAATAATAATATATATATACATACTTTAGATTTATTGAGGGCGCACACACACACACATATATATATATATATACGTGTATATATATAATTATATATATCTCTCTCTCTCTCTCTCTCGCTCTCTGTTTGATGTTGGGGGTTGGGACTTCGACATGGACTTTTCCCCGCTGCAGCCCCGGCCGGCAGCTGCCCCACGCTGGCACCTCACATCTTCTTCCGTCGCCTGCGAACCCATGCGGCCAGGGGCTGTCTTAAATCATCCCGTTGGGTTTTTTTCGGTGAACGCTATACCAACAAGGTATAAAACATATACCATCTGGTTATTTAACATAGCCATGGAAAATCACCATTTTTAATAGGTAAACCATCTATAAATGGGTCATTTCCCATGGCTATGTTTATTTACCATAGGGTAATATACCAATTCCACCAAAAGAGTGATAAATTGATATAAATTGAACCTTTTCATACCTTTTCCATCTATTTTAGAACTTACCCTCCACATCCCTCCAGTAAAACATAGCGAAGCCATCCTGTTTCAGAGGTCGACCCGCACCTCCTTGGCCAGGCCCGCGATATGCACCTGGCCAGCAGGCAGCCATGGTGGTTGGAATCCCCTCACCCAATTAAGAATGGTGGTTAAACATCAAAAATCGCTGGTTTTACCATCCAGTATGGTGGTTTTACCATCACAAACTTAAGTCGCTTGTTATTGAGTCTTGATTTAAGCATGAACAATGGTGTTTGTCCCATGTAAGTTACTGTGTTTTTTTAAGCTGCTTTGACCATACCGACATGAGGGTGCATACATGTATATATACATACATACATACATACATACATACATACATACATACATATATATATATTGCCAGCATATCATATAAATCTCAGGGATTTGTCATCCCAAAATCCGTAACCCCCAACCAAGATTTTTGTTCATCTTGAGCACCTGTGGAGCGGTACACAATCGATATGTGATGGATGGGGTTGTGTGACTGCCGATGGCTGAGTGTTTCAACTTGTTTTTATAAATGATAAATGTATATACTGCACATAGCGAGAAATATATGCACAGTTAAATTTCTGCGACTTGACTATGCATTGAAAATCATTGAAACAAAAACATCGTCTGGTTGGAAATGGCATCTGTTTCTATCAAAATAGCATCTGTCAATTGGAGCTGCGACAATGCCATGATTGGGAAATCATGTACAGCATTCCGGGAAATAATTTTATCAAGGTCAGCACAACACGTGCAGAGTTGAACACTTCGTGCAACATAGTTACGGTACATAGTTGGCTAGAGTCCTTACACTGAGCCACCAAAAATTGTTCTTTAAGAAAGGGCCCTGTTTATCCTATGGTTTTTTGAAATATTAGCAATGTTTACATTAATGTCTACATTACATGATAAACCTGTTAACATCAAAACTATCCCCAATGATTTGCCGGAACGTGGGATTTCAACATCCCCAAATGCCAGTTGTTTATGCCAGTTGCTGTTTGTACCTTGCCACATCTGGATATACCTGGATATATAAATGTCATCATACTTGACTAATTACCAGAAACGTGGGGCCATGTTGAAAGAATGTCCCAATCCAATATTTCATATATGTCTCATCATCATTTGATATCATTTCTACCTACACCCAGGTGTCATATTAGCTACCCATGATCGATATTTTCATGGAGGGTCTCAGTAGATTGATTAAGCATCATTTTCTGTAATGTTAGTACAGCAATGGTAAACCATCCCCAAAATCACCAGAAATGGGTGCTATAAACCATCAACACATGGGTTTATGACATTGCTATATTCCCCGGCACCAGCAACGCCACGATAGAAAATTCTCAGCTCCACGCAGTTCTCAATCGCTTGTCCTCCTCTGCCTCTTTGAAGCGCCTCAGTGCCCGAATCCATACTAATCCCACATCATGCCTTAGACATGTTCTGGAAAACAGAAACAAGACAAGTGGCTACAAGTAACACTTTAGAGGTACCAGACTAATTCTTGGGCCGAAGGTAAGAACAATCATAGACTCAGACTGAAAAATGCTGGCAAATATTGACAAAATCATCAGACTAAACCACCAGCAATGCAGGCAACAGCTCTCTTTTTCAAGCGGAGACGCGCTTTCCGCAAAGGTCACTTTCTCATCTTCAAGATCTTCCAAAACGGATCAAAATGGACCTACGCACAGTTTCAGACTTTTGACATCATTTCACCTGTAATTTCTTTAAAACAACGGCCTCCGCTGCGATTCGCGTGGCCAAATTGGGGAAATCGGCAACCTGTGTTCGCCTGCTCCATGGTCAGCTCCAAACTGCCACGGAAACTCCTGTCGGAAGGGATTTCGCGCGTAGAAGGAACCATTGGGACCATCTGCATAGCATTCCATAGCAAGATCAATTTTCTTCAATTTTCCCATCCCCTGGGGGAAACCTTTGGTTATTTTGGTTATTTTGGTTCCCACCTTAAACATCCTTAAACCAACCGGCTGGTTTAAGCCACCTTGACAATGTGAAATCTTTGCCACACCACACCTTGCAAAGTCAGGCGCTCTAGCTTGTTAGGAGAACCCTTTGTGTAGACTGCCCCCGTCTTTTTGACATGTCAACCCCCAGCAGCCCAGCAGGCTAAGAAACGACAACTTGAACCCCGCATCGACCGGTCCTACTTGAGGGTCTTCAACACTGGTTTCATGACTTCAATGGCCTCAGGTGGGTTGTTTGGGGGGCCAGCTTCAATGTTTTCAGGGTTTCCAGCTGCTTCCAAATCCGATCCATTTCCACGCAGCTGCACAACAATCACAGCCTATCCCTATTTACCATCTAGCCCTGTCTGTGATGCCAAACCAAGCCACGAGCGATGCGAAAAAAAACAATGTCACCCACTCCTGCTGCCCAGGCGCACTCTTGCAGTACATCATGGGCACTACGACCCACACCAAGTTCGAACCTTGGATGTCATGGGTCTTGAAACCACTGGCCGTGGGAGTCGTGATGGTGCTGGCTGTTTGCAAAGCTGTTTGCAAAGGGTGCTGCCCAATGCTCAATCTGTATCATTCTGCCTCAGGCCCAAAATGGACCATTTTTTGTATCTATTGGTGGTACCACCCGAAAAACGAGGTTACTGCTTTTCCCGGGTGGATGTTCCATCAGTTCGGCCATCTGGCAGCCAGCATGGAAATGTTCATCATAAATTACAGTACATCGCTGCTCACTTGGGGCCCCTTTTCCGGACTGACTTGAAACTGAGCTGATCCCACCAATGAAGGCCCACCACCAGTGGATGTTCCGTGGGCCATCGGTGTGGGTCCACTTCCATCCCTTGCCTATCGAAAAAGGATGGGAGGGGGTTGATCTCAAGACCTTCAGGATCTGAAGGCCCAGCTTTGAAACAAATGAAGTCCATATGGGTCCAGAGTCCAAACCCATGGAATCCTATTCTCTTCACCAATAGCTGGGATTTATGGATGTTCATCCCCTAAATAACAGGCTAGCTCATTTGACCCATTCCCATATGTCCTTCATGGCAGATGCATTGATGCTTTCAATATCTGTCAAATCCTCCGCTGAAACTATGGAGGTAAGTTTCCCAGCCATGCCTTTGTACCAGTTCATCCAACCTGGCGCCAGTGATTTGTGTGGTTCGCACAAGTTCGTAAGATGGCTACCAGGCTCACTCTTGCAATCTAGAACCTAGACTGATGTAATGAGGGGGGCCTCTCCAAAATTCTAGATGACCCCCCTTTGTTATTTCTGACCCTGTGGTGATCTAGTCGGTGGTTTCACCGTGAAAACATCTCAAGACTATGAAAGTGAACATACGAGTAGATATAGGAAAATCATGTTGTGAAACCAACAGCCAACTATCATCGGCTAAATATTGGCTACATCATCCCCACTTTATTCATCCAGCAGTGTTCCAAACCCTCTGTCGTCCCTACTGGCTGGTTCAGAACGAAATTCGCAGCTCATGCATTGTGAGAATCCCCAATCTATTTGATAGCATAAAGAAACTCACATAATAGTCAACCAACAGAGGTTTTGAACATTTGTTAAGCCATCAACTAACCCATCGGCTAAATATGGGTTAATTACATCCATTTATATCTCCACTTTGTATCATTTAATCATACCCTATAGCTCTAAAAACCTTCTGAGACTGTATTTGGGGTTGGCTTGCAGGCTCTAAACACCTTCTCAAATGCTATTTAGCGCAATAAATAAGGGTAATATCCCCATGTTATCATAGTTTACCCTCCTGTAAACGTTTACATCGACGTGGAAAACCCGGGAAACCCATTGGCTTCCCACATCGAATACTGTAGGTTTACCCTGGGGGAAACAATTGAAATACATTGAAATATCTTAAATAACTCCTCCCAAATAGGTGATCAATGGCTATAAATTCATAGTTTTTTGCAGCTTATCCCCAGGTGATCCCCATGTTATCTATCATAGTTGTCCCATTGTTTTTCATTGGTGTTCATTGTTTTTCATTGTTTTTCATTGTTCTTCCCCATTTTTATCAGCATTTTATCATCGTTCAGAGGCCACCGCGGTCGGCACCTGGGACCAGCTCATCAGCCCAAAAGACCACCGTTCCGAAGGCGTGGAGAGCGCTGACGACCAGCTGAGTGGGCCATCCTCGGCCAAACGTTGACCAGTTTTATCAGTGTTTTTGCCTTGAAAAAATTGGAATTTCATGAGATTTTGACCATGAAACATGGCACATTTTATGGGACATTGATGGGATTTCACCAACAGTATGTTGATTATTCAATATTTAATGGGATTTTGACTGAGACACATATGGGTTTCATCAACAACAAAAAATATCGAGAATGTAGTCAGCACAGCGAAAACGGCGAAAACGAATGGGGCGTTACATAAACCAGAACAAATGAGCAATCTTGAAAACCCTAGGTTCACGGAAAGGACATCCACAAATTTGGGAAGGTCCCATCGCTTACCATCCACAAATTTGGTGGCTCAAATGGTGCAGAATAGCATTAAACATGGAGATCTCATGGGGAGAATGTCGAAACCAGTCGAAACATGTGGCTCGAATTTCAGATTCGCCGAACTACCAAGGTTGACCCCAATGGTTGAGCCACTCAGGGATGAACCACCAACAAGGACCGAGAAGGGCTTTTCAACAAAGATACTATTGGGGGCTTCACCTTGGGGGGGGTAGACCACCAACTATTATATGATATATAAGAATAGAATGTGGTTTTATTGGGGGTATATAACCAGCAATATGAATTGATATGATATGGGTTTGTGTTGGGGTCGAGGCTTGCAGGGACTTTTTGATCTTTTTGTGCAGCTTCAATGATTAACAACACTGCAGAATATATATATATATATGGGTCTGTCTGAAAATAGCAGGGTACCCCCAACTCAATCAAATAATTCTATATGGCTTACCCTCTGGTAATTTAACATAGCTATGGACAATCACCATTTTCAATGGGAAAATCCACTATAAATGGTCATTTTCAATAGCTATGTTAGTCATTACCAGAGGGTAATCATGCTGTTCCCCAAACATTGCCACATTTTTTGGGAGACGCGGCAACGCCCAAAACTTCATCATTGCCATGTCACGGTACCAGGCGTTGTCCAAGATTCCCTCGCCGCAGTGAACTCAAAAACCACATTGTAACATGGGGATTTACACATGGTGATATGGGTATGGATCAATACCTATTAATGCCATTTTTAGGGGAATGAACATCCATTTACCAGCTATTTTGATGTGAACTACAGGGGTACAAGGTTTTGACACACTGCCATATTTCAATATGGAGGGGCACATGCATATTTGATCTTGCATGTTCTTTTTTGGGGCATGGACTAAGTACATATACATCCAAGTGGACATTTTTCTCCGTATACCATCTATCTACATGACTCAGCAACAGATTGGGAGATGTTTGGAAATCACCCTGTGGTGATACGTGGTGATGCCCTTTGCCCATCTTTGCCCACTGCGGGTGCCCTCCAAAAGGAAGCATGCAAACCCAACGAAAGATGTTCATCACTTGTTTTACTGTTGCATATGGCCACTACCTGTGGCCATATCATCTTTCACAGGTGTAGGACATGTAGATTGCAATCGAGAAGAATGTTTTTCAGGCTGATCAAATGAACAATCCCAACAACATCTGTCATTTTTCTATGCATAGCATTCCATAGCTATAGCCGGCCATCATATTCCCATGGAACACCATCCATGCCTTCAGCCACACCAGGCACAATGCTCCGTCAATCAGTCCGGCGGGGACTTCGACGGCCAGGACCACCTCACGGAGGAAATCCCAGCAGGAATCGAGGATCCCAATATCTACCTGGTCGAGTACCACTTGATGACAATCCCTACAAAAACCATGGATAAACACCATGGAATATGAATGTATATGATAGAAACCATTCCTGGTTCAAAAAACGAACCGCGCCTTGTCGATACTGGCCTTGGTCCCATGGTACTCGGCAGCTGGCTTCAACTTGTAACCTGTACACGTCACAGCTCATGGTCGAACAATGTCGAACACCGGGGCGACCGGGGCAAGGCTACCAGGGACAAAGATCTATGAATCTATGAAGCACAACATGTTCATACCCGGCAAGCGCAACATTCATACCATGTTTGATCATTTGTTTGATCCACCCATGAAGATGTTCCGTGAAAAATCCATGTATGTTGTGTGAACATCTCCACGAAAAGGATGGAATTCTACACAGCGAAGCTCCTGCAAGAGATCATGAAAGATCACTTAGAAGTGGGTCCTGGGTGGTAGCGATCCAAAATAGACCTCTTGGTTTTATCACCAAAACACTTGAAATCCAAAATTGCCGAACTACTGTGGATGGTGGCGAAATTCCGCACCAGTTCATAGATGGATATAGATGGTGTATCCCATGATTTATAGGGTTTCAACATGTTTCAACCATCCGGTTGGTGGTGCCAGATCTTGAGTCGTCTCATAGCCACCAATCTGAATCACTGGGCTGCCCCCACGTCGGTCGTAGTTCCCGTAGCTGCTGAAGGTAGCACACAAAAAATTCCAGGGTTTGAACCTGAGCTTCACCATGTTTCTGGGTGTAGCAGTTAATAACATTTATATAATAACTATATTGGAATAACAATGTATAACTATGGTAAATAACATAGCAATATTTGGGAGTATATAATTGAGTTATTCAATTCAAATTAAATCATATTGGGATCATTTGGCGATTGAAGCTTAGGATATTGATGGGCATAATCATGATAATAACCCCCAAACAGGATCCAAAAGGTGGGATATGGGGCCCTATCTATGGCCCTATAGCTATGGTTATGTAATGATTGTAATGAATACCCTCTGGTTATTTAACATAGCCATGGAAAATCACAATTTTTAATAGGTAAACCCAGGTAAACCATCTATTTCTATGGGACATTTTCCATGGCTATGTTAAATAACCAGAGGGTATATCCACTTACATCTAGAACTGGCAACTCGAGTTTTCCCACAGATCCATCCCAGCTGTCCATGGGTCCATTGAGCTTCCCGGCCCTCCCTCCCACTCGGCATAGTCAAAAAAGCCCAGCAAACCTCGAGAGTCGATGCACATCGAAATGTCAGCTCCCCTGAGCTAAGAAAGACATGGAGGATTCATAGGTTATGAGAAAAAACCATGGATTTTTGCCAAACAATTCAATCATATATATAATTATATAATATTCAATCTACAAATAGGAGATTGTCCATAATTATAGGTAGCCTGGGCTAGAAATGGTAAATCCAGTGGTTGGCTCAAAAGTTTTTGGACTCCTCATGAACTTGGCAATAGCCACGTTTGATCCACTTTGGGTTCTTTGGGCCGGACCCGGAAGCCGAGGTGAACTGCATTTCTCAGCCAAAAGGCTCATTTCCCAGCCGAAGTGAATGTAGAAGTTGGCTGCAAGCCATACCTTCGATCAGAATGGTGCAACTCAGCCAACACAGAAACACAATAACACTAGGATCGTTCAGTACACGAGACATGAGCGGTTGTGGCTCTATACCTGCGCACCAATGTATCAGTCTCCGATATATTCTGCCATCACAAAAATATATCTCGCACACTGTTTGACAAAGGTGATTAGCAATATATAGTCTGTCTTTAAACACCGAAATTTATTGAACTGTTACCCTCCGGTACTCAAACATGGATTACTGGAGGGTATCAAAAACTTAATGTGACCCGTTCCATGACAATCACTGCCTCAGTATTTTTTAAGCATCTCCCCTGGTCCAACCATGCCTTCAAAGAAATTCTGTCAAGCTCCAAACAATGAACCACCAACAATTTCACAATTTAATTTAAGTAGGAATATTCAGAATATGGTGGTGTTGTTTCCAATTCGTGTTATTTTTCTCCATGTGTCTCTAGCACCCTGAATCTATGCCCACTTCTGCTACAGCCAAGCCGCCATATTCCATTTCTCCCAGTAGGAAAGCGCCATGGCAAGGGCCCGGAAGCCACTGCGGAGACTTTTTCGGCTGGTTGGGCTGCGAAAGAAGAAACATCGCAGACAAGACATCGGTGCTGAAAGATTGAGCTAATCACAGAATCCCAGGCAAACAAGTAGAATGATAGTGATGGTATTCATAATCCCGATTCATATATATATATACATATGTGTGTGCGTGTCTTATAATGACAATCAACAATGCCAATAAATATCAATAATGACAATAATACCAAGTAATGCCACAACGCCTGCCCCTGGCAACATAAATTGGAGAAATGCATTTTTTCATCCCTTTCAACTGCCGGCAACAGAGGTAACATAAAAGATGAGTCCGATTGTTGGGGACTTGGTAGCCACCCGCAGAATGTGGTTCACCCCATCTATATATATAATATACATATACATATATATATATACACATATCAGCTTCTTTCTATAAATGCATGTGACAATCTATCTACCATAATCATCCATAATCCCCAACCAACATAGCTAAATATGAGGCCCCTCGTACTTCTATTCTGGATATATCATGATATCTCCCATCAACCCAACAGTTAACATCAGTTAACATGAAGTTACCCTCTGGTAAACATACAAAAAACTATGGAAAATCACCATTTTGAATGAGTAAATCAACTATAAATGACCATGAAGTTGTATAATCAACTATATAGATGTGCATTTGAAGTTGTATAATCAACTATAAATCACTATTATTTTGAATGAGTAAATCAACTATCAAGACTTCAGTATAATAACTATTACTTCAACCAACTCAGTTCAAAGACCACCTCGGACCACCGCCTGGGCACCGCCTGGGAGATCCCACCGGAAGTATTCGGCCTGGACGCCTTTGGGCTCCGCTGTGGCCGCTGCCAACTCCTCTTCTTGCTCTTCGGGCCTTGTCTGGTGAAACAGGAAGCTACTCAGCTGCAAGAAACATGCCTGGTGAAAAGGCATGATACATATAATGCGTATATAATACATATATATATGTATACATTAAGATATTTATTACTGTATTATTGTGTAATAAGTAAAGATTGCATCTGATCTGACCTCAGTGTGTGGGTCACATACAGGACCTGTTCATCATCCCAGGGACAGGTGTCAAATAAGGGGATGGATTCAGATAGGTCAACATTGGGTACCTGTACCCAGAAAAAAAAGTTTAGTACCAAACATGTCCAGTCCATCCGCGGTACCCTGTCTTCAATTCTGACATATCTTGACCTAGTCTCCCAGAATTGTGTTTTTATTCCAAGAAGAGTTATTGGAGAAAAAACAGGAAAACTGCTTTAGTTGTCTAGTACAGGCGTGTAAAAGGCCAAAATTATTTCCTCCAAAGTAGGGTCTGGGGTGTCCCCTAACATCCCCTAACTATAGTAATTCGAATCATACATGGTACCACCCGATCTTGGTATGTGGGCTTTACTGATCTGGGCTTGACATTCGACCCGGCCAGTGCCATCTAGGCGTTCCGACACTGACTCCCAGGACCGTTGGACGTTCCACATCTGCCAGGATGCCAAAAATCTGGTTGAATTTACCGTACCATCTGGTGATTTAACATAGCCATGGAAAATCCCTTATAAATGGAGGTTTATAGCTGGGAAAATCATCTATAAATGGGATTAAATGGGCCATTTTCCATGGCTATGTCAAATAACCAGAGGGTAAATCATTCAAGAGCCTGAAAAATGGTTGGTATGAATAGATATAGAGAAGGTCTGAGAAGGAAATACTTCCCCCTACCATGATAGCCAGTACTGGCTATCCACTATCATTGGTAATGGAAATGGGTGCTAAATGGATGGTCAGAGCCGAGACTCTTCATGGGTAAAGAGTTATGACCCTACTTACAACTGGACTAACCCATGATTACCCTGTTGATAACTGTGGTTATGACACACTTACTTCCTGGGTGCCTGAAGCAGATTTGGACTGTTGGACACTGGGCCGCTGCCAGCCCCCAACAAGATGAACAGCAGCCTGAAAACATCGAACTGCCATGCTGGAAACATGTTTTGGCTGCATCACTTGGAATCTTTGTGCACCCCGGCCCGGGTTTTGGACCTACTTACAGTGAGAAATGACTTGAAAAATGCCTTCATAAATTCAGATCAAATCTTAAAACTACATGGTCAAGATTGGTCAAATACATACCCCCCCCTTCCGCTTGAGAATTGAATATAAATTACTATAAATTGGATCTACGCTATCTCTTCCTCACCCTTTTTAAGGCACCTTTCGGCCCATGTCTTTGGAGCCGGGATCCATCACCGAGACCTGCGCTTCGCATCTACTTCGGTGGAGAAGAGTTCAATGGTTTAGGTCATGGGATATTGACTAATTGACTATTAGATGTTGGATGTTTCATGGGATCTACAACAAGTTTCATGTGTTTAAACTGTTTAAAACAATCAAAAACCATCCCAAATCACCAAAAAAATTGGTGGTAAAAAACAATCAAACATCGGGTGGTTTATGACATTGTTTTACCCACATTATTGAAGATTTCCAGAGCTTTGACCATTGGGGATTTCACTGTCAGGGAAGCGTTTTTACCACATGAACTTGACTCACCCGATCCATCTTGACCCATTGCAAACCTATATAATGTATATATGATATGTGTATATATATATATAGTAAAAGATATAACATATATTGTACATACCGTATATAAATCATATAGTATATTAAATATTACAGTATACAATATTATAGTTATAGTATATACTATACCATCTGAGTATATACTATACCATCTGGTTATTTAACATAGCCATGGAAAATCACCATTTATAATAGGTAAACCCAGGTAAACCATCTATAAATGGGCCATTTTCCACGGCTATGTTAAATAACCAGATGGTATATTATATATTATCCAAACGGTGCGGTAAAGTGATATCCCCAGTTCACAGGGCGAGCCTCAATGACCTGTCCCATGACCTTGGTTCCGCTCATCTGATGCGCCTGGGAAGGTCGAGATTTTTTTTTCGCAACCAAAGAACCGAAAAGGAACTGATAAGTAAATTAACATAGACCCTGGTAGATAGGGGTTGGAAGATTAGTTTCCTCTAAAAATTGGTGATTTTCAGGGTCTATGTTAATTTACCAGAGGGTAAGTGATAAAAGTGGGATATGAAATGTTCCAATAATCCACTATACTAAAAATAGTCTTAAATTACTGTTCTATCGTTGTGGGAGTTATAATATTTATAATTATATTTGATATGTAATAACCCTCCCTCGGTGTTTTCATTGGAGGCCTATGTTTAAAGCAAATGATGCACGGTAAACATGATGGATGGGAAGGGTGGAGCAAAGAACATCTTTGGAACGGGCAAAGCAATTGGGTTAGTGTACCCAAATACAGGTTGATCAGGATTAGTCATATTAGTCAGGCTAGGGAGAAATTGAAACCAAATCTTACTATAAACTATATACTTACAGTATCTAATTTGTAATAGTATATACAAAAAATGTGCTATCAAACACTGGCAGTGGCTTGGTGTCATGCTAACCCATTCGAAGTCATATAGAAATCAAGTATGTTGACAACTGGAAGCGCCCTGTGACTTCATGCCCGATGACTTACCGCGTAAGGACCCATCAAAAGACCCTACCATTTGGTGGGATAGCATATAATAGCACATAATAATACACAATAGCAATATTGTTCATTGGTATTTGCATTGTGTGTATATACACATTAATAATCATTAATACATATAAAGAAGAAAGAAACTTATATAAATTGTAAGCACCTAAGGGATCCTAACGGTGCCTAACCAATCATCCAAAACACCCAGTTTTTGAGTCCTCCAAAACGCCCTTTGAGCTTTTGAAGTCGAGCTGTGCGAAGAATTCCGTGGTCCTGGCGGTGAATCTAAGTGATATCATATCGCCATATGCTAGCGCGTGTGCATCATGTCCGTAAGTAATGTTAAGAAAATTGCGTCGTTAAAGGTAGTTAATAATGTTAATTAATAGGTTATATATGGTTAAACATACAATATAGAAAATGTGAGGTTCGTTATGGTTCGTTATATAAAAATTATAGAGGTGCAATTCCAATCCCGGCTAAAGATGCCATGGCAAGGACTGTCCTCCCCTGGAAGGATCGGAACAAGACCTGCGGAGATGTGCTGAACAACCAGCTTCTGGGTGGATCCAAGCGAAGTTCAGGTCTTTTACCGTACAAATCTATTTATATATATATATCATACTATAAAGCTATAAATATTATATATATATATTATATTATTATTATTGAATATATATATATACATTTAAAAAATGTATAAATAAATAATACAATACATATTAATATAAATATATAAGCATATAGAATCATATAGAAGCCTATTTAAATCAGGCCTATTTGCCGGATCGGGCAATGATCATAGAAATCTATGGCTCGGATCGGGTCCAGGTCCATGGCAGCAAGGTCCGGCAGGGTCCCCAAGTCCCCAAGCCCTCTCGATGGCATCGCATGACCTCGGCCAGGTTGCTGTGGCCAGGAAGCCCAAATGACCTTGATTTATCTTGATTTTGAAGGCCTGTTTGCCATTTTTCAAACACATAGAAATGGGAGACAGCACAGGAAACACATGGAAACACTAGACTTGAGTTGGAGCTGTACCTAGGCTCTTCTGACTGTGCAAGTATCGTCTGCACTGTGAGGTGCATCAACAATTGGAGAAGGATGAAATTGAGGGAACCACATGAAATAGACCAGGAACATGTGGGAAACACCTCTTCACTCATTTGACTTTAAAAAAAAAACATACCATATGAAAATGCACGCAACCTACATCAACCTACAACATCTCTAGTTTCCTGTTGGACATCTCCATTGCATCCCAGTGTCCCAAAGGTTTCTCTGAGAACCTCCTCGGTGACTTGAGGGCCTCACATTTGCAGACTTTCTTCAAGTTCACAAAAAAACTGGCAATATCAGCCTGATACCATTGATTTATAATATTATATATATATATATGTAAGTAAGTAAATAATGCTACAACAAATATGTTGATATTGGCTATAATGTTGGGTTCGTTGTTAGCAATGTTGATATCAATAGGTGAAGGCAATGTTACGCAATACCTGCAATATGTCTACCCCCTTTTCCCTTGTACCACGTGGATGTGTTTTCAGTTGTTAAACCTTGATATGATGCGCCCAACCTTGATATACATGTGAAATGTACACGCCAAAAAGTTTTAGCATGATACACCAAATGTAATATAAATTTGTATATATATACATTTGTTGCGTACGCATTTCATGTTATAATCTGTTAAAAAAAACAACGACGTGGGGCGAAAAACTGGCGAAACAGCTGGTTCTGGTGAGATACCCGGCTTGGTAAACATACAAAAAACTATTGAACATGACCATAGAAATAGTAAATTTACCCATTAAAAATGGTGATGTTCCATAGTTTTTTGTATGTTTTACCGGAGGGTATCACTATGGCATACAAATGGCATACCATTTATCCGGCTCTGCTGGGATCGATGTTTCTACTTTGCAACAGCTAAAAACATGACACAATGCAAAGATCCTAGGTGCTGAGGATGGATTGAGACAGCCGATAAATTTCATATACAGTATATATATATATATACATTTTTATACATATATATATATATACTGTATATATAGGTACACTTTACAGTAAAATACAGTAAATAAAATGCCGGTCCATGTGACCAACAACGAGGGTCACAAGGGAATCCCAAACATCTCCTCAGTGGTAGCCTCCCACATCAACCGTCCAGAAAAATTGAGCGGCCCCGCTAAGATTTCGGATGTACACCGAATTTCGTGCCTGGGCCATGGACAATGAATTAAAACAACATCTGGTGTGGCTTTGTCACGGTTTGTCTACCTATCTATCTATCTATCTATCTATCTATCCTATCTATCTATCTATTTATCTATCTATCTATCTATCTATCCTATCTATCTATCTATTTATCTATCTATCTATCTATCCATCTATCCATCCATCCATCTACCTATCTATCTACATCGATTTATCATTATCTACCTAACTCGCTATTCCCTAAAAGAAAAATTAAAAAACCAACACACACACACAAAATACATACATTCTCTGATGTAATTACAGGATTTGTATTGCCAGTAAAACACATAACAACCAAACACAACAAACACACATATAATCACATATACAACTTCATGAAGGCTTCACTATGATCATCGAAAAATTGTTTTATAGGCTTTCATGCTTCCAATAAAGGTTGACATGGACGGCAATCTCAGGTAGCGTCACCAACACAAAGAGCGGCTGGAACAAGATGAGAGAGGCGGCTACACGACCAAATCCCACCAGATTCCTTGGGTGGTAGATACATACATTCAGGCATTCAAGTTTGAGTCAATTTTTGCGTGGCTGCTCGTTCTTTTCACTTGGAAGGCTGGATGAAACCGTGTTTGTTGCATCGAATGAACCGTTGAAACAACGCCACCTCACCTTTACTGAGGGACTGGTACAGCTAACGGTGCATAGATTCCTTGATCACATCCCAATTTTCCATTGGCTCTCTACCCAATCGTTTGGAGAAGCCCCCCCCTTGTGTTGAGGCTTCCGCCTCCAAGTAGGGACCTTTTGATGGAGATATATCATATATCATGGATATAGCCATAGCTATAAATATTGGAAGCGCAGCTTGAACATTACCTTTATTTGTATGGTGAACCCCCTGTATGGGTCAAAACTTCCAAAAGGTCCTTTGGGTTCCAGATCCAGACATCTATATATATATTATATATATATATATATCGGAATTACATATATATATATAACATGTTTGTACACAAACATGTATATATATATAGATACATAGATATATTCAATTGGAGACTAACCAAACAAAGGGTCATCTTGAGATCCTTGAGCGGCCCCACCGCAAAGGCCATGTCAACGTGGGCGTCCCCAAGGTGGCGATCCGCGGATGCAAGCGGTGCGTTCTTCACACGGCTAGGATCACATGCGTGTACATGTGTATATATATATAGTGATAATAAAAATAGATAAACATAGAAATAATAATGATAATACTAATAATGATTAAGACCAGTAACAAGATGTAATAAGAATATTATATATATATTATATATAATATGCATACACGCCATGCGTGTGCATATCAATTCTATATATTGATCACTGCAACACAAAATGCAATAAAGATAATAAAAGTTGAAAACTCCACATATATATATACACGTCGAGATATCATAAGTCTACAAGTATGTTGGTTGTGTAATTAGTGGCAGGGTTTGTGGCCGTTTCATGGTGTCACCCCTAAGGCTGCTTTCAGCCATTAACACGGGCAGCTGGTATTTTTGTTGAGGTGTCTTCATGGGTCTTCCCTTCATGATGGAGAATTTTCTGAAGTGCGGAATCTTGCAGCAACTTATTCATTGAATTTATGGACTTATGGACTCTTCACCTCTTTTCAGCATTTTAAGGGCTCAACTGCGGCCACATCCTTGTCTCTTCATCGGCAGCTGGAGCCATTGGCAACGAAAAACGCTTCGCCTTTAATCCAGACTTGGGAGGTCCCAAGAAGGGGGTCTTGGAAGCAAAATCCACCAGGTCGGACCTGGCTTAGTTCGGAAGAAAATGTTCATGTTCCGCATTGCTACGAGATGCTGAGGAAGCCATTTCATCCTTCACTAGTCGTTTCAGCCGCCAGGTTGTTAGAACCTGGCACTTTCCCCCTTTTCCCGTGCCATCCCGTGCCATTTTGAGACGCCACCGACGTTCGCTGGGCGGCTTCATCCGCCAGCGATGAAATAGAAGGCCACGGACATCATGAAGAGCATTAACACGGCAATGAGACAAACCTTGACAGATGGGGGGAACCCCATAGTCAGGGTGTACCCCAATAGCTGAATCGTTTATTTATGTTTATTTAAGTTTATTTCATGGAAAATCATATTCAAATGATTTAAAATGGATGATTTGGGGCTACCCCCTAGGAAACCTTGATGTTCATCTTGGCTGGTTGCTGGGGTTCACGCAGCAATGAAACTCACCTCTGGCTTGGGGCAGTTGAACGCGGTCAAGGGGCTGGATGATTTTTTGGCGAAAGTAAAAGCCAAAGATGTTGACATCCCCATTCAATGATTCAATCAACTAAGACACTGTCAAATACCATGGGGTCAGGCCCCCCAATTCTCAATCATTGAGCTCAACTTGAACTCGGGGCTATATCCAAAGCATTTCAAATCGGCTCCCTGAACTGCCCAAGATCAACCACCGGCATCAGTATGTCATTCGGGCTAATCACTCCACAGCAAAAATCTCAAGGGTTCCATATCGAACGACTTGAAAAAAACATGAGTTTGATAACGCCTGTGGTGGAAAGCAACATATGACTCTGATGGCAAGGCGCCATCCTCCTATTCTGGTCTGCCCTTGCCAACATTCCTTCCAGCGTCTTTCCTGCCATGCTGTAGTTTTGTCCCACCTGAGGTCAAATCCAGTCAGTATGCCAGGAACGGCTTGGTACCACAATACCAGTGATGAAGTGTTTGAATAGAACTAATCCCATAATATGTCAAAATAGATTATGAAATTTGTGGAGGTTACCCCCTTGTTTTTCATAGAAGATTTTACTATATAAACTATGTTACATGTTTAAGGTTGTTTTACTGTTGGGTGTTATGCTGTTGCTAGGAATTATGTTGGGGAATTATACTTAAAGGGATGGACCACTACCCATAGTGACTAATAGGATAGGGATGGATTACACTGAAATAAAACAGTTTGTGCATCTTGTAGGTGTAAACAAGAACTCCTAACACATTTGGGAAATACCTGCTGTGCAGTGTGTAGAACTAGATGAAGAAGATGCAGACAAGATGATGTTGAAAAGAAAGAGGGCAAAAAATGAGACATGGGTTCCTGAAAAATCCTGAACAAAGTAAAGCATACAGAAGAGAATGCAACCAAAAAGAGAAATCGTGTGAGGTGTGCAAACGAAAAAGCACAGTGAAGCCCTGCCAGCATCTGGGAAGCACGTAAAAACTGATGTGGGAGGACAACATTCTATGATCTCGTGGGAGGATATGAAGGGGCAGTGGCTTTACAAATATATATATATACATATATATATATATATATACATATATATATACATATATATATACATATATATATATATATACATATATATATGATTATGTGATAAATGTTATGTAGTGGATTGGTGGGTATGATGTTATGATTTCATGTGGTATTTTGCTGTGATGATTTCTATGATAAGTTGTATGGAAGTTTGTCTTAAGGTCTAAAGTTTGTTTTTTTTGTGTGTGTGGATCTGAGTTGCAAGGCATCAGGCAGAATCAGGCAATGACAGCGAAGGCAGCTGCAGCACGGTCCCCTTTAGACCCTTTTTTGGTGCCGCGAATGGCGTTGTGCCAGGATTGGAGCCTTTGACTTGACCCACTGCGCAAAGATATTAGGGGCTTTCCACTACCTCAAAATGGATGGTGAATGGAAAATCCTATCAAAATGGATCTTTAGGGGTACACCATGGTACACCCATGGTACAGATCATTTAGGACATCCCCATGTTGGTGCATTGTGCGCCTGTCGACATTGGTGCAACTCAGACCTGTCGACATCTTCAGCGAGATAAAGCTGGTCAGATACAGCACTCTGACGCAGAAAAACCCGCACCATAGGGTTGCCTCCAACTAAGATGTCCACACAGCTCTGGCTCAAAGGTAGCCAAGTTCTCACATGTCATGTTGCTGGTGTTATATGACCAGAGAATCCAACTGAGGATGTTCGCCGGGATCACCAAGATCGGACAAATCGCCCTGACACAAATACACAGAAACTGTCTGGGGAATCTCACTTCTGTCGGGCCTTGCAGGGCCCACTCCTGGATTCGCTTTGGGCATTTTTCACACCAATACCAGGCCGAGAGTAGGAGCCACAACGGGATAATGACTGAGGTGACAATCATGAGGATCAAACCAGTTCGGGCAGCTGCCCCGACCTGAACACCTGGAACGCATCCCTGCAATTCCAAACAAAGGCATGCGAAAAGCACGCTAATCCCGAGCATGAAAGGCCTCATGCTGCTCCGCTTGAGACAAGTGGCAGCTTCATAGAGTTATCTGCAAAAATTACCTGATAGAAATTGTAGGGATTGAATGACAAAATTAATGCAGTGGCCTATGGGGCATGGGTGGGCACACCCCGTTCTATAAAAAAGAAAAAATAACTAACCCGAAATCAAGACATGTTATATCATTTTATGACAGTTTGGGATAGCTACTTCTAATCATCATTCCAGTGACGTCGCAGTGAGGTCGGTACTATTTATATATACCCTCTGGTAATTTAATGTAGCTATTGAAAATGGCAATTTATAGTGAGTTTTCCCATTAAACATTGTGATACATTGTGATTTTCCATAGTTATGTTAGTTTACCAGAGGGTAGTCTATTTATCCAAATGTAATAAGTTAATTCATGACTAAATCAAGGTTTCATTTGGTGAAAAGGGATGGTTTTCATGACATGTGTCACTTCCGTCACATTTCCCCCCTGGTAAACTAACATTAGCAATGGACAATCACACTTTTTACTATGTAGATCAACTATAAATGCATGACCATGTTCAATAGCTCTATTAAATTACCAGAGAGTATTCCAATTATCCATTATTCATCCATTACTGTTGGATACTGTTGGTCATTGTTCCATTCTCAACCATCATTAGCCAGTATTAACCATTACTATCCCATCAATTACCAGGGTAACACAACTATCCATTACAAGTGTCACGTTTCAAAAAAAAAATATTAAATATGGATACACTGGATTATGATATTAATGAATCATTATAATCAATATATAATCAATATATAATCATTGTTTTCCAAAATGGATACATTATTACAGCATCCATTATTATAATCCATTATTATAATACATTGTTATAATCCATTATTACAATCCATTATCATAATCAATTATTATTATCCATTATTATTATCCATTATTATTATCCATTAATCCATTATTATTATCCACTATTCTTATCAATTATCATTATCCATTATTATTATCCATTATTATTATCCATTATTATAATCCATTATTATTATCCATTATTATCCATTGTAATCCATTATAATTCATTATAATTCATTATAATCCATTATAATCCATTGTAATCCATTGTAATCCATTATCCATTATTATCCATTATAATCAAAATGATGTGTCACGTTTTTATAATATCATGACGGATACACTGGATTGTGATATTAATGAATCATTGATTATAATCATTATGTTCATCATTATTTTCCATAATAGATATACAGTATATTTCATTATAATCCATTATTATCCATGATTATCCATGATAATCAATGACCACTTTCAATAGTTCCGCTAACCAAAGGGGCCCTGTGTCACTAAGATCGCCCTTCACCTTGCCCATATTGTCGCGGCTGCGTTCGATGGTTTCACGCTGGAGCCGTAGGTCTCCCATGACGTCCAGCCTTGGGATGTTCGAAGGCAGGGAGGAGGCGCAGAACCCCCAGCAAAATGGTGATTAGCCTCTGGTAAACGTTTACATAACTATGGAAAATCAGCATTTTTGATGGGTAAATCAATCACTATCTTTTCTTTTGGGTAAACGTTTCATTACATGACTATGGCTATGGAAAACTGGTTGGTGGTATACCTACCCCTCTGAAAAATATGAATGTCAGTTGATGTCAGTTGGGATGAGTATTCCCAATATATGGAAAACTAGAAAATGTTTGAAACCACCAACCAGCTATGGAAAATCACAATTTTTAATGGGTAAATCTGCAAAATCAATCACTAGTGTTTTTATGGGTAAATCAACTATTTCTATGGGCCATTTTCAATAGCTATGTTTGTTTACCAAAGGGCATATTGGGGTCATCTTCCTGAATTGTTGGGTGAAATGAAGAAGAACAAATGAATTCAAATGAAAACATCAGCCAGAAGTTCCATGCTTCACACTGGACCTGATGGATCTATGTAAATTCATAGTGCTGGAACATGGCTTCCGTCCAGCATGTGTGGACCGTGTCAGGCCTTCACTTCAGAAAATAACACACATTCATTGGCATACCTCCAAAATTCCACCAAATTCTATCAATCACAAACATGAAAACCATGTAATTACATAGCTGAATGGCAAAATATCATAGTTTTCCTCATCATAAATTGCGATAAATTGGTGGTATACCATGTTATACCGTATAGCTGAATGGCAAAATATCATAATTTTCCTCATCATAAATTGTGATAAATTGGTGGTACACCATGTTATACCGTATACATCCGTATACCGTATACCATATACCACATTGTCAGAGACACCCAAAATTAAAATCCAATATGATGGGTGATATATCATTCCATATATATCCCCATTATATCCCAATCTTCATCACCAATGCTTGCTATTTTGTTAAGGTCAACAGCAGCACCAGCTGATGGCTGGCAACCCAATCTGCTCTGAATCCAGGACTGTTCGCTTGGCCTCTTGCAGCTTTCCTCGGCGAATCATCAACCAATAGGGGTTCAACTGCCCAAACAGGGACAGCCACTCGCTATAGAAGATACGGTAAGTAGAAATCTGAATTGGGCATGGTTCCCAATATACTATGCAACTATGTAATATTGTGTGCTGGCTTGTTCTGGCTCCCAATTTAAAAAACCTTGGTAAACCGTGGTAAACCCAAAAAATAAATTATCCCATTGAGCAAACATTTGGAGGTCATTGCAAATCATCCTATTTTAAGGGCATACCCAATAACAAGACAGAACAAGACTAATCAAACTCCAGTTAGGGAGGGTTTATTCTGGGTTTACCTTGTTAAAGTCGTTCCAATTAAAGTTAGCCCATTTTGAACCCAGCAGCGCGAGGCGTCCATCATGGACTGGTTCATGTCCTCGGCCCTGCCGTGCTCATCCGCAGATTTTCCCAGCACCGACGCCGATGCGTCGCCCAGCAGGACCTCACGATTCCGGGCCTCCTTCTGTTTCCGACGCTCGCTGACCGAGGCTTTGAAGCCCTTGATCTTCTCCTTTGAAACAAAAAGAGTCGGGAGAAGCCACAGAACGCTACTTAATTCCAGGGTTGGTTCCACAATTGGCTATATAAGTTGGCTTATAGCTGGGTGAACTGTTGGCTTAATGATAGATATATCGCACTATGTCTCATGGGAATTATCCGGTTATAAAGTTATACACCAACAAACATTTCACGGGGGGGGCACCTTTCTATGACTAACACACCAATGTCTATGGTCTATGGTTTTTGTCACCATGTTCTGGAGTTCAATCATGTTAAATCACCATTTTCTATGGGTTTTGGTCAGTCACCATTTTCTCTATACAGTTACCCTCTGGTAATTTAACGTAACGACCTAGCTATTGAAAATGGCCATTAATAGTGGATTTTCCCATTAAAAATGGTGATTTTCCATAGCTATGTTAGTTTACCAGAGGGTAAATCACCCATTTTCTGTGATGAAACCCCTATTTTGCTCCGGATTGGGGACTTCACAGCGTCTCCTGGAGCTTTTGCCGTGCCTCTGGAGGTAAGGCACGCACTTCCAGGTCCATTTGCTTCACAGCCTGGTGTTCCATGGAAGACCCATTCCCATCCCAGAAGCCCAATAGAATGGGAATATTCTTGGAAGGTCCCATCATTGGAGGTCCTGAAAAAATCTGTGGAATAAGTATAGTAAAGAGTGAACAAAAATACACACATACACACACATATATATAATATAAATATATAATACATATGTTTGTAAGTAGTTGCTACCCCATCTCTGAAAGTGATCCTTACATTAAAAGTGTTTCTACTTTCCGACTTGCCTGATCGGGCATTTAAATATAAATAGTTGGCATACATGTATATATAATTACATGTGCATGTAGTCAACACCCCATCAAGCTCTTTCAAACACATCATGAAGTACAAGGAAATTCGCAATCTTAGTAGCACATAGTAGCACAATATATAGTCACCAGAATATCTATCTGATACATCCCATCATCTCATCATGGCCTGCTTCGCGCCTGGTCCGCCTCCGTCAAGCGCCGGTCCGCCTTTCCCAACGCCGCTGCGGATGCGCAGGAGGCGGCCAAGAACTCGTCGGCTTCCGCCAGCAAACGGTGGAAATCAGCTTCCTGGGTATCTTAACCAATCAGACGCCACAGTGCTGGAATATGTCACCACATTTTGTGGTAAGTTTGGAGTGTGGATATACATACATACATACATACATACATACATACATACACATACATACACATACATACACATACATACACATACATACACATACATACACATACATACACATACATACACATACATACACATACCTACACATACATACACATACATACACATACATACACATACATACACATACATACACATACATACACATACATACATACACATACATACATACATTACACATACATACATACACATACATACATTACATTACATTACATTACATTACATTACATTACATTACATTACATTACATTACATTACATACATACATACATATATAGTACATATACATACATATATATATGTGTATTATATTATATAGTATATTATATATAATTATATTATATTATATTATATATAATATGTGAGCAATCGTGGAGCATAGGGATAGGGCTGCCTTTTTTGGCCTATAGCTCAGTGATCAAGGCTCCGATGGTTTCAACATGTTTCAACCCCCACGACCATCTGGATGTTAGCGTTTGCCAAGAAAGGTGATGACTTCAGCAACAAAAACTCTTGATTTACCAAGGTTCAACGGACAAAACAAGCAGGAAAGCAGCTTGTCTAACGACATCCCTGACGATTTCACTCACAAGACTCGGGACCCGATGGATTTTACAAAGCCCAGGGTCATATTCAGCAAAGAGCTCCGAAACATTCACGTTCGCATGGGACATGCTGCGAGGCTGATGGAAGTTGTCTCTTCAAACACGGTGTCCAACAAAAAAGTCAGAGCCCCCAAATGCTCTTAAGATTTTGAAACCCATTGCATCACATTGGGTTCAAAAAAATCGATCACGTGCCTGTGCATGTCAGTAGGTGTATGTAGGTCTCTTGCAGACGCGAATTGTTGGGGCCGGCCATGGCCGGGGGAACCTCTACTTTTCAGGGTTTTGAAGGATCAATCCTGACCATCCTGGCATATCCTGGCCATCATACCAGTGAAACTGTCTACTTGGGGTAGTTACCAGGGTAGTTGCTGGGATGATCCCCAGGGTTAATAAGTGGGTTACAAAGCCTTCTACTCAGGATAAATCGGGACATCAGTTCTACTTGAAGACTTCCAGCAGGGAACTTACAAAGCGAGTATGACCATACTTTTCGGAAGGAAAGAGGTAACACCGAAAAAAACAGCATTACATCTTGCATAGTTGGCAGGGATTGTGCAAATATTCATCAGCGGAATCCCTATGGAAGGTGAAATGGTCGTCTGAGGATCTGCAGGAAAATGGAATCGCAACTGGCGTGACACATCAGTTCACCTGTGCGCACTTTGCCATAGGCCTCTCGAGAGGCGTAACTGTTGCATAACCCCTCATGCTAAAGCTCTTTCAGAACTTAGCCATATAACATACAAAAACATACAAACACATACATAGAATCATATGAAACCAGGTCAAATTCAAATCCAGGATCTTTTTGATGACAAAGGCGCCATCCTGGCAAAATGAGCCGAAAGAATCTGCGAAGTGCACCACCTTGGACCTTGGATGATGATCCTTTTTTCGGCGTGTCCAGGGGAGTTGCCTGAAGTGAAACAACATGAGTCAGAAAATTACTGGACAAAAGTGCTGTAGAAAATTATTGTTAATTATCTTAATGATAATGTGACAAAACGTATTACTCACCATCACCATCACCATCATCATCATCATCATCATCATCATCATCGTCATCATTCTTGTGGCCACGGTGGTGGTCGTGATCAAAAATCTGATGATAATTGACAGTGAAAAAAACAAGCCACAGACCACCAGCGCTGGGCCCAGCATTTTCGCCACAGCAAACATTTTGCCAAACTCAACGCCCTGCGGTTGCATCCGCGGGCCAGTGCCTCAACCTGGAGATTCCTGGGTGAAAGCCTTACGTGGAAAATCCCAAAGACAAAAAACGAAAGAATCATCTATGGAGTGCTGCGTTAAATACGGGACATGAAATGCCTATAATATGCAAATGGATGTACAGTAAATGATTGTGTACACCATGTCATGTAATTATATATATATATGATTTCTATACCGTAGATAGTTCGATGAAGATACAAGAGTTGTCCATTTTTTGTGTCCATTTTTTATGCTCAGAAACCACCCAGAAACGGAAGCAACGCCTCACTGCTTAGCAGGAGATGCATACCTCAGCATCCTGGACGAGTGCTGCAACCAGTTGTTGCAGATCATGGGAAAGAGACATAGATCCAAACAACTCTGCCCGCGCACACATTTCCTATGCAGCTATGGCACGCATACTCCATACAGGAAGGAACAATGTAATCCCTCTGCGTCCCTTTTGTGCATTCCCGCATGTAAATGCAGCATTTAGGAAGTCATCCCTTGGTCGTCGCATTGATGTTCCTCCTAACTGTAAACGACGCCAATTCTTGAGCGTTTTCTGGCAAGAAGAATGGAAACGACTTTCCAGATTGCTCCCGCAGCTAAATTTCCCCAATTTAGAAAAAAGGGACTGCTTGGAAAAGTAGTAGAGCACCCCTTCAAATAGGTAAAAATGATTCCAGGAGGAACATCGAACATGAACTACCCGCAGGAGACCCTGTCTTTGTTTGCAACTACGCAGTCTACAGATGCAAATAAAACACAGTTTGGTGGTGTGCACCCATATGGGGCATGCATTTAAGAATGCATAATTAATCATATGTATCATGTATCATGTATATTACATCTTAAATTCTTAAATCATCTGAAGTCTAAGCTATACAGTAGTGAGTTGCCTTAAAGCGTGTGTGAATTAAGAACCCCACACCCTGCGAAAATGGCCCGGATCCTCAGAACTCAGAACCTCTGAGGTTTGGGACACTCTTTTATTTCCGTTCAGAATGATTTCCATGACATGCAACCAACGACATCAACGACGCTGTGCATACAAAAGAATAACTCTATGGCATTGTTGTCAAATGTTACTGTAACATATGCCAAATGGCTGACAATGATTGCCCCAGTTCAATGACTGAGGATGGTGAAGCACTTGTTATTGGCTGAGCATGTTTGAACCATTTGCCCTCTGGCAATTGAACACGGCTGTGGTAAATCACAATGTTTTTATATAGGTAAATCAGGTACATCACCAAACTTCACGGGCATGGTGACATTGGTTTCTATATCAAGCTCTCAAATAACCCGATTGCTGGCATTTCACGCAAACCATTTCCGATCTGATCCATGTCTACGTCCAGGTCGCTTCGCTCCACCAAAAAAATTCGAGGCAATTGGAGGGGCAACAGCGTGGTGAGTTGCCCCTCAAAGTGTTCAAACATCATCCAGCTCTTTCCATGAGATCGGAATCTTGTTCGGTGGTGTATATATTATCACACATATATATATATATGTGTGTGTGTGTACGATATAATATATATATATACAATTATATTATATATTTGTATTTATATATTCCACAATGTGTGTGTGTGAAACATCTGAACAGTTGTAAAACTTCTACTTCTTTGCATTATCAATAAAGGCAGGGGGTGGTAGCAGGGTCCAGAGTCTACCACCAGCGAAGACGCTCTGGTTTCCCTGGTGCTACATGGTCTGTACCTGCATCCTTTTCCAATTGGTCATGAATGGCCACCGGCTAAGCCAAGAACCGGGCAGATATTTATTATATTAATGTTGTATACCGATTAGTGTGATGGACCTCTATTGTGGAAAGTTTTTCCAAAATAATTTAGTATCCTGTGGATGGTGGGGGTGGGGCTTTTTTGGGGCAAGTTTTTTCTCAGATCCAATTTTTTTCACGAGGAGTTTTATCCACCTTTATACACCTTTCTTTGGGAAGACTTGTCCATTTACTTTAGAAAGCCTTATCAATGTTAAAGTCTTGAACATGCAAGGCTTCTCACATAATTAGATGCCTTATTAAACCCATGTTAAAAAACAGCTCCCAAACAATTCTTCAAGGGGCAAATACTCAATAATGTAATTGTTTCGATGGTACCCTATTGTGCACAAAAACTTGTTGGGGTGATTTGTTTTGGATTAAAAAGGAAAATCAGTTGAAAGTAGATTCAAACGAATTAAAAGTAAATTGGTGTCAATTGAAATCCATTCTTATCAATAGATTTCTTTGAGGTTTAAAAGGAAAATCAATTGAAAGTAGATTCAAATGAATTGAAAGCAAACTGATTTCCATTGAGACCCTTTCTTATCAATAGATTTCTTTGAGGTTTAAAAGGAAAATCAATTAAAAGTAGATTCAAATGAATTGAAAGCAAATTGATTTCAATTGAAATCCTTTCTAATCAATAGATGTCTTTGAGGTTTATATAAAGGAAAAGCCATTGAACGTAGATGGATTTCAATTGAAAGTCTTTCTTATCAAGAGATATTTTTCAGGTTTAAAAGTAAAATCAGTTGAAAGTAGATTCAAATGAATTGAAAGTAAATTGATTTCAATTGAAATCCTTTCTTATCAAGATATATCTTTTAGGTTTTAAAGGAAAAGCAATTGAAAGTAGATTCAAATGAATTGAACGTAAATTGATTTCAATCGAAATCCTTTCTTATCAAGATATATTTTTGAGGTTTAAAAGGAAAATCAATTGGAAGTAGATTGGTGTCAATTGAAATCTTTACTTAAGTTGACTATCCTAAAAATTGTTGAGGGGGGTCGTCTAAAATTGTCGTTTATTCAGTAGACGTAAATTGTTGAGGGGGGGGGCCCTCACACTAATCAGTAGCCAACATTACTATTTTTGCAATCAATGCGTGTGCATGGCGACCGGCTAAGCCAACAACCGGAACGATGATGATCATTTGCACGGATGTCGCAATCTGATTTATTCACTTTTTAATGCTGAACCTGTTGATGACTGCTTCCAACCTGGTTAATCTATTTTATTTGATTCTGGACCTGTTGATGATCAAATCCTACCATGGTTGTCCTTCACTTTATGGAATTATTTGAACCAGTATTTGCTCGTGGTCCTGATTTTCGGAACTACATCCTCTTGATTGCATACCACCTCCTGGAGATCTGCCTAGGGTCAATAATTATTCTTGTTTGGTTGCATGTTTTGGGATTCAGTTCCCATCGGATCACTTCAGACTTCAATGATCCAGTTCTGTTGGCGTGTGTGCGTGCGCTTGCCATGGTCGGCACATGCGATGAACATGGCTGAAACAACCCATTTTTTGTACAGCGCTTTATCCGCCTGGTGTGACGGTTATCCACTATATATAACTACCACACATGAATTAATGTACATTGATCAACGTATATGAAGATATACGTGTACATATATTATTTAACATACAAAAACAATATATTATGATATAAATATTATACTGTATAATATATAAATTGTAATCTTGATACATTACTTGCAGCTGATCTCATCTGCTGGATATTCCCGGCCCGGAAACTGTGTCAGACTCTTGCCCACGACCGATCAGCTCTCCTGCAGGTCAGGGCCATGCACTTTCACACCTTGAGCTGGATGAAGCCAACCAACAGTAGATGGCCTGTGGGACTTGGAAAGGATGTTAGGCTCAGTGGCTCCCCCAATTTCGCAAGCCCCCAATTGTCGGTATAGCGAGTTGTGCCCGGCAAGGAATGTCGATGAATGTCGGCTTTGCCTGATTTTCCATAGGGCACACGGCATAGCCCCAATTCCAATGGTTCCTCATGGTTTATCATCATGTTTATTCATTATTGAATTCAGCCATTTAATGGGGATCTCTCGCTCTATGGCCATCTCTAGGAGTCTCTTCAGATTCTGAAGTCAAAGGCAAGCCAGGCGAGGCTCCATGCCATGGGAAACATGGGCATACAATGATGTACATGTACTATAGCCATCTGTTTTCAGCAGCTTACGCAGGGCATTTACTTTATATATATATATATATACACATTCATATCTCCAGGTGTACCACTTTTCTAATTATCTATTTTGGGGTTGCTGAAATAGCTATTTTGAGACACACCCATGTTTGCTCCCCAAATCCTTCGGAGTCCTCAACCCCTGAAGGCACCAAAGAAATTGTCACCGCAGCACCTGCGATGCGATTTGTCTGCATGAAGGGAAATGTTATACCGCAAACCATGGAATTACCGGCCGAAAAAAAAGGGCCGAATGGGGTTGCCTCAAATATTTTGAACCTTCATCCAATTCTTGGACCTGCACAACTTGAGTCACTCAAGTTTTTGGGCCTCAAAATATAGGCAAAACATTTGCATTACGTAATCTACAGTATCTTTTTGGTGGGTGCTATAATTATATCATATACCCTCTGGTTATATAGCATAGCCCTGGTATAGATGGTCCATAGAAATAGATGGTTTACCTATATTAATTATTAATAGCATGGTGATTTTCCATGGCAAACTGAGAGTCATAACCAGATGGTAATCATACGGTGAATCTGGTGAGTTTCTGCGGTGAACCAATCCACCATGGATGTCGCTAAAGTGGCCGATTCCACCAAGCATGTCACTGGTCTTGTTGCTGGAACGATTTGGTTGCGGCAAAGGCTCGAATTCTAGAATTTTTGGAATTTATATGGCAATATATGGCATGCGGCATACCCATGGTTGTGAAACTTTCCATGTAATTCCTACTTAGGTGACCATACTATATGTTACATCATATCTATGCGATCCGCATCTCGAGAACAGAGCCGCCAAATTTTCGAAACCATCCTCTTGCTCCTCAGCGGTCCCTTTCTGCGGTGGCTGGTGCTATTCTCACCTTAGATGACCACACACTACCCTCTGGTAAACTAACATAACTATGGAAAATCACAATTTTTCATGGGAAAATCCACTATTTCTATGGCCATTTTCAATAGCTATGTTAAATTACCAGAGGGTATGTTCCAAAAAGTGGGCGTCTTGGCTTGATCATAGGACTGGGATCAGGTCAGAACAGCCCAGGTGTGAAACTCAAACGCGACTCGCCGCGACCGACCGAGATCTGATCTGCCGTGGGAACCGCTGATTTCGGCCCGTTGCGGCAGGCTAGCACCCCAGTTCCTCAAAGGAAACTGCCATCTGACAACGGAGTGTTTTGTAGCCTGTGATTTCCTGGGAAAGTTTGGGACAGAAATGGACAGAACATGAAAGAAACTATGCTGAGCACCCATATATCCAAGGATCTGAAACACAATATTTGACGGAGCATGTTTGACGAATTATTTTCCTGACAATTCCAGGTTAGTCTGATTTGTTCACAATCATACTAGTAAAAGGGAATAGCAATTGTTGTCGCTTAAATAAGGGACATCAAGTCCGAAAATTCACCGAAAGAAGGACCTGGGCAGTGTTGTTGTTTATACGTCACTCCTGCGCAAACAAAAACTACACCATCACAATGACATCTTCTGCGCAGATAGCTGTCTTGAACACGCCTATACGCAGCCAATCATACAAGATAGATCCAAATAGCCCATCCGGCCTAGGTAAAAGCCTACGCGGAGCAAAACACAGTTCAAGTATGTTGTTGTTGCTGTTGTTGCTGTTGTTGTTGGTGTTGCGTAACTCCTTTCATAAACAAATCTCACTGCTGAATGCTCACCTCAGATGGCTTCGCTGATGGTCTCTGGCCAGACTTTCGGCCGACGCTCAGCACTGGGGCGGGAGTGAGGCCTGGAGGATCCTCGAAATGGGAACCATGGCTGCAGATACATCCTTGTGACTGTTCAAGACTATGCCATCAACCAAATGAACAAAATATCAATTAAATCAAATGTGCATATATATATATATGTGTGTGTGTGTCTGTGTGTGCGCGTTTAATTAGTTATAATATATATATATATTATACATATATATATATTAATATTAGATATATATATATTATTAACATATTATACATATATATTATTAATATATTATGTATATTATTAATATATAATATATGCACATCTTATATTTTACAGATCGATTATATCTATATCTATATATATATGTATATAATATATCTATATCTATATATAATATATATATATATATATATATATTATATATAATTACTTTATTCCGCAAATAAGCTCCTCGCATTTTGGCAGGTAGGTGCGTATTCCTTGTTGTTGCTTGGGTTCTAGCCAGATCCTTCCGGCCAAAAAATTGTATTAAATAGCGCGCAGGCCGCCTGGCTACCATCGAATTTGCCCGTACCGAATTCCGTGGCTGGTGCAGGGGACAATGATTGATTGCGTGTAGCCTAAAGCACTGGTGATGGCATGTGATGGCTCCCGGATACCACATGATACCATACGTATAGAATTTGGCACGACAGTGAAACTTCTGTTTTCAAGATTCAAGATATGTGATAGGTGTCAATCTGGAAGACAAACTTGACCGTTCCTGATGAAAGAATGTCTCCCGTGACCTCCAAATGAGCTAGACAACCATGATCATCCATGATCTATACAAGGAAAACTTTGTTCAAACCACGGATAGCCAGGGTGTCGTACATGAATGGCGCAGGCAAAAACGGCAAACCCACTTCTGCCACACGCGACGTGCACTGCTAGGTCAACGCAAACACGACGCCACGTGTGACGCAAACGTCGTTTGCAAAACGCCAACGACGGAGTCGACGAGCAAAACGCAGGGCGAAGTCCTGAGGGCCAGCGACTACTCAAAAGGCTAATTATGGGGGGTTCTTAAAATGGGGGATCTCCAAAACCATAGGCTTCACTTCAAATTCGGATTTGGGGGACCCCGATTCTAGGAAACCTCCAATTATGCTTTGACACACTGCAACATGCTTTGACATACTTTCACCAGGTGTAGGAATGGTTTAGGTAAGCAATCAGTTTGAGGAACAAAATGTGAAGTGTTGCTGCGGATATTTCAAGTTGTTCGAAAGGACCCCAATGTAATCCCGGTGATTCACTTGGGCTCACCTGAGTCTGCACCCCCCTCCTATCCATCACATGGGTCAACTAGTAAAACAATCTCACAAAAGTTTAAAGCACACATCTGCATACATCATACAGGTCCCTAAAAATTGTCAGGTCTAAATCTAATATATCACCATCAAAATGGGATTGCATACTCTTTACGGAGTGAGACTGCAGCAGCATTGGTCTTTCAGCCATCTTACAAGTACAAAATAGCGGCTGGGCGCATCTTTTGTTGAATGTGCAACATGACATGTTCATGATGCAACATGCAGTTGATGTATACTGTAATATGTTAATAAATAATTCATAATACATATATATATATATATTCTGACCCAAGTATCTACACACTGAACCATGCACATCCGATCCCAAAATCTCATTCCAGGCCGAGGTCATCCAAGCGACCGCCATAAAGCGGCTGACGACTACGCCTCGCCCAGAAGTCGTGAGAATCTTGAGGAATCACGTGCTGTCACCGGTGAATCTGGATCTAATTATATCTAACTATATTAGATAATATTACATAATATTATACGTATATATATATATTATAATAATAATAATTATATATATATATTATTATATATAGAGATGTTTACATATCAAACGACTTTACACATCAACAACAAAAAACCTCCTCAAAGTGCCTCAGAGTCCCTACGCTGTATTAATACACCACAAATCCGTGTCATTCCTGCAGAATTGCAGCAAACCATGATATTGATATCAGTGTTCTGGATGAAAGCATCACTTTGGCGAAGCTTCCATCCATCACCCGTAAGGATTTTCGTCCCCATGTCCCCTCCACGATTCAATGCTACCCTGGAATCCATGCACCTTGGCTCCCCCCAACTCAAAGCCTCCTCAATGGGTCGATAGGCCAACTCCGCCACTCGGGGCTGGTTGTTCCGCCGCGGCCAGGCGCGCAGGCCTGGAAATCATCAAAACATGGAGCTTTTCATGGGAAAACCATGGGAATTTCATGGGAAAATCCCCTGCAAATGGCATTTTCATGGAGAAAATCATTGAAGTCATGGGGAAATTCGGAATTGTCTGTTCGATTTCCAGAAGGGCAAACACAACTATCCAAACACACTGCTTTTTTTTGTTGGTGTTTTGATTATAGTTTAAAGCTGAAATTTAATGGTCATGAAGGAGGCCAAAGGAATATATACATATAATAATACACACAGATCCCCTATATATATATTATATATATAATTATATATATATATACACTAGACTGACGAGCTGATAGTGATTTGAACGGTCCCAATCATTGTGGCTTGAAAGCTATTTTGGATTGTCATGCGCCGGCGCTGAGTCGAGGAATGTTGAGGACATGTTGACATGTGGCCGTGGATTCATCAGCAACAAGGAATGGAAACCCTTGGCACATCAACTTATCAACTTTTAAAGAGAAGGTTACCCTCTGGTAAACTATAATATAATTAATTAACTAATATTAACTATAGAAAATCAATGAAAATCACAATGTTTAATTGGTAAATCAACTATAAATGTCAATTTTGAATAGCTTTTTGTATGTTTACCAGAGGCGAATCCCCTCCAAAATCATCAATTTGATGGTTTGTATATGGTCGACCGTTCTGCTGGCTGCAACTTTCGCCCCTCCCATGTGACGCCTAAGAGAATTATGGTCACGAAAGAACATCCCACCACAAAGGATGCGACCATCTCGCTCATTTGGTGTGACTGAAGCTCCTGCGACTGCAGAAATCGTGGTGCATTGCTGGTCGTGGAAGATCTAAGCCCATTGGTTTTGATGAACAAAGGCGAACATAGTTTTCTTGAGGAAGAAAATCAATATATCCATACGTATTTATCCAGCGCCATGAACATATATATATAATTATTACTGTATATTATATAAGTTTATTTATGTACACATCCAACAATCACTAGAAAATATATTACTAGGTCAATCCAATCCAACTTCCAGGCGGCTTCCAGGCGGTGGCGATCTTCGGTGTTTTGAGTAGGTGGCGTGGCTGATTTTTGTGGCGACTCTCGGAGGAAGCGAAACTTGAAGCCACCAATCAGCCAATGAAAAACCCCATAGATGGATATAGACAATAATAGCCAATAATAGCATGAAACAATTATCTAAGACTCTAAGATTATCTGCATCTGGCAGTCTAGAATCATCACCTACCTCTCTGAGTTTTCTCTGCACGCCTGCGCATGCGCACGCAGGGTCTCAAACTTCTTTGCCACATTCCTGGGTTGATGATGGATCTCATGGACGTTAGCTCAAAAAGGGGACGGCAAGGCAATGTCAAATCATGTTAAATCCCATCCAACAACTATCATCGTAAGCACCCCATAACGGCATGCCTAGACGCTTACTATACAGTAAGAGGGGCATTGGATTAGGCTTCAATCGGTCGGGTCCAAATGGGTTTGTGAATTCTGAGCCTTGCTGATTGGCGGTTTCCTTGAATTTGACAAGTATTGGAACACGTTTTGCAACTGCTGGACCCAGACTCATGGCAAAATTCTATCACTCCATTGTATGATTTCCCCATAAAATGTGACGGTTAAAGTCTTCGCGTGATATCCCAGTCGCAGCTGCGAGGGGCCTCTTTCCCTGCCAACCACGAGTGGTTGCTGTCGCATCTCTGTCATCTAACCACCCCACATTGGCATATTGCTACACCATGGTATAGCAGGTGCCCATCTGACCATGCCCCAGAATGGATACCACAGGGCTTGGTAAATAACCTGATTTTTCAAATCACCCAACTATTGAAATTATTGGGGAATGATTTTCTCCAACACATACTTGAAAGTGATGTTCCAAATAAAACAAACGGCACATTTACCAACCCCTGAAACCCAACGGAACACGACCAGAACCAACGCCGGTAACTTGCAGCTGGACCACGAGACATAGTCAGGCAGCTCGTTTCTCGCCTGCTCCGTGAGTTCCAAGTGGCGACCTGAAACCAGGAAACGACCCCACCAAGAGGAAGTTGTTTGGTTTATAATGCCGTTCAACCATATGTAACCATATAATAATATTATTGTTATTATTTATGATTATCATTATCATTATCATTATGGTTATTATTATCATTTATCATTATCGTTATTATTATCAGTATCATCATTATTATATATTATACAATTATACATAAATATTATTATTGTTGTTATTATTATAATATATATATATATATATAATCTTATATATTATATATAGTATATATTAAATATTGCATAGTATATCATATATGTTATATACTATACATATACTATACATATATTATATTATATTATATTATGTTATATTATATTATATTATTATATTATATATTACAGAATATTATATTATATTATATTATAATATTTTTTTGTTATATTATATTATATTATACTATATATATACCATCAAACATATAAGACCTAGTCATTGGAGATATAACTTATATACATATAACTAACCAAGCATAGAATCCTGGGCTTTGGTTTAACGAAATTCCCACACCAAACCCACCTGCTTTGACATGGGAAACTCATCGACATGATTTATATGCAGAAGTTTGTACAAAAAAATAAGGAATAAACATCCATGATTAGCCATGATTGATTCAAAACATGTCAAAACCATAAAGGCCATATTTGGGGAGATGAATTGAGATGAACGTCCAGCTATACCAGCTAGATCCAGCTAGTTTTATGTGAACAGAAGGGTGCCAGGTTGTGACCCATTCCCATTCTCTTGTTTCAACGCATTGATTCACAGAAAAAAAATGAAGGAACCCCTGATGCATGTCTTTGTACCCAGGTATATCAGCGTTTCAAGGGTAGTGGTTCCCTTTCACCAATTCTGGGTGCGTTGAAGAGTTTGAACCCAATGTTTGATGGTAAAATCACCCATTTTGGATGGTTAAACCATATCAAACCATAAATCCCCCAATGTTCAGATCCATTCTCCAGTTCCCCTTTTTTAAAGCTAGGTGTAAGAGTGTAACACGTCACAAAAAAAAAGGAGACACCGAGACACGTCTGCGCCGCTTCCCGCCCTTTCCGCAGGTCACAGTGCAGTCGCTCCACCTGGGAGGGAACTATGGTCAAGTTATAAATCTGGTTGGTGGTATACCCTCCGGTAAACTAACGTAGCTATTGAAAATGACCATTTATAGTGGATTTACCCATTAAAAATGGTGATTTTCCATAGCTATGTTAAATTACCAGAGGGTATACCTACCCCTCTGAATAATATGAGTTCGTCAGTTGGGATGATGACATTCCCAACATATGGGAAAATATAAAAAAACATGTTCCAAACCACCAATCAGATATAAATGGAAAATCATGGAAAATCCCCGTTTAACATCCCATAACCAACAAAATCCACCCATATTCCAAGTGTTTTCTTTTGCTGGTTATGGTGATGTTCCATAGCAATAAAACATCAAGGATGAAAACTACCCACCAAAGATCATCCAAGGTTGGGGCGGTCTGTGTCTATTCTCCATCACCCTCTCTGGTGAGACTGCCATATCGAGCCTGGAGCCTGATCTATTTGTACCTGGAGCCTAACTTTCCACAAATGAAATCAAATGAACCAAGTTTACAAATGGATACAAATGGAGCAAAGGTACCCTCTGGTAAACTAACATAACTAACATAACTATGGAAAATCACCATTTGTAATTTGTAATGGGTAAATCCACTATTTCTATGGCCATTTTCAATAGCTTTTTGTATGTTTACCAAAGGCTATCCATTCCTGTGGGTCGACATCCCGGATCCGTCAAGGGACGTGCCCCAAACCGTCCACTCGCAGAACTTTTGTCCGCCGCAACGTCTGGGACACTTCCTGGGGCTGGGGCCCGGCTTCGAAAAAGTCCCAGAATTTCTTCCCAAAAATGCCCCTCCCCCGGCCTCCCCCAAAAATTCACGTAAGATCTAGTGTGAAAAAAAAACAAAAACATGTTGGTTTACTTGCCTTCCATTAGCGTTTTTATTTCAAGTAGACATAGTAAAAACTGCGCACTTTGGGGGGTTCCATTTTTCATAGAATTGGATGATGGGAAAATTTACAGGAAAGACCTATATTTGATGGTAAAAACCATGGTTTCCTGTAGATTTTCCCTTAAACCAATCCATTGAATTTTGGGTTGCTGCCGTTGAAATCCGTTGCTTGCCCTCGAAGTGTCCCAATCTCCATGGTGGCTTTCGGGTCGCACTCCTCACCACCTCAACTGCACGACATGGGTCTTCGACTTTTTTTGGGTGGAATCAATTTGGAATCCCTTGTAGTGACCTTTAAAAGATATAGAAACACATGTTGTTTCACTATTTGTTGAGGACTTATGTACTCTCCTATAATTTTTGAGGGGAGAATATTGAAACCCCTTTTTATCCCTTATTATACTGGTCCCCCATGCATAGATCCAATGCCCAACCAAGGGTTCTCCCTCGGTATCACGGGGATGTGATTCAGCTGAATCAATGAATGACTGTGCAAAAAATGCCAGAGAAAAGGACTGTTCCCATGCCTGGAAGTTTGAGGTTTTCTGTATTCTCTGTCAAATTAAGACTAAGAAAACAATGTATATATTTATTGACAAAATTGGACAGGATATAGCATACCACTGGGATTGAAACATCAATTACAACGCTCTCTCTTTGAATTATTCAATATGACACTGGCCAATTCTAAAGAAACCGCCAGGATAGCCCACAACAAGCGATAGAGTTTTCAAGAGATTCACGTCCGGATTGAGCACACGCTGTTTTCTTTAACGATTCTGTGGAAGCACCTGGCATTTCAAGCCATTTTTTCGCGAGTGTTGCCCCACAAATGCACGGTGGTAGGCCATTAAAATCAAACCTCATCTGCGTTTTCACTGGTAGGCCATTGCAGCTACCCTCTGGTAAACTTGGTAAACTAACCTAACTATGGAAAATCACCATTTTCAATGGGGAAAACTCACTATAAATAGTCATTTTAGGTCATTTTCAAAGCTATTTTGACATAACCAGAGGGTACCATCCCACTTCCAACACACCTCCAACACACCCCGCGGGTTCCCAGCCGTTGCTCGGAAAGTTGTCAATGTTCCTGCGATCCCAAGGTGGCCGCTGGGAAGTACCCTCCAGTCATTTGTCACAGCTATGACCATCCATGGTAAACTAACATAGCTATTGAACATGGCCATTTATAGTTGATATACCCATTAATAGCATGGTGTTTTTCCCATCAGTTATGTAAACGTTTACCAGAGGGTACCCATTAGAATCATTGAAATATTAAACAATTGTAGGGTACTCCCAAGAGTCTGCTCGAAGTATTCCGCAGGAGCCCCTTTGTTTTCCAAGGACACTCGGGGGGGGGTCTTCCCGCTGCTTGCCGGCAGGACTTTGTGATAATCGCATATAATCGCCAGTGGCAGCGTCTAGCTCATCCGCTTGTAGGGAATAATGTCACCCAATGAATCCAATGAGAAACCCATCCCCAGTACGGCCATAGATGGATGGTAGAAACATGTATAAATCATCCCAAATGATAGGTTCACGGCATTGTGTTTACCACCTTGCTAGTGCTGAAGCATCAAACCTTCCAGAAGCCCTTCCCCAGGGGTTGCCGCGCCTCACTCGCGATCGTTCACCTAAGCGGCCAGGCCCGACTTGTGATTGTCATTGCATGGTCGTCCCACGATAGCAACTTGTCATGATAGCAACCCCGGAAAAGATAGACAAAATGGAAACTTGGACATGATGGGAAAAACATCATCGAACTACCATCCTGGAAAAACACTTCTATCTATTTGGGGATTACTCAATTGATAAATAGTTAATATAAGAAGTCATAACTGGGAGCCAAAGGTGCTTGCCACACCTGCACCGCCTAGAAATGGAACAGCTTAGAGTGGCACTTTGGGTCATGCATGGTAATCCTGGGAGGGTCCTGGCACCCAGCTTTATAGCCACAAACAACTCATACAGCCTTTTTTCAGAATCATTAGCGGACCGCCGGCAAAGAAACCTGGAACTCAGGATGTTCCAATGCCGAGAAGATTTTACTAAAGAGTCGCGCGGCCTACAGCTGGTGTCAATTTTTTAAATTCCTCATCCCGCCCAAAAAAGGCACTGGGGACAATACATGACAATACGCATCGCCAAGAAACCGTTGCACTTGTCACAATCGCCCCAGTGATTCCAGCTGGAGTATTTGCAATCAATTGGTGCGGGGCCACCACATGCATGTCGTGCACATTCCTGTCGCAGGAAGTCAGTTGTGTTTCGGCCACTTGTTGGGGGCGTCCTCAATATCCAAGTGAGTTGACGCTCGGAGAGTGATCCAATTTGCGTACGGGAGATGGTTGCCTTGGGGTTTGCCACATTGCTAGCCACCATCTACCAGCCCATCCATTTTCCATTCAACATATAATAGATTACAATTACACTTGGTTTGTCAAGGTTCGTCCAAGAATTGAAAGCACCAAAATCGCGTGGTTCAGCATCTGACTCTACCCCCCAAAAAAAAATATGACAAACATGCCATTTGAGGAGAGTCTTAAAGAGTCTTAACCAACCCATGCGTTCACTTGACACGTGGATCCCCAGTTGGATCCCCAGTTGATCAGGGCCTTCAATTCGGCAAGGGCGCCATCGCAAGATTTCCCGCCGTACTTCGGATGTCTTAGGATCTTGCGCGTGCGCAAGTGCTCGCCGCCTGACAGCAACGTCTGTTTGTTTTTGAAGGAAGCACCTGCTGAACCCGACAAGGTATGGGAAATGATGGGAAACAAATCTTAAAATTCTTTAAACAATAACAATGACATTACAAAGGTCAAACTAATCTATTATTTGCCAATAACAACAACAATACATGTTTAGTGTCAAAAAAGGATTGATAAACCAGATGAGAACTCCTGGGCAGTTATGAAACTCCTTTGTTTGTAGTAGATCAACTCACTATTTGGATCTATTTGGAGGGAACCTCCCGATGTTTTATCAACCAAGGTCTATTCAAGAAGGTTTCTTCAAGTTTAGTAATGAAGTTAAGTCGTAGCTCACTTGAGTTGAGTTCTTCAGTTGGTTTGACATTTACTCAATAGCCATTTCAGGAAACTAAATTGGAGGTACTTACCATATCTAAGGCCAATTTTCAGGGCTAAGGGAATCTCCCCCACAAAACTATGGCCTGAAATATGGTATGCTCCCTCCATTTTCGGATCCTGAAATTCCCATATCATTGGATTGGTTTAAGGGAAATTTTTACAGTAGTAAACTCCCATATTTAATATCATGTAGTGGTTTAAAAAAAAAACATGGTTTCCGGTTAAGATTTTCCTTACACCAATCCAATGACCATAGATTTACTGGTAAACTAACATAACTATGGAAAATCACCATTTTTAACGGGTAAATCCACTATAAATTGCCATTTTGAATAGCTATGTTAAATTACCATAGCGGATCCGCCTCCGCAGGTTACGCTGCACATGCTCCAATGCGTCCAGTCGCTCTGCACACAATCCACCTGCTTGATGTAGCTTGCTGCTAGGTAGCTGCACATATTTGATATATGGTGCTTATAAATAATGTGTATATACATTTATATACATATTATATGTATACACATGTAAATACATACACATTTATACACATCTATGTATCGGTATGTATATATATATATATTTATTTATATAATATTTTTATTCATTTGCATTTATATATATATATATGCATATATATATGTATATATATATATGTATATGCATATTATATATATATGAAAATATGTGTGTGTGTGCGCGCATTATATACATACAATATATATATATGCACGCACGTGCGTCTGCATGAACAATACATGGTAACATTATCTGTGAATGATCTATATACAAATGAGCAGGGCAAGCCAGTTAAGAAACTTACAAAAATGCCAAGCAAAACATGTACGTGTGATTTACATCCAAACACTGGCATAAGGCGCACAAAGTTCAAATTAATCACTCTCGGTTCAAACAGTTGTCTTCTCGGGGGGGCACCCGAAAAGTATCATCAAACATATTTATATATACAGTATATATGATAGTATATATAACTATATATATATATAATCTTATGATTATAAAGAGTATACTCGATGACGCAATGTTTGTTCAATGCAATATAACAAAGACCCACTATTGATCTATTGTCTGTTTGGGAAAACACATGGCCAACCCCATAGAGCCATTGGGACATCATTGGACAGCCCTTTTTGTGACTCCTTGACGCCAAAGCTGCTACCAACCACCATCCCAAACAAACTTCAGCTTTACCCAAAAAATTGGACAGTTTCGATGCCAATCCCTTCTTGCAGATGCTCTTCACACGCCCCAGAAAGCTTAAATCCGTCAGTCTAGTGATGCCTATTGCAGGCTGAACAAGGGGGATGGGTAATACTTCTCGAATCAATCCTATTCAAACCCAAATGAGTCCCTCTATTGGGTTTATCCCACTTTTAACTGGGTTAGAACTGTTGTAACTGTTGATACCCCCCTTTCTCACCAGCTCCTTACAACTGTTACAACTAGATTATAGGTGATTACAGATCATTGTACCTAAATTATAAATATCATATATACCTAGATATACCTAGACCCAGGTTGCCAAGTAGGCATCAAAGATTTAAAAAATATTACCCTCTGGTAATTTAACATAGCTATTGAAAATGGCCATTTATAGTGCATTTTCCCATTAAAAATTGTGATTTTCCATTGTTATGTTAGTTTACCAGAGGGTAAATGTTCGCCCAGTTTCGCGCCCGGTGACTCGCAACGAAAAATCCCCCATCGATCATCGTTGTGCTCCGAGGCACCGGATCGCCACCTTCACATGCTTCAGAAGGCACCTCACCTGGACCACTGGATGGCCAGGTTGGTGGTTCCCCAAGGTTCCCCAGGAGATCGGTGAATGAGAAATGTATATATGGTATACACATGTATAGACTAAGTATGTTTAAATATATACTTAAGTAATGAATAGATTATAGATTTTCTAGATTACCAGGATATACATCATGATATATCTATGGTAAATCTATGGTATATCTGTGATATATCGTTGCTTACCACCAGCTTTCTGGGATTTTGAGGTGGATTTTTGGGATATCTGTGGGTTTTGGTATGAGATTACTGAAAAATGACTTAGAATGACCCCAAATGGTTGGTTTTTATGGGAGGTCGTTGTGATGATGAGGGTGGCCATGCACAATCAATCCTAGCGTGGCAACTGCTTGCCCCATATGTTATTCCATAGATGTAAATATATGCTGATAATGCATTTTTATTTGCACATATATAGATGTTTAATAGAGATATTGGAGATCATGTTCTATAAAATATAATCATCAATACAGATATAAACAAATAGACAAATAGACAGACGAATCAATAATTGTCCTATCAACACTCGAGGCTTTGCGCCATTGCCCTCTCCCCGAATCTCCCCTGGTGCATAGCTGCCTGGTTTGGGATTGCAGGCTTCCACTTGCTTCAAAGCACCCTCGCACCAAAGGCCCGAGCCTCGCCAGTGGAACTTTCAATGGGAAAATCGCATGTTCCTGAGAAATTTTCGGATGATTTCCCCATTGCCAGCTAATCATAATTTAACAATATGTAATATATGGATATATGTGGTACAAACCAAAAATGCAATCATAGTCTCACAAATTCTCACATGAAACATCGTGAAACCCAACATGGAACTCCAAAACAATCCAAAAGGGCCGCAGGTTGATTTAGCCCAGGGAGATTTCCGGGAATTCACAGTAGACTCAGCGGTACCAGCGCCTTTGCCATAGCTCTCCACATTTCGCTCTCGTTTCATGATGCCATTGCCTCAAACAGCAGAGTGAGGCAGTGCGACTGCGACCCATGGGAGCATCACAGTTCGAAACACCAAGCTGGTATACACGGCCAGGTCTGCTCAGATGTCTTGAAGAGCAAAAACCTTGAGGCGTACTGTACTTTACGCCAATATATATGACAATCACCTTTTACATCTCATCTTATGACATCTTACTACTATAAAGACTATATATAGGTAATATATATATATATATATTTCGTACGTGAAATACCGTGAAATTGCATTCTGCCAAGATTTGATCCCATGTTTCTCCTTTCGCGGTGCTTCAGTTCTATCATGGTCTCTACGATCCTTTTTTGGCGCGATCTCTCCGAGAGGTCTCTCGATGATATATCTCAGGTAAAAGGCGAAGCTCGTCCCAGAGTTCTTGGTATTTCTTGGTCACCCCACCTTGTTGAGCCATCAGTCTCTTTGTTCCTCTACCCTCTGGTAAACATACAAAAAACTATAGAAAATCAGCATGTTTAATGGGAAAATCCACTATTTCTATGGCCATTTTCAATAGCTTTTTGTATGTTTACCAGAGGGTAACTACCATGGCTATCCCTCCTGATTGTGGGGGGGGGGGACCCCCCCCCCTCTCGTACATTTCTGCATTTGTAGAAGTATTATATAAATATACAATAATAAAAATAATAATAATAATGATATATATATATATATGCATATATATATATATATGTATATATACATGTAAATGGTAGCCAACAAGGCTGGCACACCACCAAATATATTCCATCTGCATATTTTGATGCACATTATGTAATGAACTTTACAGTAGAAATTAAGTGAAACCAAGCTTTCAGCTGACTGAAAATGCCCCACGCTCTCCCGCTGCGATGCTTCAATTTCTTTTTCCCCGTCGCCATCCATTGTCAAGATGTTCCCCAAGATGTCATCTTGGAACCTTAAACGACCACCTTAAAGCAGGTGTTATGCTTGGGAAAAAGTGAAGGTTTCTTCTATGAAAAGTGCATGCTTCTGGTAGAAAAGTGGATGTCTCTCTAGAACTGCAAAGTTCGAACAACGATGAATAACGAAGCACATTACCATACATCACCTTTCCAACAGAGTTTGCGCAACAATCGAAAACGATTCCGCATATGCATTTCAAAACAATTCAAAGAGCCACTTTTTCAATGTTTTTATGAAAGACCAATTCTGACTCAACCTTGGCTTTCGGTCACTTTAAAGATCTTTAAAGTGGATGTTCAGGCTCCAGGAATTGATATTGGGCGTCCCAAGTTGATGAAGCGAGAGCAGCATAGAGCAGCCGCTGCTTTGTTCACAAATCAAGATGGTTGAATGTGTTACTGGGTTTGTCAATAAGTGAGCGGGTGGGTGAGTGAGATTGAGTGAGTGAGCGAGTGCGTGGGTGAGTGAATGGCAGCTGCTGCTCCTACTACTACTACTACTACTGCTACTTAGATTTAATAGTACTACGCGCAGGTTCCGAGCGTCTGCGTTTCGCGCGGGTTCCGCGCGTGTTGTTCTGCGCGGGTTCCGCGCGTGTCGTTCTGTGCGGGTTCCGCGCGTTTCGTTCTTCGACTACGGCTGCTACTGCTACTAATACTTATACAACTACTGCTATTAAATTTAATAGTACTACGCGCGGGTTCCGCGCGTCTGCGTTTCGCGCGGGTTCCGCGCGTGCGTTTCGCGCGGGTTCCGCGCGTGTTGTTCTGCGCGGGTTCCGCGCGTTTCGTTCTTCGACTACGACTGCTACTACTATACTACTACTACTGCTGCTACTTAGATTTAGTAGTACTACGCGCGGGTTCCGCGCGTCTGCGTTTCGCGCGGGTTCCGCGCGTGCGTTTCGCGCGGGTTCCGCGCGTGTTGTTCTGCGCGGGTTCCGCGCGTGTTGTTCTGCGCGCGTTCCGCGCGTTTCGTTCTGCGACTACGAATGCTACTACTACTACTACTACTACTACTACTACTCTGCGCGGGTTCCGCGCGTGTTGTTCTGCGCGGGTTCCGCGCGTTTCGTTCTGCGACTACGAATGCTGCTACTACTACTACTACTGCTACTACTACTACTACTACTACTACTAGTATACTACTACTAGTATACTACGTCCGTGTTTCGCGCGGGTTCCGCGCGTGCGTTTCGCGCGGGTTCCGCGCGTGTTGTTCTGCGCGGGTTCCGCGCGTGTTGTTCTGCGCGGGTTCCGCGCGTTTCGTTCTGCGACTACGATTGCTACTACTACTACTACTACTACTACTGCTACTACTACTACTACTACTACTACTACTACTACTAGTATACTACTACTACTACTACTACTACTACTACTACTACTAGTATACTACTACTACTAGTATACTACTACTACTAGTATACTACTACTACTACTACTACTACTACTACTAGTACTACTACTACTACTAGTACTACTACTACTACTATACTACTACTACTACTACTACCACTACTACTACTACTACTACTACTACTACTACTACCAGTAGTACCCGCACGAGGCGGGGCGGAAGTTGCCTTTAGGATATATATGAAACCTTTCTCATCTATAGAACTTGCATGCGCCGTGCGCCAGCCAAGCCCGTGCGTGCGTGCACTCTGCAAAAGTGGTGTCCTGTTGCACATGTCACATTTGAAGCTCCACTTCGCACTTCGCACTTCTCACTGCAGTCTTCACACTCCACACTACACACTTCACACTCCACACTTCACACTGCACTCTTCACACTGCACCCTTCGCAGTCAACACTTCACTTCACACTGTACTCTTAAGACACACACTGCCTGCGCGTCAAGCATCGGCGCGCAGATGCGCAGCGCGCCCTTGCGCGCACGAATGCGTGCCCGTCATGCGCGCGCATGCCGCCGGTAGATGCCCGTAGTCTGCTGTGTGCCCGTGCTTTGCGGCGCATGTGCTCCACCGACTTGTCCAGGAACCGGACTGAGGCGTTTATATGTCAAGACATTTTTAGGTAGATTGGTTGAGGGTTTAGGTTAGCGCTAAGGTAGAGTTTAGCGGTTTAAGTCTCGCAAGGTAGAGTTTAGGGTTTAGGTCTCGCAAGGTAGAGTTTAGGGTTTAGGTCTCGCAAGGTAGAGTTTAGGGTTTAGGTCTCGCAAGGTAGAGTTTAGGGTTTAGGTCTCGCAAGGTAGAGTTTAGGGTTTAGGTCTCGCAAGGTAGAGTTTAGGGTTTAGGTCTCGCAAGGTAGAGTTTAGGGTTTAAGTCTCGCAAGGTAGAGTTTAGGGTTTAGGTCTCGCAAGGTAGAGTTTAGGGTTTAGGTCTCGCAAGGTAGAGTTTAGGGTTTAGGTCTCGCAAGGTAGAGTTTAGGGTTTAGGTCTCGCAAGGTAGAGTTTAGGGTTTAGGCCTCGCAAGGTAGAGTTTAGGGTTTAGGTCTCGCAAGGTAGAGTTTAGGGTTTAGGTCTCGCAAGGTAGAGTTTAGGGTTTAAGTCTCGCAAGGTAGAGTAGGGTTTAGGTCTCGCAAGGTAGAGTTTAGGGTTTAGGTCTCGCAAGGTAGAGTTTAGGGTTTAGGTCTCGCAAGGTAGAGTTTAGGGTTTAGGTCTCGCAAGGTAGAGTTTAGGGTTTAGGTCTCGCAAGGTAGAGTTTAGGGTTTAGGTCTCGCAAGGTAGAGTCTAGGGTTTAGGTCTCGCAAGGTAGAGTTTAGGGTTTAGGTCTCGCAAGGTAGAGTTTAGGGTTTAGGTCTCGCAAGGTAGAGTTTAGGGTTTAGGTCTCGCAAGGTAGAGTTTAGGGTACAAAACCACTAAAAATTAAAACCACAGGAACCCTGCTCCATCAACTTGCATGCTCCTGAATGCTATTCAATTCCACAAATGTTCAGGAAACCGGGCTTCTGACCACTGCGTCTGAGAAACATAAGGCCATGGCACCGAACTGCGGGATTTGATTTTGTTTACTCTAGGGCTGGGAGCTGCCGCCGGGCTGGCAGGTTGTAACTAGGCGAGGTGCCAACATGAATTTCCCACCAAAATTGGGAATACGTAACAACGCTTCACTATTTGTGCTGCCCTGCCACCCCTTTTACACTTAATAAAACCATTGGTCTAACTCGTTTCTGGATCGTTAAAGGCGAGGTCGCAACTTAAATTTCCCACCAAGACCGCGGGAGCTACCAAGACTGCATTTGTTCTGTTGTCCCGCCCCGCTGTTTAAACTTATATGGCTATCGGTCGCTGTTGTTTCTGAAATCGACGAATTGTTTGTGGTATGCGCTCTTCTGCAAGACATGAAACAAGATTGTGCTTCTGCAAAGCAAGCTGAGTTGAAGCAATAGTACAAAGCCCAAAGATGTTGTGACATCAGTAGCAAATTAGCAAAAAAAACTTGAGCGGCGCTTAGGAAGCTTGCTGTGTACCAGTGCACGCGATGACGAATTGCTGCATTATCCCATGTTTTCCTATTCCAGGTTGAAAGTTTGCATTGTCACCTTGACCTTAAGTTACGAGAGTATGTATATATATATATATATATATAACGAGATGCAGAATCTTCTTCAATAAGTGTTTTCCTCAGGAGTGGTTGGGATAGCTTGCTGGGATAATATGGGATAGTGTTTAAGAAAAATGATGCGCAAAGGGCGGGGTATTGTTTTATTGTGTCTTGCAAAAGCTTGGTCCTGGTGAGGCCTGGTGAGGATCCGGTTCCGCCCAGCGGGCAGAACCAGACCCTATGCTTCGATGTCAGACCCGGTGAATCGGGGTCCGGTGTGGGGTCCTTGGGTCCGGTTCCGCCCAGCGGACAGAACCAGACCCCACATTTCTCACATTCCGCCCTGAAAATGCTTGCATATTCGGGTCTGGTTCTGCCCGCTGGGCGGAACCGGACCCAAGGACCCCACACCGGACCCCGATTCACCGGGTCTGACATCGAAGCATAGGGTCTGGTTCTGCCCGCTGGGCGGAACCGGATCCTCACCAGACCTCACCAGGACCAAAAAATTTGCTTCGATTCAAAATTAATTTAAATCCTTTGTAATTATTTTTTCAAAAATGATTAGAAATTGATTTTGAAGCTTGCCCCTATTAAAAAGTTCAAAACTTTAATATCAAAAAGCCCTCGATTCAAAATCAGTTCCAATCCTCATCATTTTCAAAATATGTTCAAAACATTGCCCAAAATTGATTCTGAAGCTTACCCCTAATAAAAGTTCAGAACCTTCATATAATAAGTAAATTTGCTGCGATTCAAAATTCATTCAATTCCTTGTCAAGCTTTGTTTGAAAAATGAGGGGACCCAACTATAAAACATTCGTGATCTTTTTATACTTCATGGAGGGGTGTTTTTTTATCATCCCCAAAGGATGAGATGCAACAATAGATCATAATAGATCATAATCATCTGTGGGGATGGGTTATTGATCTCACATTGCTCCAAAAAGATGAAACCAGGCTACCCAGGCTTTTTATTGGGGGTCAGTTGAGGCTTCGATGAAATGAACTACACTAAAGTAAAAGTAGATGGCTCAACTCAAAAACCAAAATACCCATAAGATGGCACCGCGCGCTGAGAAAGAAAACGGCGCTATTTTAGCTGGAACATAAAACGAAGTCCGCCAATTGAAGAAAAAATCGCCCTACTTTAAAATGAAAAGGTAGATGGCGCAACTGCCACTCCAGTAGATGGATATAAGGGTATTGTTAACTAAATTTACTACATTTCCTATCATTTTTGTTTGTATATACGGTGAAATTGCACGAATTTGTATTGTATAAAATGAGTTGCGCCATCTATGCCCCTTAAATCCCATTCAAACGCCAGAATCATTTTTTCGGTGAATTCAAAAATGAATTGCGCCATCTACGTCCCTTAAATCGTATACAAATCTTTCAAAATTTCAGTGCCACGCCTTAAAAATGAACCACTGAAGGTTTTAAAACTGATTGTGGACAGAATTGATGGATGTAAATTTCATTGTTCAACATATTTTGTCAAACATATATTGGAAAAACACTTTTAAAAATTCATTGCCACACCTTGAAGATGAGTTGCGCCATCCATGTCCCTTAAATCCCATTCAAACGCCAGAAAATTATTTTTCGATGGGTTCAAAAATGAGTTGCGCCATCTATGTCCCTTAAATCGCAGTCAAATCTTCGAACAAATTCATTGCAATACCTTGTAAATGAACCACTGAATGTTTTAAAACTGATTGTAGACAGAATTGTATGGATAGAAATGATAGAAATCTCATTTTTCAACATATTTTGACAAAAATATATTGAAAACAAATTTTACAATTGCATGGCAATACCTTGAAAATGAGTTGCGCCATCTATGTCCCTTAAACCCCATTCAAACACCCGAAAATTCTTTTTCGATGGGTTCAAAAATGAGTTGCGCCATCTATGTTCCTTAAATCGCAGTCAAATCTTCAAACAAATTCGTTGCAATACCTTGTAAATGAACCACTGAATGTTTGAAAACTCATTGTGGACAGAATTTTATGGATAGAAATGATAGAAATCTCATCTTTCAACATATTTTGACAAAAATATATTGAAAAAGACTTTTACAATTGCATTGCAATACCTTGAAACTGAGTTGCACCATCTATGTCCCTTAAACCCCATTCAAACACCCGAAATTTCTTTTTCGATGGGTTCAAAAATGAGTTGCGCCATCTATATCCCTTAAATTGCATTCAAATCTTCGAAAAAATCACCAGGAGGCAAAACCACCAGGAAAGACATCAGAGTTGTCCCTTTTTGGGACATAGATGGCGCAACTTCCGTCATTTTGCCAGCAAAGGTCGAGACGCTTTAAAACCAAATTTTAACAGATGACCTGAGGAACCGTTTCTTGACGGCAAAAACGGTTCCTCAGGTCACTTGTTAAAGTTGGGTTTTAAAGCATCTCGGCCTTTGCTGGCTCAAAATAACTTCCGTCATTTCGCCAAAATCAGGCTGGGAATGCCCACATAGATGGCGCAACCCCGGGAGTTGCGCCATCTATGTCCCAAAAAAGCAGCTTGATGTTGAGAAAAAAAAATGGGGAGAAACCAGCGCAGAAGATTGCAAAAAATATGTCATTTTTAGGGACATAGATGGCTCAACTGCCCTGTTTTAAAGGGAGTTGAGCCATCTATCCCCCTTTTTTTTTTGACATAGATGGCGCAACTCAAGATTCTGAGCCATCTACTTTTACATTAGAGTATGATGAACTGATGAACTCGTTGATTTCCAAATTGAGGCCAAGAACCAGGAATATGACATAGTGACCAAAACAGAACTCGAGGAAGACGCGGAGTAACCATTGCCCCCAAAAAGGAACAACAATCTAGCAATATCTAGCAAACATCAGGACATCACTGATATCACCTGAAGGAGTTAGCCTTGGGGAGGGCATCCAGCTATATCCAGCCACTTGGCAAAGATTTCGTCATGGGATCCGCGAAGATGCACCACCGGGTTGAAATACCAACATCTTGGTAGAGGATTATAGGTCCTACACACACAAAGACCATACAGAAACCATACAGAAACCCGGGCGCTGGGAGCTTGTCCAAAAAATTGGGTCAAGAATTCATAGCATCCTGTGGTGGTTAACCAAGCAGTAGCCAATTGAAAGGTGAAAGTTGCATCATGAGGAATGGATCAGTTCTGATTCCTGGAGGTTGTAGCCTCTCATGATAAGACTGTAAATAAAACACCACAGTTGATAGCCTATTTGTTTCAGCTCACTCCCAGCAATAAAAGGAAAAGTTCCATTGGAAGTCAAGGCCTCATGTTTGTGATCTGTAGTCCCCGTGGCAGGTTCAGCGAGCGCAGAAGTTTGCACACCTGTTTGCTCAGATGGCCGTTTCTCAGCTCACCGTTGCCAATGGAAAATAATCTGGTAGTCTTTCAGTTCTCCTGAACACCAAATTAAAATATTCACTGTCTGTATCAGTGGGGAAAGTTTCCGAGAAGTCTAAGCCTCTGAGTCCTTAAAGACTGCCAGCTTAAAAAATAAATGCCCTGCATAAATGTGATCACTTTGAACTAGATTCTGACTGTAGGTCCTTCATAGTTCTCGACAGAGTATGGGACTTGATCCATTGTCCTCTGTGCCACACAGCGCAATGAGCGGATGGACGCCGATGCCCCTGCAAAAAGTCACCGAAGAACTGTCCTGCAGAGTCGTTGCCAGCCAACTGATTTGAAAAACGCGGCAGACACCAAGCCTCCCTGAGTCATCCCAGAAGGGCCAAATCATCCCAAGATATCCCAAGTCTCTAGGTCTTTGCGCAGAAAACCTTTCACCTGCTCAACCCGCGCTCCAGTGGTAGTGTGCCCAACACGTATGCCAAGATTCGCAGTGGCACACATAGATAGAGTATTTCTCGTTCCAGACCGCGGGCCGCATTTTGCCGATGCCTCCGCCACAAAAATAAAAACACTCAACTGGGTCCGCTTGAGGAGCCCCATGCACCTGGCAACCTCTAACACAAAGCAGAAACACCAACAAACTAGCACTAAGAATCAGCATGCTCAACAAACAACATCTTTCCGCATCATCCCGCATCATGTCAAATCTGCAGGTGTAAGGCGTCAAAATCCTCCAACAAAAGAATGAAAAGGGTGAGTGGCAATTCAGATATAATTCTTTCCATGTCTTTCCAGTGCCCAGCTGCATGTTGGGAACAAGCAATGCGCTGGTTGCTGCCGTGGTTTCTCCAGAGCCATTGCTCTAACGGAGGCGCTGCAAATTAATCCAAATATCCCTTGAGTTAGATTTCTGAACCGGTCACCAAAAATTCATCCAACTAAATTAATCCAATGAAATTAATCCTGGAACTGACGGGGGTATCTGTATTAGTTAGCTAAGGTGCCACCCATGGCATTTTGCCACCCCAAAAAAATTGGCAGCCAAACGCTGCTGCGGTTCTATGCAATCACTCCACAAGGTAAAGCTGAACGTATCAAAATATTGATTTTTTGCTATAGTCCAACAATTGGTAGCCAACAATGCTGGCACACCAACGATATAAAGATAGTGATTGTTTACGCATGTTGGCCTTATCAAGTGGAAATTGGAACAGGAATAAACACTGGATGTATAGAAATTGGTTCTGGTGAGTTTGCGCCCCCCCCAAAAAAAATGTACGGAATCATATGGTAAGCCTTTGAGAAATGTACGGAAAAGTATCGTACATTAGCTAGGCCCCCCCCTACCGTACATTAGCAAAGGGGGGAGGGATCCATGGCTTTTATACATTTTTATACCACCCAATTTCAAGGGTGACGACTTGGTGGTTTATGGCATATATGGCCAGGGCGAATCCCACATCAGCATCCATCAGCCCTCTGAAGGCATCCCCAAGGCGTAAATTATTGGTGGATGCTGAGGGTTGTCATCTCATATCTTGAACCCAATAGATCCAATAGTACTCCCAATAATGAACCACCCAATTTTTGATGGTTACCACCATCCCATTTCTGACAGAGGTAAGAATTGCTCCATGGGGTTAGCCACATCATATTATTAGCTCTTTCATAAACCCTTCAGAAAGAAAACGGCCTCACTGTGCCGCACCAAAAAAACGCAAAACAACTGCCCAGATGCAGCTTGATGAGCAACTGCCCCATTCCTTGGCTTTCACATCACCCCGCAATCGCTGAAGTTATGCAACAGAACCCGTGTGGCCATCAGGCTACGTCAAATGGATTGAGGCAACCCTGGAGATGGTGTCATAGGATGCGACCCATCATCTGAAGATCATCTCTGCCACATCACCATATTTGAACAAAAAGGGAGCAATAGTGGCGATGACCAACCAAAGCCGGAGAGTCACCAACAAAGGGCAAGGGACCAACAAAAAAACCGAGAGATAGCCACGAACAATGGGTTGTAAGCCAACTGATGCAGAATCTACCTCATCTACCTCTACATTCGTTTTTAGCCAAAAGCAGGTGGTGATATCGGTATGCTACCTTGTCTCATTAAATAAAATGACTTGCCCATCGGCCACAAGCCAAAATAAAGGAATTTGAAAAAGGAATATGCCACCTTGCCAAAGGAATCTGAACAGGTTCTTGCACTGCCACAGGCCTGAAACAAACCGCTGAAGATTACAAAAGAAAAGCAGCAGTTCTGATAACAAGGCCAAAATCAGGGTAGACTGGTCCTTTCATGGTAACCTCATCTATGTAATCTCCGACATGTTTGTCTGTAAACCAAAAAGGTTGGCTCGGCCTATCAAATAGCCTATTGATAAGACAGCCTATCAAAATAACGTATTTTCAATAGCGCTGTCAAAGTGATAAACACTTCCCCGTGTCATTCCGTGCCACCCTGCCCCTTGGGTATTCCCAATTCCCGTGGTCCAAAACCTCATTTTCCCCACTCAACGAGCTATAGATTTTGGGGTAACTCCTCCACTTTGGACAAACCCAATGAATATCCTCAACATATTCCCATGATTGGTGAAATCCCATTTTTTGGTCCCCATGTCTATGGATACCAGCACACTTTCTCAGCTAATTCACTATGTATCCTCGTACATCATCTTGTTTTCGCAGTTTAATCGCCATAATATCCTCTTCATTCCCCATTTTTCGAGTTGGATCACCATGACACTGTCCTAATTCACCAACCTGCGTTAGCGTTCGGCCTTTTGGGGATACCCCCAATCCAACAGAAATCATCTACACTTCGCAATTTTTGGTCGCTTAAACAGAATCTCAGAAATCATCCAACTATTTGACAGGCTATACATCACAATATTCCCCAAAGTTTTGAGGAATATTGAAGCCTCAAAACATTCTACTTAGCCTATAGTTTTAAACCACACTTGCTCCAGATTTTTGGAGGGATTTTAGTCTTTCGCCCAGGGCGCCGTCCAAGGACTGACAACACAATCTCTGGATTCACTGCAGGACCTGGCCGTGTTAGGCCGTGAAAGGAAAAACGCGGCTAGGATCTGTGCACTTAGGAAGTGGTGAAGAAGCATAGACATAAGTGATTAACATGGAATAACTCTATAATATTATGTGTATATGTATATATATATATATATGTATATCCTAACTGACTTATGGATATAACTTGATATAACTATATCTTTATCTTATATCTTATATAAGCCATTTGAATATGGGATAACCCGCCTAGGCTTGCGATCCCTCAGGGTTGTTCACCAGTTGCTAAACGGGGTGATCCTCCGAGTAGCCACGAGCTAGTCCATCTAGTCCCCAGTCATGGCAAGTTTCTATGTCTGACATGAAAGGTACATGAAGATACCCTCTGGTAAATTAACAGTTGGACCCTGGCAGATAGATTAGTTGGAAGACTAGTTTCCATGAAAAATGGGTGATTTTCAGGGTCTATGTTTATTTACCCTCTGGTAAACTAACATAACTATGGAAAATCACAGTTTTTAATGGGTAAATCAACTATAAATTGCCATTTTCAATAGCTTTCTGTTAGTTTACCAGAGGGTACATCAAGATACATCGAGGAAAACAATCAGAACAAAAAACAAAAAAGACCTTTCTTTACAGGTCTTCCCACAACTGCTCTGTCATATGAAGCAAGTGAATCACATGGGATCAGTTGGAAGTATCTTGCAATGAGTTGCCCCCAATCTGAGCAATTTATATAACCTTATTTACAGGAAAAAAACAGGCCAAAAAAGAGACATGAAGTAATGTTAAGCAACCCTTACATCAGAGAGGGTAGATGGCTTACAAAGTGGGCATGTGTATGCTTATATGAATGCATCACATGGATGTATGCTTCAATAAATGTAAATACCTGTGTGCGGCCTGCCAGGAGTTTTTTAGTTCCATACATCAATTAAATTAGTAATGCTATACGGACATTATTAATGGCATTATTAATGGCATTAGCATACACCAACACAAGCCCAAGAAACATCAAAACAAGGAGGTCCATGGAATCCCCCGACAGATTTGGGGCTCAGTTTACCCCTGGGCTTCCGGACTTGAAATTGCAAATCCCCGTCTCATGCGCACGACCATGTGCAGGACAACCACAGTCACTGGCATTCTGAACAATGTGTCCTGTGGTAAAAAGGGGCAAAACACCATGTCGAAGCAACATGGAATAAGGGCTTCATGAGCATGTTGCTACCAAAAAAAAAAGAGGTCATGGACACGGTGATAAAAACAAACATGATAAGACTATCCAAGAATGACGGCTGGTATGTGGGTACAATTCAGTTGGGTTGGGTTCTAGAGTGTCAAGCAGTTCAGAATGGTTTCAGTCAACTTATATTCCTTTAATTACAAATGTCTATGGCCATCTGGAATGGAAACCGATACACTTCTCAAAATCAACGGCCAAACTGCGAATATTCAACAATAGAATGCTACCGGCCATATCCATAAATCAAGAACTTTACGAGCCAACCTTCAAGAGCCAACTCCTGCGAACTGAAGAGTCTGGGACTGGAATGCCCAGACTCATCGTGATCACTACAGGACTTCAGAATTTAAGGGGCATGTTAGCGACCACAAATGGCCCCCAAAACCCGCTTCCCAAGGCGATTTTTTCGAAGGCGCAGCTGGGATGTTAAGCTCCGTCAGAATACCCCTTTGTCTATGTCATGTTTGATGTTCCTGTCTGTCAATGTAACATTTCTGGATAAATCCCGTTTCAGGCATCTTCATCCGCATTTTTAGGGTAAATCACATGAAATCACCATAAATCAGCCAGGGATGTAATGATTTCCTATGATTTCCATGTATTTCCCTCCTGTTTTTCTGGATGTCACCCCAATCATTTCCAATCCCAGGGGCTGGTGCGGTAGGTGGTACCACCATCGCAAGTGGCAGAGCACTCGGACCTGGGCGGCCCAGGCTTGTTCTTTTTTCGGCCGATCTTTCCAACATGGTTTATTATGGTTTATATTATATGGTCAATAATCCGTAAGAAACTGGAAGATGGATGAAGATGGGCTTGTAACCTACAAGTCTAGCGGAGTCTAGCGTCACTGTAACTTCCAAGATCTGCCCGGCAGTCGTCGGGCACCGGGGTGTTCCTATCAATGTTCCCTTCGAAGTCTGCGATGAATTCCTGGGCTCCTGACCAGTAGCCCCAGGGGCCCCACAAGCCATCTTGGCAGCTGTGGCCACCTTGGATCAACGTGAAGGGTGGGATCCTCTGTCCGATAATCAGAGTGGCCATGGCATGCCATGGCCATTTCAATTCATTTCAATCGTAGGTGTACATACGGTTTAAATCATTCTTGACCTGGGGCCCGTCGCCATCATCATCATCATCATCATCATCATCACCACCAGCACCATCACCACCACGACCACCACCACCACCATCATCATCAGAATCAAACCATCGTATATCAACATCTAACCAGCTGCAAATAAAAAAAATCATCCTCCCTACCAGACCTAGCCCGCACCTGTTCTGACTACAGACCACAGCCCAGCAACATGACTGCGTGTTGCACGCCCGCATCTCGATCTTGTCACTGGGCTCGCAGCCTGAAGCAGGGGGGACAAGAGACATCGGCAGGCATATTATATGAAAAAATATGGATATAGATACATACTGATATGAATATAGTTCTACATCTGCATATATATATACATATGTGAACATACATATTTATATACATACATATATATATATATATACCTTAAACAATTACGTGATTCTATATGCATACACATATAATCATATATAACTGTATTATATATATATATATGTTGATAGAAATTAGAAGGATCATCAACATATACCAACAACTGCTGTATATATTGATACTGCAGCCACGGGACGATCGCCACCGGACTCGGGCATGTGAAGCACGAAACGCTTGCGTTCCTGCTGACCTCATGCGGAAGGGACTAAAAAAAACTGTGGATGCTGGCGAAATCCTGCACCAGTTGATGGTTTTATCATGTTTTATCCCATTGGTTGAACATGTTGAAACCGTAGAGGAGCTCCAATTTGGCAGTGCTGCAACATGTGTTCTCTAAAAAAGGACGCTGATGTTGTGTGGACAGGTTTACTGCATGTTTTCTATCATCCTCATGTCCCAAAGGCATCCTCATCAATGCCATCAATGGTAGTTATACCACAGGAAATGCGAAAGTAAAACAAACTCAACAAAAAAACACAAAATGTTAAAAACTAAAAGAAACCCACGAAAGACATAGCAGCTATAGCAAGACCACACGACCACATCTCAGTTTAACGAGCTCAACTCGCCTGGATCCACACGACCCTTTGCAGCTCGCCTCCACCACAGCTGCAACTGCAGGGCGTCCACTCCTCCCACTGGTTCCAGACACAGTCCTGCCTGGGGCATTCCTCAGTGGCAGGAATTGTGATTTGGAAAAGAAGCTGTTTGCCGATGGATGTCCAATCATGGGCCCTAATTATTATCAACATTGGGGGCGGCGCCGCTTCTATGCCACACAATTTCTTGGAGCCTTACCCATGTTGACAGTGCTGGGCTGCATCCATGTAAAGATCGCATTGCCCCAAAGAAAATGCACTATGCCACTAAGAACTTCACACGGAACCTGAAAAACAATGCCCCAAAATGGATGTTCCCGTTTGAAATGTCCATCAACGTCTTGCAAAAATGGCTGCCAAATCAACCAAGAAGCGGAAATTCCGAAAGTTGCTCTGAGGAAATTCCACTCAATTTCCACTAAATCGATGGATTAACTTTCCATGGGTGGCTCCAAGTGGGTAGTGATTGGATGACCAAAATTATTGGGGCATGACATTCACAGTGGATTACCGAATTTTCACATTACCATTTCCCAAAATTAACCGGTTGACCATGCCAAATAGAGGGCTGAAGAACAGCTTCCAGTAGAAAGAAGTTGTTGGGTCCATGTGAATTTACTAATGTGGAAAACCCAATGCTATAAAACTACCATTTAAAATTTGGGGATGGTTTACACAACCCATTAAATTATCCATTTATGGTGATTTTGGGGATTGTTTACTATTGACTTGCTAATATTAGATAAGATTGGATTGTATACATGGGGTAATTTAGCCATAGTTATCACATAATCTTACGCTATTAATAATTGGGTACCTTCGATTTTTTAAAATGGTATACAGTTTACAATATGGAAAAAAAACACATTAAAATCGTCTAATGACTGGATCATAAACATATTTTACGTCATTCAAATGGATGATTTCAAGGGGGTACCTCCACAAATGGATGATACCCTCTGGTAATTTAACATAGCTATTGAAAATGGCCATTTATAGTGAGTTTTCCCATTAAAAATGATGATTTTCCATTGGGGTACCACTTAGGAAACCACCAGGGTGAACCTCCCGGGTGAACGCCCTCGAGGCCCCTGGGATGCCCCGGCCTGTGCGCCATGGCAGGGCCTGGCCTCGCCCAGGAAACCCTCGAAGCCTCGGCCGCCTGAGGAGCGCTCCTGGGCCGTGCATGTAAAATATTTATCACCAAAAAAAATGATAGTTATCCATAGTATATATAGATTTAGATAATTATATATCTTATAGATATCAGTATATATATATATATACATACAGTATATTAGATTACATGTGTATGTATGTATGTATATATATATATATTATGGTCATCCAATTGTGGCGAACCAATGGCCCGCTGAGCTGTCATTTACCCTGAAAGTCTTATAGACGTCTTATGGAAACTTCAGCGATTCATAGGCAAGAGCTGGGCCGGTGGCTCCTGTAAACAAAACATATCTTAACATATCTTAAGTGTGAACAAAACAAGCATATTTCCCGGACATTCCCGAACTTGGTCTACGGGAAATCTATATACAAAAAAAAAAACCTTTCATACCCCTCAGATTTGATGATATCAATTTTTGATAAGTATAGTTTTTAAATTGAATCCCTCTAATTTTTGATAAGTAGTTTTTATAAATTGAATCCCTCTAAGCCGCTGGTCGCAAACCGAGTCCTTCAAGATCTTTCGTTCACGCTTTTGCTGTCCTGGCAGAGCATCCAACAAAAAGTTCAATGTGGTCGCGGGATGGTTTTTTCGAAATCCTCATTTTCAACGTGGGAAATCTAGAGAAAATGTTGATGGAAATGTGATTTATTGTGATTTATAGGTTTTCAATGGTGTTCAACCATTCAAGCCGATGCAGTTTTTTTTTCTCTATCCACAGCATTATAAATGTCAAAATAAATGTCAAATAGGGATTAGTAGTGGATTTTGCATTGCCTGTTTAGATGTAAACAGGTGGAATGAAACCCTGGTGAAATGTCTTGGGCTAGTTCATGTCGGGGTCCCATGTATTGGGGGGTATTCAATACTAGAGGCATGCGATCAATATAGCACCCCCCAAACACAAATAGAACATGGTTCTAGCATCATACAGGTGATATGTCTGTACATACTCGTGCCTCACAACTTCCAGGTGTCCAACTAATTAGTTTCTTCTATTGGTTGGTTAAATCCCCACATTCCTATTGATGAAATACAATCCTATCCCTCTATGGTTTTAAACACCCCAAAACTGCCCAAAACGCTCCTAAATGTGCGTAAATCCTCTACGAAACTATGGTTTCTCGGGGGTGTTGAACATTAGCAGAAAGGGAACCATCAGAAACATCATTCATACTCTGAAACATATAATATAGGTTAATAATGTTTAATATCACCATATTCTCGAATATTCATAACTAACAATTCAAAGAACATCTTCGCCGTGGTCCACCATTGCCCCGAAACTGGCCACACCTGGGCCACAGGTAAAAGAGCAACTGCTCCACTGCGTCCAGTCACTCACCTCGAGAGCGGCATATAGCTCGCCCCTCCAAATACCCCCAGAAACATGGTGAAACATGGGTGAAACATGGGTGAAACATGGTGAACAATGGGTGAAACATGGTGAAACATGGGTGAAAGATGGTGAAAGTACTAAAAACATCTAAAAACTATAACATGCGATTTTTTGTTGCATACGCGAAGGGATCTAGGTAGATGCATATTAAAATGTTCGCATGGGGCATCTATTTATCGATCAATCCGTTGTCGGCACTTTCACCTTTTGGAGGATTAAGAAGGGACATTTGCGTGAGGTGCATACACAAAAAACAACGACTATCAGAATTACTCTAATCTGAGTGATCCCAACTGACATATAATACTACGTCAGAATCTGATACGCACACTTGTATATATATATAATATAATATATATATATATTGACGTTTTATCTTGCATATTTTCTGAGATTCTTTCTGACATCTTAGCTGCCTTCCAGGTGGTACTTTATGACTCAAATGCGTAACATGCATTGCGCATGTTAAGTTCGTGAAACAACATCGTGAAGGTCAAAAACCTTAATCTGGTCATCTTTAAAAAGATCAGTGCATCTTGAGATGTTGAGAATGGCCAAGGAGGGGCCAAGGAGGGAAAAAACAAAGAAAACAAAGATGATGTGGCCAGGTACCCTCTGGTAATTTAACATAGCCATTGAAAATGACAATTTATAGTGAATTTTCCCATGAAAAATGGTGATTTTCCATAGCTATGTTAAATTGCCAGAGGGTACTCACCCCATCTGTCGCATCCAACAAGTCACTTCAGCATCCCAGGTGGGACAGGCTTTCTGCATGCAGCCCCTGGTCTCGATGAGCTCCGGAAGACACTCCTGGGGGACGCTTTCGTAGGGGGGGACTTCTGGCAGTCTGGGGTGATTTGGTCATTTTGGGACATGTGCCAGATTTTGATACCCTCTGGTAATTTAACATAACTATGGAAAATCACAATTTTTAATGGGAAAACTCACTATTTCTATGGCCATGTTCAATAGCTATGTTAAATTACCAGAGGGTAATCTGGCAAATATATACCAAATAATATATGGTTACATATTTTGATATAATCTTGGGATGTGTCAGATCAGTACCCTAATTGCTGGTGCCTTCCAAAATTTTTTAGGTGCCAGTTGTGAAAGGCGAAGTCTTCGGGTTTTTTCCGTGGTCATTCCTAAACAATTCTTAAACAATCTGCCAGTTGTGAAAGGCGAAGTCTTCGGGTTTTTTTCCGTGGTCATTCCTAAACAATTCTTAAACAATCTAGCGATATGATAGACAAACTGATGGAAAATCCCCTAAAATGACATCGAATACCCTCTGGTAAATTAACATAGACCCTGGCAGATAGGGGTTGGAAGACTAGTTTCCATTAAAAATGGGTGATTTTCAGGGTCTATGTTTATTTACCAGAGGGTAACCCCTTCACATGGGATCAAAACTCTCCCCTGTGTCCTGCAATCTGGGCCCCCCGAGTCCCATGTCCTGCCCGCCAAACTGGGCGAAGACTTCGATTTGTCGTTGACGCCTAGCAGAAGCTCTCAGGATCTCGTTGGGAAACTCCCAACTGGATGGAACTGAAATGCATTTTATGAACTGTATTATATATTGTATATATATACATATTATATATTTATATTCATATATTCATATATTCATATATCCAGTATGATCACTATTGGTCTTCCAAGGAAAAAATCACCAGGAACTCGATGGAACCCGCTATAACCAGTCCGAATTTATTGTGACGTTGTCCGATGGCTTGTTTTTCGAAGCAATTCTGGGATCCCGAAACTCAGGCCAAGCTTGTTTGGGTGTTAGGGAAATTTCTGGTTGGCTGAAAGGAACTGGTTGATCTGGTTGGTGGTTTAGTTGACCTACCCCTCTGAAAAATGATGGAGTTAAAGTCAGTTGGGATGATGACATTCCCAATATGATGGAAAAATAATCAAAATGTTCCAAACCACCAATCAGTATCTCATAAGATATCATAAGATTGTCTCCAAGACTCTATAAGTACATATACCCTCTGGTAAACTAACATAACAATGGAAAATCACCATTTTTAATGGGTAAATCCACTATAAATAGCCATTTTCAATAGCTATGTTAAATATTGTTAAATTACCAGAGGGTAAGTACCTTGTTTTTCTCAGAAATCCCCAGCGCTGCGCCGGTTCGCCTCGTTTGACCCTCACCACAGCTGCGGTCGCATGGGCCCCAGCCCGTCCAGGAAGACATGCGACAGTCCACAGGTGCCAGGCCACAAGACTGTCCTGGAAAATCCCAAGGGAAAATGTGTGGAAAATCAATGGAATCCATAGCCCCTGGTAATGACTAACATAGCTATTGAACATGGCATTTTTGAATGGGAAAATCAACTATTTCTAGTGTTCAAGGCGACATCCAATCCTATTTTCAACGCTGCGCTCTGAAGACTGGTTGTTCAAAGCAATGACACTGTAGAGTGTCGTTGCAACGGAGGGGTTTCAGTGGACCGACGCCCTCCACAAGCAAAGCCCTTACCAAAGGTTACCACCACTTTGCTGCAGAAGACAAAACGTACACTGAAGACCCAGTGAAAACAACACAAGAGCAAGCCATCTTGGGTGCGGCCCCCCAGGCCCATGCCTAACCGTAACCTGCACCCAGACACCGGTGTCCACCTCCCCCAAAGCTAGCAGACTTTCTGCTGACAAAAAGGTAGCATTCTCAAGCATTGACTCAGGGAGAAGTGAGATGGCCTGAAAGAAGAACAACTTTAGAGTCGAGGGGGGCAAGAAGAGGGGGGCAGAAAACGAAATTTAGAATTCAAACGCGAATCCAGGACGCGCTCGCTTTGCGAGGCGGAGAAGGCGCTGTGTGACACGCGACTCCAGGTGGATTTCCGTTAGCTGTGCAAGAGCATCAGTGAGATAGATCCGGGCAGTCTTAATACTATTCCATCTTCCAACGAAGCAAATCCGAGAAAGATCATTAGAAGATCGGAAAGCGTGCGTGGCCCCACCACGTCGGAGGGAATACCACTGGTACCCTTCTGGAAAGTCTAACTCACTGAGCAAAGTCTTAAGTCGGAGTCTCATCACCCCGGGAGAGACTGTTCGGAGAAAATCGCCAGGGGCCAAAGGACTCAGATAGTTAGCCAGGGCAACCACTAACCATCGGTCTTCGATGACAAGGGACTCATGGGCCCCCACTCTTTGGCCACTTTTTGTGAGCGGGAGAGACCATACAGCGCGAGTCTTGCTGCTATTCCAAGTGAAGTCACCCTTCTTGGCCATAAACAACTCTCCTGACCTTGCAAACCTGTCAAAACCCAGCAGGAGAAGAACTGCCAGATCGGGCCATCCTTTCTCAAAAGCAGCTTGCCCAAGCGCATAAACCATGACTGGCAGGAAAGGTAAAGCCCTAGCAGGTAATTCTGCACGTGTCCAACTACCATGCAACCTCCAAGCTCCCACCAAACTTCGTTTACATTGCGGAACAAAATGTCCCAAGCCAGATAAACAGTCACTGGCAAAAGACTTTGGGTCACCATTATGCCACAAAGCCTCAATAAACTCACACACCCTACCATCCAGACATGGAAAACTGGAGGGATAAGGATATCCATGTTCTTGCAGAAAGGAAAGGAAACGTGAAACAGCATCTAGATACCGGTCCCTAGTGTTTTTCGCCACAACTAAGTCCTTAAGACATCCCAGCGCCTGCCTGTCTCTTTTTCTCTCGACTTGCCCACGGCGGCCTAAGACTTGTTGTCTAGGCATGGCGTCTACGCTTTGCCCACCGGCTGGGTCCGTCAGCCGGATTCCACTTGCTCTTAATCCATCCCAGGCAAAGTCGAAAGTGGGCAGCCAGGCAGACTGCGCTGATGCGGCGTAGGGGACCTTGTAGTGCACGAGCTGAGCTGCGTCCCTTTGAGAGACAGCTCACGGCCACCTGGTTGTCAACCAGCGTGATGAGACGTTGTCCGTGACACTTCTGGTCTCTGCCCTGCCGGCGAAGCACATCCAGGACCGCTACCAGTTCCAAAACATTGATGTGTTGACCAGGTTCCTTCCAAGAGTATGACATCAAGACCTTCCAGACCCAGTGACTTGGGTCAATGCTCTGGCGGCACAATTCCCCCACTGAGTAGGGCATTCCCAGATCAATTCGGATCTCTGCGCTGCGATGCGTGCCATTGCGAGCCAAAAGGTAGCTGAGCATCTCTTCGTCTGTAAGCCAGCCCTGAGGGTCGATGAATGACCGCAGAGGAGAAGCTGGAGATGGCAAGACCCGCTCGAGCAGGCTCACCACCCCAGGTACCCCTGCAGCCACACTCGCAAACCTCACTTTCCAAGGTTTGTCCTCCTTTTTCCAAACTTCCCACAACATGAGGCTGATGTCCTTGTTGGCACATTGTTCAGGTGTTAACACCAGTCCAACCAGGAGCCGTGCAACCACCATGGCCGAGAAAGAGTTGCCAATCATCTGCCCTTTGGTGTCACTACTGAGCCTGGTCTTGGTCGTCAGATGCGACGATTGAAAGCCCATCATCCGCAGTTGCTCTTCAACTGACGGGCGACGCGGACCATTTTTGTCGATGACCAGGTTTCGACCTTCATATTGGTAGGGCTGTAAGCGATAGCTGTCTCCTTTCCATCGCTTCAAAGCTTTCTCAGAGGCTTGGTCATAGCCTGCTGGGTCTTCTGGCGGTTCTCGACGTGCGATTGGCCTGGTGAACGTTGCAAACGGCTCCTCAGGGTCTGCCATCTTCGTTGCACCTTCAGCCAGAAACCAGGTCAAAGGGGGCCTCTCTGTGTCGATTTTGATTTCCTTCACCTGATAGGAATGCCCCCGTAGCGTCCGCCTGGCACCCAGCTTAAGATCTTCTCCTTCCACCAGCTTCATACCGGCGAGCCAGTAGAGACGTGGCCTGCGACAACGCCCAATCTGAGCGGCTTCCACAAAGTAGGGTGTGTACCCTATCTTTTTGCTTTGTGCTTCATAGTCCGCATCATCCATGACCACGTTCTCGAAAAGCTCTACCACTTTCCAAGGTGGCAAGTTCAACTTGGTCGAGCAACCTTGTAGCCATCCTCGAATTGCCAGCATATTGTCCAGCAATTTGCTGGTGGCGCCTTCTGCTCCTTGACGCCTCGGGTTCAAAATCGAGTGATTCACACACGGCCACCCCCCTCCAATGATCACGGTTGTGGCTCGAGGGAATCTCCGGCGCCATTCCAATACCTGCTCCTCAGTAACGGATTCAATCCTTTGAACCCAAATTACATGGCGACAATGCTGCTTGTAGACCTTGCTGCACTCTGCCGAGCTGTCAATTGCCACCACTCCGGCCGGTTCAAAGCCCAGGAGGTCAAGCGCCTGCTTCAGCCCGCCTATGCCGGCGAAACACTCAATGACCACAGCACTTTCCGTGGCGGCTCCCTCATGCCCATCTCGCTCGTGGGCAAGGCTGTGAAGCCGCGCGTTTCCCCACGGACTGAGTGCTGTGGTAGCACATGCGCCCCCTCCATCGGGACTAGCGTCCGTAGCATAGACCTGGCCTGACACCTTCATCTTCAAATCCATCCAGTGCATGGGGAGTGAGCAGCTAAGAAGTAAAAGCTCATCCCGGCTTTTCTCCGTCATCATGCGAGCCCGTGGCCCATTCATTTCCACATACAGTCGATCAAACAGCACTGCCAGCTGCCGGTTGTACTGCACTGAGTGCATATTCTTCGACACCACAGACTGCAGATTCGAGGAGTCAGTACGGACCTCCTCCCCTACCAACAGCCCAAGGTTTGCACTCAGCAGCGCTCGGCGAAACTTCTGAGAGCTGCCGACCCAACCTTGCTCTCCACTCACCTCTGCACCCAAGCTTGTCCAACTGATGGCTCCTTCTGCTGCCTTCTTGGGATCTCTCCCCACCGTCAGTTCATCCATAGCTTCTCTCAGCTGAAGCTGCTCATCGGTTGGCCTTCCCTCAAACAGTCCTTTGTCTGTCCTCCATACGATCTTCAACTGGTCAAAATTGTCCACATAGAATGAGTAAAAGGAACGAGGGGTTGACAGCGGCTCCAAAGGACTGGGCTCTCCCATCCGGATGACCTGGTTAGAGGCAAGCCCGGCCACCTTCGCGATGTTCTCGAAACCATCCTGGATAAAGTCAACCACGTTGTTCCATCCCATGGGCGCCGATTTCACCCTGGGAAATCCACTCCCAGCCTTTCCATCTTTGAAAGAGGCACCGCTGGCTTTTCGACTCAAGCTGAAGAAGCTGCGCCAGGCATAGCCCGGCCGATAGATGTGAAAGCAGTGTTTTTGATCTTCTGCCGCGCACACGATGATTTCATCATCATGGAGATAAAGATTCCCCCACAGAGGTGCATAACCCATCTTCTCGGACGCCCTCACTGGCATCCGACGCTGAAAGGAGTTCCCAGGAATCATGTTGATAATTAACCTCAGGGTCCTCAGCCAGGTTCCATCATCCTTCAGCACCCAACTTTTGTGAACCCCAAAAGCACCATTCCGAACTGCTTCACCCTGGTACTTCAACGTTTCTTCCACCTCTCTTTCTAGCATGCCTGCATCCACCAGGTGGCTCACAATCTTGTCCCATTCTTCTTGACTCGTCACCTGAACCGTGGCCGCAACACGGGGCGCGATCAATTCCTCATCAGGAATTCGAAGCAATGAAGGTGCCTCCACATATTCCTTGACCTTCTCACTCACAATCTCCGAGAGAGGAATCCTGGCCGCTTCTCCAGGGCCCGGCGTGGTAGGCAAAATTGCCTCCAACGTCAATGGATAGGACTTCCCCACATTCGCCCCGGTATACATGTCTCCCAAGCTTTCTGAACATTTCTCCCAACAATCAGCTTTGATGGCATCCTCTGTATCTTCTTCAAGCCATTTCTCACTCATCTTCTGCAAGCGCTTGAGCGCTTTGGTTTGGCCTTCAGATGGCTGGCAAGAGTGCAGCATACACTCTGACAGCATTCTTCCTCCAGCGCCATTGCAATAGAGATAGTTGATTACAAGGCATTGCAACCATGTCCAAATCTTCCCTGCGTGTTTCATAGCCTCCTTGTTCAACTTTTCCCAGGTAGCGCCCGTCACATCTAGACGTCCTCTGAGACCTTCTTTCACTGCAGCTTCGAAGGCACTCTCCTCCTCTGTCAACGGGGGCATGGGCAACGGGAGCAGCTCTTTGGAGAGTCGATGAAAGTTCTCCAGAGCGCAGCACGGCAGGGCTCGACAAAGATTCCCTACCTCACCAGGGCGGTCTTCGATTCCTATCTTCAAGACCACTCCTACAAGGCTCACCGACAACTCCTTGCTGAACCCTCGTTGCAGCATCTGCCTCCATGCTAACGGCGTGAGGTGCCCTCGCTGAACCAGTCCGAATTCTCGGATCAGCCACTCAGCGGTGTCTACCTCTCGAGAGTTGATGTACAACTTCTGCCCTGCCAGGGACAAGCGAACCTTCTCCTTATCCAGCTGGCTCACAAACTCAGGATGGTAAATTGACGCTCCAAATTCCTTGTGTGGGTTACCCACATAAACTCCATCTTCTTTACGCCACTCAACTTCAGCAGCGCGCACTTCAATGCCCTCAATCACCTTTAGAAGTCGACCTTCCCCCGACCGAGGGTCAACCCCAGTCGGAGAGCTGTCAACTCCCAACAGGCGACAGATGGCTTCTGACCCAGACGGGTTAGCTTCCTCCTCCAAAAAGGAACAGCTTCTTTTCAGCTGCTCCTTCACCATGTCAGGAGGGTCGCCAGCCACATCAGCGATCATCTCGAAGAAGTCCTGTTCAACTTGTATCCAATTTTTGCTCTTTCCAAGAGCATACTTGCGCAGGCGATACAGAGCCACCACCTCCGGATCCTGCAAAAGGTCCTTCACCTTTTGCCGGGTAGCATCGGAAACTCCATACTCCTTGAGCGCTCTTTCCATGGCCGGGTACTCCAACACATTCAACACCGATGGATCACTCACCATCGCTTCCCCTTCTTTCCTTTTCCTCGGCCTTTCTTCCCCTTCCCGGGGTTCTGACCCCCGCCGTTTTCGGGAGGTCCTCCATCCTTGTTCTCGACCTCCTTCTTGTCCACGCCTCCTGTGGCGCCGGGGCTCGGATACCAGGGAGTCCTTCGCTTCGGCCACTGGTCTCGCTGAAGCCGCAGGTCGCTCTTGTGCTCCTGCTGCGCGGCTTTCAGTTCCTGTCTGAACCAAGCCCGCTGTTCCTCTTCCGGAACTATCAACTCCAGCAGATTCGCCTGGCTCCACTGACCCTGAGCGATAAACAGTTCGATGCTTTTCATCCTCTGGACTGCCACGTCCAATGCCCGCAGAGGATCGTTGCTGGCCATCAAGTCCACCAGCGTTGCCAATGTCCGAAGTTCCCGAAGGTTCCTCAAGCCGATTGCCGACTCCGGGTTCCGAACCATGTAGATCTGGCTCAAATAGGCACGGGCCACCGGTGGCATCTCCAGCTCCTGAGCTGCCGTTCCCCCGCCGGTGGAGCGATTGAGGAGCTCCTGGAAGCGCCGAAGCGTCAGGTCCGCCAGAGCTCCTGGCTTCTCCTGGTGCAGTCGGTGCAACCGGTCGACCCCCTGCGGCAGGGCGGCTAACTGAAAAAGCGATCCCGTTGACGAAGTAGAAGTCTCATCATCTTCGGAATCACTGCTATGAGAGCTGGCCCCTTTGGCTCGTTCTCTCCTGGCCTTGTGCTTTTTCTCTGACAACTTGCGCTTCTTCTTCTTCTTTTTCTTATCTGATGTATCCCCTTTCAACTTCAGCGCGCTCTGCGCGGGCAAAGCAGCTTTTCTCTTGTTCAACACCTCTCGCAGTCCCTCATCTCTGGTCTCCTTCGCGGACTTCTTGGGCCCTTTCTTCCTTGCATCACCGTCCTCCTCATCTTCCCGAGGGCGCTTCTCTGTGGCCCTTCCTCCAGGAGCAAGAGCTCGCGCAAGCCCTGCTATCCCAGGCTCGCCTGTCTGCACATCCTCTGGCCCTCTCCCACGGACGACTTCCTCACCCCCCGGGATCGGAGGAGCAAGGGCCTCGCCCGCAGGAGCGCCTGCAGGATGCAGACCTTCCAATTTCTTCGCTTCCTCCTTTTTCTCAGCCGTCATCCAGGGCAAATCTTGGTATGAGTCACCCGGCAAGACGCGGAATACATCCACGTGGATTGGGTCGCGATACAAAGTCACCTCTTGACATCGGTGCGCCGCCACTTCACAGAAGTGAAAAGGAAGAACCTTGGTGGGGTAATGGTTCTGTACCCACCATTCATAGTATCCATCCTCAATCGCCAGAAACCAGCCTCGCCAAGTTTGGCCCTTTCCAGCATCATCTTCAATTGCCCTATGCTGGAGCTGCACCACTCCACGGCCTTGTTGACGTCCCAGATCATCATAGAGGCTAACCTCCACAATTGCCTGAGACGCCAAACCCAGCCAGTGCTCCTCTTTAGCTTTCCTCCCTGTCTTTCTCCATGGCTCAGGTCCGGCCATCCCAGCACTTGAGACTCTTCACCCAGTACGGACCGGGTTCCGATTCTCTAATGCCAGGTGACCATTCCTTTGCCAGGTCACCTGTCCTCCTTGAAACAGAGGAAATGCTGCGGATTGGACATAGATGCCATTCACACTATCACTACGGAGGACCACAAGCTATGGCCATTTAAGGTAGATGATTTGAATTGAATTGAATGATTTGTCCCATGAAAATCGTTGAACATCTCCATTTAGTTTGGAGACGATCCAGCCACGGCCATGACGACACCGCAAACGCTCCACCCGCCGCGTCCTCGTGTGGTTTCACCTGCACAAGGCTGGCCTTGGTTCGCGGCCGCTCGGAGCACACCTGGCAGGTCTGGGAAGCAGGAGATAGCTATGGAAAATGAATGAACATTGCCCATTTCTAGATGAGTTACCATTGAAAAATGGTGCTTTTCCATAGCTATGTTAAATTACCAGAGGGTTATAGGAAAATCACGTCAAATATTGGGGTTTCCTGCAGATGTGGAGAAAAACAACTGGGAAGATGTGCAATGTGCTGTACCATACATATGCCAAGAAAATCCAAGGAACATATAATATAGACATATGAGAGCATCATGCGTACTATAGTGTGCGCGTGTATGTGATTTGTATACACATGTTGAGTTGTTTGAGAGAGAACTGATTCATGTGATAAGAGTGCTATTACACGGGTCTGATGGATTAGGATAAGATGTATGCAGCATACTGTATGCATACTAGGGCCATAGGGGTTCGGCTGACTCACCAAAGCACTGCTTCTTTTTCACAGTAATCAATGTCCAAGTGGCGCTTGTCGCGGTACATCATCTTGTTGACCTGAGGGTAAAAGGATTACCCTCTGGTAAACTAACATGGCTATGGAAAATCACCATTTTTCATGGGAAAATCCACTATTTCTATGGCCATTTTCAATAGCTATGTTAAATTACCAGATGGTAAGTAATCCAATGCCCCTTACATCAAATACCCCCAAAAATGAACCCCTGCTGAAATGTATTGGATCTACTTCAGTTTTGGTTCTAATAGGGGGAAGTTCGTTTTTTCGGGGGATGTGATTTTTTGTGAGTTACCTCCACTAGCCCACTACTATACAAGCCCATTGAAATTCAACAAGACTTAGACTGATGTGACGGCTCATGACCCCAGACTATCCCCCCAAGAAAAAGAAACATATTACCCTCTGGTCATCTAAGATTGGTATTCCATAGATATGTGCAATATCTCGCATGCGGGGAGATGTTTAACACCCGTGAGTGCTTAGTTGGGTTATCACGATGAAAGAGCATGCCAACATGCACTTTCCCATCCTGTTAGTGGTCCTATAGGTTTGCCTCAACAAAGCGTTCCCCTGAATCCAAGGCTTAATCACCATTTTCCCTGCTTCAATTCCCATAAATTGGGGGTATACCCCAAACGAATCATGCTCGCAAATATATATTATATTATGTAAAACACAATGTAATACAATTTCATATAATATAATTATATTATAATTATAATATAATATAGTTAATATGATATGATAATATTAATATGTATATATATATAACTATATATATGTGTGTGTGTGTGTCAAATGTCATTAGATCCTCATGATTATCTCCAATTAAGTCCCATGAAATCCATAGAAAAGCCCCTTATTCTCCTTATTTGTTGTGTCTCAGTGCTCCATCCCGGACCATCCCCCAAGACTCTCCATTCCGAAACCACCGAAACCTAGTGACGTCGCAGGTACTCCACACGCCCCAGTCTCCCAGTAAGCAATCCACAGCACCACCCGCTTCGCAAGCGGCACCTCCCAGTGAGCCAGCCATGCCAGCCATTTTGGGAATGGTTTTGACCACCTATTTATGGTGATTTGGGGGATTGATTATGGTTGTGAAAAACCCACATTGAATGGTATTTCTGGCTACTTCTGGCTGCACCGAAAATATTGAATAAGCAGCCGGAAAATGAATAGATCCAATACTAAGCAACGGTTTCTGGGGAAGTATGTACTCATATTGTGGGAAGCTAAAATATATGTCAAGACTGAACATCTTCGACATTGCATGCCAAAAATTGGTGAAAAGGATGAACAGGTGGTTTGAGGGACCTGGAATTGTGTTCTAAATCAATTGAAACAATGCTACAATGTTGGAAGCAGAGATGAAAATGTGTGCATCCGGAGGTGCACATGCATGAGGTGCACATGCATGAGGTGCACATGCATGAGGTGCACATGCATGTATCCTGTATGCGTAAGACCCAGGAACAACATCTCACAGGTCATAGGTTTCTTAATATATGAGGATAACCCCAAACAATCGATTTTGGATCATCCATAAATTTGGGGTACAATATTTGGATTTTTCACTATAATATACTATAATAATAAATGGCCACATTTATGGATTTTTCACTATAAACCATCCATCATTTGGCCTATCCATAGTAATCCATAGCCCGCCTGTGCCCTTGCACTTCTTCATCTCCCGCATGTTGCCGTGACAGGTTTCGCCACCACGATGGGCATGGGACTGGCGGTGAAAAAAAGGCACTTCCACAGTCTGGTTTGGACCACAGTCACTGCATTGGTTTCAGGGAAAATTTACAGGAAACCCATGGAACTCCCTGAACAAATTGATGGAAAAACCATGGTTTCCCGCAGATTTTCCCTTCAACCAATCCAGTGACGCAAGATTTTGAGTTCATCATCTCATATATGTTCCACGTTTTCGGTTTGTTTCAATCCTTTGCTGAGGTCCTATGTGGAGGTTGCCATAATACACCAACCAAGGTGCTAAGGTGGCCAGTTTCATCATGTTGAAAATGTTATATGGCTAGTCACTAATTACCAAAGAAAATTACACATCATATTGTACATAATGTACACATAATTACACACGCACACTCACACACATATATATATATATATACATATGTATACGTATATAGTATAGGCAATTAAACGTACATATATATATATTAGATATATTAGATAGTGCTTTTGAACACATAGAAACATATATAAACACCATATCTTACCGCGTGCAATTTGCCGCCCGCCCAACCGCAACCGTCCTGAATCTGTCGGCTTCGACTGGTCCAGCCATCACCGCAGCTGGCTGTGCAGGCGGTCCAGTCCTGCCGCATCCAATGGATATATGGGTAATGAACATCTATTATATGGATATATCATGATATATCTGTCTAAATGATAATATTTCACTCACCTGAAATGGTTGGGCCATAAAGGGGGATGATTTCCCTAAGACTAACCGAATTATTCCCAGGGCTCGGTCGAACAGGCTTCGGTGGTTCTTTAAAATTTACCCAGACTATTTTTTTGGCTGATCCAATGGAGAAAAATAAAATCACAACTGAAAATCTGTTATATTAATGTGATGTTATATGAACATATAATTAATATAGGTAATACTCATGGTAATACACATTGTATTAATCACATTTAATATCACTAATTATAATGTGATATACCCCAAAGGAAAAAAAAAACATGTTGTAACATAAACATACCTAGAGGGTACGTTTAGGTACTTGAAGCCATGGGAACCCAGACCACCTCCAAACATCTCCAAACTCATGGCCTTATCCACTATATATGTGGGCCTGCATCCCAGTCATGTAGCAAGTGAACAACAACATTATAACCCAGCTATACACATGGAATATCCCCTTCTCCCCAGTCCTCCCACTCACTGAACACACAAGGCTGTGGCAAAGTCCTTGGCCACAACATGTCTGAAAAGAGCTGCTTCCGGTCTCAACCCATCTACAAGGATTCAGGTCATGACGTGGTTTTGATGTTCCATTCTATCTGTAATTAAATCAAGAGTGAAGGGAAAGAAACATCGGCTATGTATTCACGTTTGAACACAGTCAGTAAAAATACGTGTTCCTCCAAACACTGGCAATTTTTGCTGTCCAACTAGCACTCTTAGATACACCGCGGAGCAAAAGATTCCAAAATAGTCCAATCTTTGTGGCTGGGTATTTTACCCATGTAAAGAACAAGTTCTCAACTATATTTGCCTACCAAAACTAGCACTTTCCAACTACATATAGGCCAAACTGTTGTTAACCAACTACTGGATGATAAATGCTTAAACAACATTGTTCAGAAAACCAACGTTTCTCGTTTTCTGAGTCTTCAATGTTGACCCGAAAGCCCTGTGTCAATGAAAGCACCAACCAAGTTCTACAGCAAAATTGCCGAGAAATATCCCTGTTGTCAGAGGGAATATCCCTGTTGTCAGTCATCCCCATATTTGATGCCCAATTTTTTTTTGAAATCTTCATGCCTTTCCCTGGGGAAGCCAAAACCCCGAAAAGCACTGAAAGCGCGGGAAAGCAGCTGCTTACAGCCCATGGTATCCTCGAGTGCTCCCAGACCTGCGCCGCGTCGTGTTTCTGTTGATGGTTGCCACTGAGTCACAACGAACATGGCTGTTGGCAAAAAAAAAGTTGTTGATATGATTGATATGTGTATATATATATACAAATGGACAGAGTTGACATGTCAACTTGACTGCTTGCTAGTGACGAAAACATGAATATCACAACTTTGCCCAGTTTGATTCTTCAGCGCATTGAAAACAAAGCTGGTAAATCCACCCATTTTTGACATGAAAAACCGCATCCAAACATGGCTGGGAAATCCCCGAACGAAATGGTGAATCTTCCATTGCCATGTTCGATTACCGGATGGTACCAATATTAAACATCACTATGTTCCATGTTAGACTATCAGGATGTAAGTGTTGCCTTACCCCAGCACCCAAGTCATCCCAATGACTTGGTCTAATGACTTTTTTGTCGTAGATGATTTAATAATTTACCTTTCATTTCCATGGTTTGTGGAGATGTATGCATATAGTATATGTAGTAATAATGCCCCTATTTCTGAGTTTCTGCTCACTTCTCTAGATTTCCCCATGATATCCCATGGCCATGTTCCCCCTGTTCCGCTATGAAAGTCATGGACCTCCAGTCACCAGTCCGACCAGTCACCCATGACATCCAAGAGACAGGGCTGTCCATCGTTACGAGGTCCGTGGATGATGCTGCGCTCGCGATACTTCTGCCCATTGGCCTGAGATTTACCCTGGCAGATAGTAATCCCATAGTAATCATATAATCCATTATAATCCCACAGTATCCAACCATAGTACCCTCTGGTAAATTAACAGCTGGACCCTGGCAGATAGATTAGTTGGAAGACTAGTTTCCACTATAAAAAATGGGTGATTTTCAGGGTCTATGTTTATTTACCAGAGGGTATGTGGGGGCTCACCATTTATTGGGGGACGACCGGGGGACTTATGTTCTCACTTGCCTAAAAAAAACATCAAAAAGGATGACAAAGGATCAAAGAACAAAGTCCAAAGCAATGGAATCTGCCGGTCATTAGATGCTGATATATCTGATTTGATGTTTATCAACCAACCATCAAAAAAATAGAACAATATCCTACGAAAAGAGTGACACAGCACTGTTCTATCCAGCAAAATAACAACATGTTATTCATGTTTGCTGTTACTATTGCCCACCTCATTTTTACATATACCATTTACCATCATTATTATTGCTGGTTTTGTTGCTATATAATTAATTACTGTTGCTTATTACTACTATGTACTATGTAATTATCCAGTACTGCCAGTAACTCTATCATTACAAGTCCTATTGTCATCATATGTGATCAATAATGTAATACATTTTATCCACTTTTATCATTATAAATATTATAACTATATAACCATCATATAACTATATAATACAGTCCATCATTACATATCATATTATAACTATATTAACTATATATATAACTATATAACTATATAACCATCATATAATGTCAACCCCGGATTAATAAACCCTGGTTTATTAATTAGGGGGGGTACCCTTCCAATAGTCATAATATGATACTTAAATGGTACCCTCCCAATTAAACAATCTAGGGGTTTATTAATCCAGGGTTGACACGAACCATCATATTATAACTATATATAACCGTCACTATCCACTGGCATCATTCAACCATCCGACCATCGATGACCATCGCCTGTCCAGGATCACTGCAGGCGCTCCAGCTGCTCCATTCCGTCATCTGTGGGAACATCCGAAGCCATGGGTTTTCTGTCACCAGAAAAAAAAAACATAAAAAACATTATGTAGGGGGTTCCAGATTCAGTTTTCCCATCATGCAATTCTTAGATGGTTATAGTTATTATATATGTGTATATTTAGATATAAGATGATGTAAGACCATAAGGTTGGAATATGGAGTATGTTCAGCAACTATTCTGGGGGTGTAAATGTCAATAGTAGAAAACCAACTGTATTTTCATATTTTGGCATATTTTGCAGGGATATATCATGTGATGTGACGGTGACAAATATAACCGAAGCTACACTATTACTTGGTTTGTATGTATACTTGGTTGTCCCTTTGTTGAGTTACTTTGTTGTCCATTGTATGGTGTTTGAGGAGGGTTCATATCTGATTGAATTGAATAATATTGATGATTCCCGTTAAATTCCATAGACTTTCCTCATCTTCCAGTTTCCGGTCGGAGAGGTGAAAGCCATTTTGATGACCTTCTCAAAGGCAAGTGGAAAGCTAGGCATTGACAAGAAACTTGAGACATTTTGGGAGCATTATCTATCATTTGGGTTTGCCTGGAAATATGCTAGTGTTCAATTCCGTATGATCATGATCATCATATTCCCACTGCACATTGACATCAAGCTGTATGACCCATTTACAGGTCATCAGTCTGTTGACCCATGTTGACCCATGTTGACCCAGCCACCTTGCAATCTCGTGGGCTCAAGCAATCCGCAGCACATCTCTTTGTGGCTTCCAGCGGTCCGTTGCAGGGCTCGCCGCATTTGTTGTTCACGTTCTGGCACCGGCTGATGGCCGCAGGCCATGCTGAATACCAGCAAGGCCCCGCATTGACCGAGGATACTTGGCTTTATTGATGCAAAATGTTTTAAATAGTCGTTTTGATGTGCAAAATGGTTTAATTAATCGTTGTTTTGATGTTCACTCCTCAACAACTTACATTCAGCTGCACTGGACAGAAAGTTTGGAAAACCCTCCGCTGAACAGCAAGTCTCTCTGGATTCGGTCCAGGACAACCATCGCTAGTCCTTGGTGTCCTGCATATCATTCTTACTCTAGCTGATCTAGCTGGGTAGTATATGTCATTATATATCCTACTTAGTGTATATCATGTACAATGCTTATTATATGTATATGTGATTGTATGTGGTGATATATGGTCATATATGATAATATATGATTATATATTATTATAATTATATGATTAATTATATATGATTATATATAATTATATGTATATATATATATTATGCATATCTCTCTCTCTGTGTATAGTAATACTAATATATAGACATATCATATATCCATTTACGTAATAGAACTACAACATTTTTTTATTCCCCATGGCCACCCTGGCCATGCTTCCGACAACTTCCGACAACTTCGCGGCCTGGACCACACGGCTGCGGGTGCAAAGGCCCTCGCAAGTTGGCTGCTGCCAATCCGACCACGGGCTGAAGGTACAGGGGATGGGAATGCAATCCCTCAGCAGATCGGCTGGGATGGGAACATTGGGAACGGTTCGATCATCGAAAAAACATGAAAAAACGTGACCTCCGAAAATACTGTGTTGAGGTTGGTATCATGTTAAACCTGCTGGAAAAAATGGAACATATATATATATATAGGAGTTGTCAAATGGGATCATTGTCGTTAATTGGTGGCTCCGGTTACTGTAGTATGGTGACCCCACAACATTTTGAAACCACCATTGCAGTCGAGATGGAGGGTTGCGGATTTCTGTTCCAGCCCGATAGCAGCTATGTGCTTGCTTGGTCAAAATTATTGGGTTTGTCTTCCCAAGCAAACCTGAAACGTCCTCTGGAAACTACGCACCAACAACCAACATCCAACAACCAGAATGGAGCTGGAAACATTGGAAACTCATGATTCTCATTAGTCGATTTTATCATTCAGTTCCCAACAAAATATTCCCCAAATTATCATCTTCTCAACTTCCTCGTCCACTCTTTGGCCAAGCATCTGACAGGGATGGGTGTAGGGGCACTCAGTCTGGTTCACCTGAGCACCTGCGCATTTCATGCTGCTGTTCACTTCGAACATGGCGCCGTCCACGGGTCGATTTCGATGGAGGCCTGGGTGGTCGAATGTGGTCGATGGTGCCGTTTCAAAAAGACTTACGTTTGGTGGTGCCTTGTAGTTCACGGAGCTGGCTTTGAACATCTTTGAACTAGATTGGCTAAGGTTTACATATTATGTTCACGCACGCACATATATATATATATTAGAGATAGATAGATAGATAGATAGATAGATAGATAGATAGATAGATAGATAGATAGATAGATAGATAGATAGATAGATTTATTTTTTGTCAGGGCTTCGCGAAGGATTTGCCCTACCAATTGGCTTGCATCCTTGTGCAGCAAAGTATTGTTCATGTTGAGTCCACAGTATTGATTAACCAAAAGGTACCAAACGTTTCGAAAGTTTATGGTTACTGGTTGATTAACAACTATGGTTCAATGGGTAAGCCAACTTTTCCCGGGGCCAGCATTCATATTCAACACCCCTGCGAAAATAAATGCTTCCATCTATATGATCAAATATGTGCACATCCCCGACTAAACCATGGTTTATGGGGGGATGTTTAAAACATTTTAAAACTAAGGGAAAACAAATGGCCCAACAAAAGCAATGGTCATTGTTGTTCCTGAACCATGTAAACTATAATTCTGACTGGCACTTTCAACCCATCCCAAACTGGTCGCTTGGGATCACCATCTCCGACCCATGGCCCTTGGGCGCCCGAGCCCAGAGTTCTGGTGATCATCACAGCAGTCTCCCCACAGGTGCCATCACAACGCGGCGTGGACCACTCGTTCCAGGCGCAGAAGAGCCTGCAGGGGGATCATTCCAAAACATCTTCATTTCAACATCTTTCAAATGTGTAAAATATGTATCAAAAAATAGGTATATAATCTAGATGTATTTAGTATATAGTTTCTTCAGATTGCATATGTTGGGGTCCCATTGGTGTTGGTTTTTCAGCAACTGTGTATCCTTGATGGATACAGGCAGAGATCAACACTAGCCGTTAGCCCATTTGAGGCGATGAAAAAAAACGGTTCAAAGGTCATACTGTCAACAAAAAACTCGTGACGAAACACGGGTGACCATGAACACGGATGATTTTAAGTTATGCTTTCTTTTTAAAAAAACATGTATATTTTAAAAATCATGTATATGTATACACATATATATATATATAATGGATATGCATGGATCCTCATGTACATCACAGTAAAAATTGCCAAAATCAGTGGTTTCTGTCCCATATTTTCCCATAATCCAAGCGCCTCTCTGAGCACAGGGGTGAAGCAGGACAATCGGACACCTGTCGCATTGGCGGAGACGCAGCTGGGGGATAAGTCTCTTTTTTCAAGACACAGCTGAGGGGTTTGATAGATTTTGACATAGTTTTTAAGTCTTTGACTATCCACCTGTTTTTTGATAGTTGTTGTCACTATCCACCCGTTTTTTGACGTTGTTTGATAGTTGTATTCCATATCCCCAATCCAAGCGGCTTCCATATCGGGGCGTCTCCCAATGGGATGGTCATGATGGTCATGATGGTCATGATGGTCGGCCCAAAAAGGACACAAAAATTAGTCGTTATTTGGAAAGAGTGGCCACTCATTCAAAATCATTATATTGATATTATTGGAAAGAGTGAGCTTTCCATTTTTGGGCTGTTTTTTTTCAAAATCATGGTATACGCCACTTATTCAAAAAGGAATCAGAGTGGCCAAAATCTGTGCCGTGGCAACCTTTGACCCACGACCATTCCAACATGACGATCCGTGGGTAGCTTCACCTCGGAAGCCCCCGGTAGGGCCTCTTTGGAACTCTGCAGGTCGCACCGCTTTCCGCAGTAATTTCTGGGAATTTTTGGGGTTTTTTTTCAAAATCATGGTATACGCCACTTATTCAAAAAGGAATCAGAGTGGCCAAAATCTGTGCCGTGGCAACCTTTGACCCACGACCATTCCAACATGACGATCCGTGGGTAGCTTCACCTCGGAAGCCCCCGGTAGGGCCTCTTTGGAACTCTGCAGGTCGCACCGCTTTCCGCAGTAATTCCTGGGAAGGCATCTGGGCTGGAAAATGGTATGTTCCCCCGATTCTTCCTTGCACAACATGTTCATAATATCTATCTATCTATCTATCTAACTATCTATCTATCTATCTATCTATCTATCCAATCCAATCCAATCAAATCAAATCAAATCAAATCAAATCTTATCTATCTATCTATCTATCTATCCTATCTATCGATCTATCTATCTATCTATCTATTAATCTAATCTAATCAAATCTAATCTATTCTATCTATCTATCTATCTATATATATATGTGTGTGTGTATGTAGATATGTAGATATGTAGATATGTAGATATGTAGATATGCAGATATGTAGATATGTAGATATTCATGTATGTATGTATGTATGTATGTATGTATGTATGTATGTATGTATGTACAGTATGTATGTATGTATGTATGTATGTATGTATGTATGTATGTATGTATGTATGTGTATATATATACATATATATATATATACATATACATATGTTATATGATGTTATATGATGTTATGTATATGTAAATATATATATATGTGTCTGTAACACGATGCAATGCAATGCAATGCAATGTAATTGACATACAATCAATGTAATGCATGAATGTATGCAGTATACATTTATGCAAGAATGTATGCATGCATATAAGTAGGTACCATTTATGCAAGCATATATGTGCGAGAATCATGCACATTTTATTACACATGCATATAATAACACTTGGCAGTCGTTCAACGGTTTCCTTTTGAGGTCGTGGTTAAGTGACATCAAGCCACAGGATATGTAGAAAGATGTAGAAACTTGCTGTACATGACCCCCAACGCGTTTGTCCTCACCAACCTACTTGACTCAACCCATTAATTGAACCGTCATCAAGCAAGCATAGGGATTTGTCTTAGAACTAGGGCGCTCCCAACTCTGATTGGTATCATCATTCATCATTTTTGCTATTGAAATGGCCACAGCTGCGGGGTATACTTCATTTCCAGACATACCTAATATTAAACACCCCCTAAATCCAAATAAGTGTACATCCATGTAAATCCCCTACTCAACCAAGGTTTATGGGCGTGTTTTATGGATTCTTAGGGGGTTTTATGGATTAGATCACCTCCATCTCAATCCAAGTGGCGGCATGATGTCAATGGTTCGATGTCTGTATTTCTGTCCACCGCAGGTGGGGCATTGACCCCACACGCTCCAGGGGCCCCAAACACAGTCCTAGCGCTTTAAAGGCGCTTTAAAGGCGCCGGATCATCACGTGCTGTGGAGATTCCATGCAGAATTTGAATTAACCCCATGAATATCCAATGATATGATGCCAACCAAATTTACCTGGTTGGTGGTTGACCTACTCCTCTGAAAAATGATGGAGTTCGTCAGTGAAAAATTATGACATTCCCACTATGACGGGAAAATAAAATTCATGTTCCAAACCACCAACCAGTATAATTTGAATGATCATCCTAATCAGTGATCAAACATTCACATGCCAATACTCGCCCCGGGTCGCAGTGCATCCAACGACCAGGCGATGTCCTGACAACGATGTGCCGCACAGTGCTGAGTATTACCTTGGCGCAGCGTCAGCTTGGTGTATCAGAATGACATAGCCATGGACAATTGCCATTCTTTATAGGTACAATGTGGGCCCCCCCAGTTATAAGTTGGTTTATAAACCCCATTAACTATAGTTATAAGTACCATAGACTCATAAACCATGCATAGTGAAATTGGAATTATGTTCACCAACTTAGCTATCTTGGGGGCCCCACATTGTATATATGGGTAAATATAGGTAAACTATGGTAAATCAACTACGGGGCCATGTTGCATAGCTACATCATGCTACATCTTTCATGACCAGAGGGCCAGAGGGTTCGGTTGACCAATCTTCCGCAGCATTAATCTGATTCTGGAAAATTGAGGCATGACAAATGGTTATTCTGGGGCATTTCACGTGTTGAATACATATTTAGAATATAATATGACTGAATCTATCTTGTGGGGTCTGCACTTTACCACCTCCGCTGGGTAATCCGTTGTTGATCTCATCCCTATGAAACCGACCCCCAAACGAAAGCCGGATGATGAATCATTGATTAATTACTCTTCATTTTGGGATGCCAAATTTATGGATAGTGATAGACAACCAGGATCATGAATTACTATCAAATCAATCTATCAATGTATAATCACTATCATTAATGACGCATGTTGTCCACATGTTTGGTCGAAAATGACCAGGATCCCCAGGATCCCCCAGGCCAAGCTGCATCCAGAGGTTTCCAGCAACGCATCGACGCAGGGAATGCCGCCGCCCATGGCGCTTTGCTTCACCGTGCGCACGCGATTGCGCTGGCCACCACCGCAACTCACCGTGCAGTGGGACCAGTCCTGCGGTGTTTGTGACTAGGCCCGGCGTGCCGGCGTGGCACCCTGCGGAGTTCACAGGATTGCACCGTAATTCGCCAACAGTTGAGATGTGTTTCTTTTCTTTTCATCAATATAGGTAAATCAACTATAAATGGGCCATTTTCCATGGCTATGTTAAATAACCAGAGGGTAACCCCATGAATATCCAATGAAATGATGCCAAATTGACCTGGTTGGTGGTTGACCTACCCCTCTGAAAAATGATGGAGTTCGTCAGTTGGGATGGTTATTCCCAATATATGGAAAAATAATGAAAAATAAAAGCAATGTTCCAAACCACCAACCAGTGTAAATTAAGTTGGTGATGGCTGGGCCGGGCCGGCTGAAGGGAAAATCCCCAGGAAATCTGATCCCAAGTTGAGCTGTGGCTCCTCCCATTCATTCAGCTTGCAATCGAGCTGTCGGATGTTGCTACAGTCCGCAGGCCTGGCCCCGCCGCGAAAGCCATGGGCGTTCTCATGGCTTTTGCTGGTGTAGTCATGGCATCTGGATGAATAATAATAAAAATAATAATGATAGTAGCCATAATATGCCATAATAATCTAATGATATCTAATGATAATGATGCTTCAAGGCCTAAATTTTCACCTCATGGGCATTGCTTACCTGTTCATCACTTTGTGGTGAGGTGAGCTTGCTGTGAAGTCGTTGAAAAATCAGGAGATGATCCCAACATTGTAAGAGGCCCACCCACTTATTATGGGATCTGATAAGCTGCTTTAAAATAACCCCAATCATTTATGATATAATATGATATGGCAGTGTGTCAAAACCTTGTACCCCTGGTGAATATCAAAATAGCTGGTAAATTTATGGATGTTCATTCCCCTAAAAATGGTATGAATAGGTATTGATCCATACCCATATCACATTGTCCCACGTAAATCCGAGTTAGCGACTCTTTCCTGGCCTGAGTTCGCGTGGACCTGGATTGCAGGGCTCGATCTCCTTCAACGTCTCGTTAAAGCAAACAGCACCTCGGTTCACAAAACCGCTGGAGAAATGCTACCCAGCTGGTTCCTATAGGTCTGGTCATGTGGGGAAAAGAAATGATATATGACATAGATTTTCTATATGTATGTGTATATTACATAATGTTACAAATTACAAACATATATATGTATATACAATATACATATATATATATATAACATATGTTATGATACATCCTACTAGAACTCGGCTCAAGAGCATCTTAGAACATCTCATAACATATTATGACATTCGATGACTCCTGCATTGCAATTAACCACTTGTGAACCAGGATGAACCTCCAAGTGCTACTGAAAGCAGTCTTCCAAACCATCACTCGATATCACTCGTGAGCCACGGTTGGTTTTTGTTGCCGATATTTTCTGTAAAACACCATATATTGATATCCATTGACAAAGTGTGGTTGTCTCCACATTTCTCAAACTTCACAGGGGGCATTGTCTCCTGTGCTATCCTGTGGTCTCCTGTGGTTGCAGGGCATTTCTAAGCCACTCACCACTGCCAGAGGGGAAGCGTGAGATGTATCGGGAGCGGCTGCGCATTCCAAAGCAGTGACAGCCTTGGAGGACGACGGGCTTGCTATGGTCGACTTGGGTGTGACGGGATCGTTCAAAAAGAACAAGTGATCACTGCAATTGCCTATATATAATAAGTATTTATATAATATACACATATATTATCATATATTTATTACTGTATATATATATATACAAACAAACATGCTTTTCACACACTCTGTGCCTCTCTCCTTTCTCAATCCTTCAGGAGCGCAGCTGCAATCCAGCACTAGTTCAGGTCAGGAGGCTGCAGGCGGTCCATTCGGCCCACTCCGAGGTTTGACAATCCACGTCCTCAAAACATCTGCCAGCATCAGGCGCCGAGCCCAAGAGATAGCTGTCCTCTGGTATATCAAACATAGCAATGGGAAATCCCCGCTTTCATTGAGTTTTTGATAGGAAAATCAATGAACATTATCTATAATCTCGACCCCCTATTAATAAAGGTCCCCCTAATAAAAAGAATGCCGGCGCTCGGGACCATTTTTTTTAATTGTTTTTCCATTCCGCCTATTGAAAACCAATACTACATGAGCCGAGAATAAATTAACACGCCTCGTCGAGCTTATTAGGGGGCATCCTAGCACAGCAATCGAACTTTTCGAGGACTCCATCCGTGTGTGTGTGTGCACACCGTTATCACAAATGGTTCCATTTTCATCTAAAGCAGGGCTACTGGAGCCAATTTGCCTATCCAGTCCAACGAAGCTATAGCAGTACCCGCTTGAACTGTTGAATAAGCGGGCCCGCAATGCCCTCAAGGGGTCAAAAAACATTACTGCTACTGCCACTACGACTGCTACTACCCCTACTACCACTCCTTTCGCTACTGCTACTGCTAGTGCTGCTGCGACTGCTCGTGCTACTGCTACTACTACTACTACTACTACTACTACTACTTCTTACTACTACTACTACTACTACTACTACTAGTACTACTAGTACTACTAGTACTACTAGTACTACTACTACTACTACTGATACTACTACTACTACTACTACTACTACTACTACTACGACTACTACTACTACTACTACGACTACGACTACGACTACGACTACGACTACGACTACGACTACGACTACTACTCTTAGAATTGTTTGGTTCTTTACTGCCAATTGTGTCAAGTGTTATGCATGGCCAGAAAAGGGTCTGAAACAGTCTGAAACAGGTCTGAAACATCCACATCTCCAGGATCTCAGCCCGGGTCTAGCTTTTACCAATATTGTCCTAGTTTCAGTCTTCAAATTTCCATGTCTGTCTGTTTCACCTCTCGTCTCTTGTAGATGCCTTTCTGACTTGTTGCTTTTTCCCCTTCCACGCGACCTTTTGCCCCTTGGTCGCAAATGACAGCGCACTCGTATGTTCAAGGGGGCCCTCAATGCCGTGAAGGGGTCCGAATACATTACTTTGACTGCTACCACTACTGCAACGACTACTACTACTACTACTACTACCACTACTACCACTACGACCACCACTACTACTACTACTACTACTGCTGGTAGAATTGTTTGGTTCTTTGCTGGCAATAGCTTTGACCAATATTGTCTTAGTTTCAGTCTTCAAATTTCCATGTCTGTCTGTTTGGCCTCTTGCCTCTTGTAGATGCCTTTCTGACTTGTTGCTTTTTCCCCTTCCATGCTACCTTTTGCCCCTTGGCCGCAAATGACAGCGTAGTCGTATGCTCCAGGGGGCCCGCAATGCCGTCCAGGGGTCAGAAAACATTACTGCGAATGCTACTTGTACTGTTATTACTACTACTACTACTACTACTGTTATTACTACTACTACTACTACTACTACTACTACTACTACTACTAGTAGTACTACTACTACTGCTGGTAGAATTGTTTGGTTCTTTGCTGGCAATAGCTTTGACCAATATTGTCTTAGTTTCAGTCTTCAAATTTCCATGAGTGTCTGTTTGACCTCTTGCCTCTTGTAGATGCCTTTTCTGACTTGTTGCTTTTTCCCCTTCCATGCTACCTTTTGCCCCTTGGCCGCAAGTGATAGCGTACTAGTATGTTCCAGGGGGCCCGCAGTGCCTTCAAGGGGTCAGAAAACATTACAGCTACTGCAAATACCACTACTACTACACTACTACTACTACTACTACCACTACTACTACTACTACTACTACTACTACTACTACTACTACTACTACGACTACGACTACGACTACTACTCTTAGAATTGTTTGGTTCTTTACTGCCAATTGTGTCAAGTGTTGTGCATGGCCAGAAAAGGGTCTGAAACAGTTTGAAACAGGTCTGAAACATCCACATCTCCAGGATCTCAGCCCGGGTCTAGCTTTTACCAATATTGTCCTAGTTTCAGTCTTCAAATTTCCATGTCTGTCTGTTTGACCTCTTGCCTCTTGTAGATGCCTTTCTGACTTGTTGCTTTTTCCCCTTCCATGCGACCTTTTGCCCCTTGGTCGCAAATGACAGCGCACTCGTATGTTCAAGGGGGCCCTCAATGCCGTGAAGGGGTCCGAATGAATACACTACTTCGACTGCTACCACTACTGCAACGACTACTACTACTACTACTACAACCACTACTACTACTACTACTACTACTACTACTTCTACTACTACTACTACTACTACTACTACTACTACGACTACTACTGGTAGAATTGTTACTACGAAGCTATGGCATTTCGGTGGATGAGTGGTCTGATCAACCACTGGTACCTGCTTGAACTGTTGAATAAGCTTTTCTTCTCAGGTTGTTGAGGTATATTCCGACAGGTTGGATTTTCGATTTTCCTCACAGTGTGTGTCAATGAAATCGTGCTTGTGACTGTCGGTGCAACTGTCTTTCACATGCAAATAACGCTAGTACTAGTACTAGTAGTGGTAGTCGTAGTAGTAGTAGTAGTAGTAGTAGTAGTAGTACGTAGTAGTATAGTAGTAGTACTAGTAGTAGTAGTAGTAGTAGTAGTAGTAATTAGTAGTACTAGTAGTACTAGTAGAAGAAGAAGTAGTGGTCGTAGTAGAAGAAGTTAGTTTCTTGAGGTTGAAGTCCCTTAAATAAACAGTCTGAAACAGTCTGAAACAAGTCTGAAAATGCACTAATTATTCGAATCAGACAAGGTCGGGGGGGGGGCCGACCGGTTTGCTTTGATGCCTTAAGAAAAAGTCCATGTGCTGCTACTGGGCTTTCTTTCATTCCTTTACTCCTGGCTTCTTTGCCCCCCTTCCACATGTTCCTTTGTCCCTTGGCCGAAAGAATCCAAACGAAAAAATTGGTTTGAAGGGGAAGCATGCTGCATCGAAGGGGCGTCGTGGCAGTTGTGATCATCGTCACGAAGGTAGTAGTGGTGTAATCAGCCTTGCGTCAGTGGTGGAATCAGATTCAGTTCTGATCATCGTCAAGGCGGGTAGTCATTTACACCCAATGCCTCAGTAGTAAACGTCGTGGTCGTAGCATCGTAAGTATCACTAGTAATAGTATCCGTACTAGTAGTACGAGTGGAAGAAGAAGTAGTAGTAGAAGAAGTAGTACTAGTTGTCGTACTAGGAGTAGTAGTACTAGTAGTGGCAGTGGTGGTCGTAGTAGTACTAGTAGTAGTAGTAGTAGTAGTAGTAATAGTAGTAGTACTAGTAGTACTAGTAGTACTAGTACTACTAGTAGTACTAGTAGTACTAGTAGTACTAGTAGAAGAAGAAGTAGTGGTCGTAGTAGAAGAAGTCAGGTTCTTGAGGTTGAAGTCCTTTAAAAAAACACTCTGAAACAGTCTGAAACAAGTCTGAAAATGCACTAATTATTCGAATGAGACAAAGGGAGGGGCGCACCGGTTTGCTTTGATGCCTTAAGGAAAAGTCCATGTGCTGCTACTGGGCTTTCTTTCATTCCTTTACTCCTGGCTTCTTTGCCCCCCTTCCACATGTTCCTTTGTCCCTTGGCCGATAATACAAACGACAAAATTGGTTTGAAGGGGAAGCATGCTGCATCGAAGGGGCTCATGGCAGTTGTGATCATCGTCACGAGGATGGTAGTCGTGTAATCAGCATTGTGTCAGTGGTGAAATCACAGTTTCAGTTGTGATCATCGTCAGAGTCTTTCAGGCTTTGCATGTGAAGGTTTGGGGGCATGTAAGGATTTTGTAAGAGTAGTAGCCATTGTCGTCGAACGAGAGAAAAAATATATAATTCGTTGTGCTGCTATGGCGAGGGTAGTGATGGTCGAAGCAAGCGTGGTAGTAATCGAAGCAGTCGTAGATCATGCCAATGCGAGGCAAACATGGCCAAACATAATATGGTATCTTGGTAGCTTCATCATAAGAACTCCTGCAAATTCAAAGAGAATCAGTCATCAGGCAACATAATTTATTACAACAGATAGCGCCACCCTGCCCCCCTAATAAAAAGAATGCGTTCCCAAAATTTCGAATTTTATTATTAGGGGGGGGGGGAGGGGGGGGGGCCCCGTTTATTAATAGGGGGTAGGGATTAAATAGCCCATGTTCCATTGGAATTTTCCATAGCATTCCATGTGAGGCAGGAAATTCCTGGTCCAAAAACCACAAGAGCCCCGCCTGGGTGCAGGAGGGCAAGTCCTCGCATTTTTCCATCTCCTCCCTGAGGCCCACCTCAGAAATTGCCAGTTGAACACACCATCAATGGCCATTCCAGGAACCTAAATTGGAGGTACCTACCATATATAAAGGCCTATGTAAGGCCTATGTAAGGCCTATGTAAGGGAATATCCCCCCAAAATATGGCCTTATATGATACAGTACCTCCATTTTAGGATCCTGAAATTCCCATTGACACCATGCCACATCTGGTTGGTGGTTGACCTACCCCTCTGAAAAATGATGGAGTTAAAGTCAGTTGGGATGATGAAATTCCCAATCTGATGGAAAAATAATCCTAATGTTCCAAACCACCAACCAGTAAATACTATTACAAATGTATCTGGAGTTGTTTTTTCTCAAACCATCAACAATTGCTATATAATTGTCCATCATTGCTATGTTAAATCATCGAAGGGTTTTGAAACCACCAACTGCAGTAGGCTCTGAAGAAGGCCCGTAGCCGCTCTATCCCTGGCAATCTCAAAAAGAAGCAGCTTCAGCATGAGAAGCCACATGTAATATATGTGTTTTGTTCACCCCCTCAGCTGTTGGCGGTGGCATTGCCGCAGTAGTTGGCGTGCACCGCAATGTTCCTGGCTGCAAGGCCAATCCAGAACCATGCAAACATGCAACCTTTAGGCCAAGAAAGGGCCCAGTCAATGAAGCCTGGACCATCAAATCAAAAGTAAGTATATATTTCTTTTCTCCATGTTGCTTTTATGGCACAAAAATGCACTTCTTGATGGCCAAGAAAGTTTCAATCGGCAACCTTTATATCACCCCTACAGGTTCAGTAAACCACTGCAAACATGGTTTGGAACGCTCTTGCAGCCATTCGTCATTAGTCAGATTTTCTTGATGCCCTGCTGGTTTGTTGCTCGGGGTTCCGAGCCTCTGAGCCAGTTGGTTTCACCAGGAATCCGGGGGCCCACCGCCGTTCCAGCCCCTCCCAGTCGCCGTTCTCGCCGCCTTCTCCGGAAACGATAGGCGTCGCCGCAGGTGCTACTGCAATCGGTCCATTCGCGCCACTGGCCCCATTCTCCGTGCTGACAGGCACCACCACAATTCTCCTCACCTCGATGAGCCAGGCTTAGGGTGAATCAACTGGGGGTTGAGCAAACTGGATTTGCTCCTGAAAAGTCAGAAGGGCATAGGGAATGTGATGAGAACATCTACGGGAAACCCGGATGAGAAATTCTCTCCGTGCAATGCTCTTGCAAGTGCGAGGATGAGAAATTGTTTAAACATGTCCAAAACACGAAACACCATGAAACACCGTGAAACACTGTGAAACATATGAAACACCATGAAACACAATCTATTGAGGACAGCAAGAACCCAACTTGGACAAGCGTTGAGAGGAGAGGAGCGCTGCGCATTGTTTCACCAAAGAGTGGATAGTGAAGAAGGAACCCTTCCCCTTCAGCAATGTGGTAACTGTAAGCCATGGCCAACCCAACAATAAACTGAGCCCAATATTTTGCAGTTTAGGAATCTTTACGGCCCCAATATTTTCAGGTTTACCACATAAGAAATGGTTTCACCATGGTTCACCACATTAGCGCTATATAATTACAGGATAACTATTAGTGAGACTAACTCATTAGTTATACAAAAAAAATAATGCTATACATATATACGTATATTACCATTAGATAACATTAGTGCTATAAGAGACTTCTGATGTTTGGACTGTTGATAACTCTTGCAGGCGAGGCATTAAGAGGCAAGAACTTTCCAGTATCCTCCAAGCGCATGGGGGTGTCAACTGGAGGACCCCTCCCACCACGTTGGAAGAAACCAGTTGGCAAACCGTTTGGGCAAACCTAATTTGGGCATTGTTGATCATATCTTTAAACATGGTCTGTATTTCTCGTTGGTAGGTTCAATGTCCTTCAACTTCTCAATTGTTTTTCTCAAAACAATATGAGGCTCATTTATCATCACTAGTTCAGTCCAAATGTATCCAAATGTTCCTTTTCTATTATTGTGAGGCCCCCAAACGATAGCTAAGTTGGTGAACATAATTCCAATTTCACTATGGTTTATGCTACTTATAACTGTACTTCCTGGGTTTATAAACCAACAAATCAATGGATTGGTTTAAGGGAAAAATTACAGGAAAGCCCCATATTTCATGGGAAAATCGATGGTTTCCGGTTAAGATTTTCCCTTAAACCAATCCATTGAACAAACATCACTGGGCGGCCCAACGATTTTCCGCGTGACTCAAACGCAGCCAAGGCACCACAGGGTGCCACTTCCACCTTGTGATGCGGCACGCAGGGCGCTCCACCCACCGGGGACACGGCGATGTTGCGGCTCCTGGTGCAGCATGCCAGCAGCCTTATAGTTGATTGATTGATCGATTGATTGATTGATAGGTAGATAGATAGATAGATTGATTGATTGATCGATTGATTGATTGATAGGTAGATAGATAGATAGATTGATTGATAGATAGATTGATACGTAGATAGATAGATAGATAGATAGATAGATAGATTGATTGATCGATTGATTGATTGATAGGTAGATAGATAGATAGATAGATTGATTGATTGATAGATAGATTGATAGGTAGATAGATAGATAGATAGATTGATTGATCGATTGATTGATTGATAGGTAGATAGATAGATAGATAGATTGATTGATCGATTGATTGATTGATAGGTAGATAGATAGATAGATAGATTGATAGATAGATAGATAGATTGATAGATTGATTGATTGATAGGTAGATAGATAGATAGATAGATAGACAGACATACCATTTTCACTATAGCTAAGTATCATAAACCATTTGAAGTATATACCCAATTCACTCAAAACAGTACGAATATCGAGTTTATATACGTGTAGAATATTGGAGAACCTTAAAAAGACTTATATAGATACTTATAGTCTCCCCCATATGTGGGTTCGTAATATCCTCGAAAAACTCTTCTATCTTACTGTGAGAGACTATGCATTTGGTTGTTGTCCATAGGCAAAAGACAACTGGTTGGTGGTATACCTACCCATCTGAAAAATATGAGTTCGTCAGTTGGGATGATGAAATTCCCAATATGATGGGAAAATAATCCAAATGTTCCAAACCACCAACCAGCCTATTACTGATGGTTATATCCCATTCTTGGTGATTATGACCATCAATAATGGGATATGTATATATATATTATCATAATATAAATGGGATATTCAATGGGATATCATTTCAACATGATTTGTTGAACAAATTTCTGGCTGATTCTTGAAGTTGGATGCATTGCGGACTGTGATGAAACTTCCTCCGTTGCAAATGGGTTTTTTGAGACTCTACATGACAAGAATCCAAATATATATATATATATACATATAAATATGATGAAGTCTGGAAGATAATTTTCCTAGTTTTTTTCTTGGCCATCTTTCTGTTCCATGCCCAAATCCGACAAATGTATATACCCCCAATTTTACTTGGCTTTCTTTGATCTCTAGGGGCATCGTCGCCGCTGTCCCTGTCCAAGTGCCTAGTTTTGGTGCCACCACCGCAAGTCACACTGCAGGTAGACCATCGCTCCCAGTCACTCCAGCGGCAGTCAATGACCTGCGCCGCCCTGGTTCAGATCCTACCCTCTGGTAATTTAACATAGCTACGAGTATTGAAAACGGCCAAAGAAATAGTTTTACCCATTAAAAATTGTGATTTTCCATAGTTATGTTAGTTTACCAGATCCTAAATGATAGTGTCACCGCATCAGCCCGCAGTGGTTTAAACATGTCTAAACTTGGATTCTACCGTCCCAAATTTGCTTGATTGCCCACCATCTTTTTGGGTGGCCCTGAAATTGCCAATTCCAAGAATCAATAGTCTCATCGAATCGGGCTTCAAAATGCTAGTATATCAAGTGAAGAGGCTACTTGCCTAGAATGTGCAGAGGAAAACTATGCTATGCTGTTTACAGTTGTTTGAATTCCAAATGCACGAAAAAAAACGGGGTTTTTGAGGAGGCTACGCCCCATCCCGCCTGGCAATCTTGGATCTTGCACACTTTCACCTCTTGTAGGGAACCCTCACCTCAGAGGAGATGGATTTGGTTAAGATCAGGATAATCAAGAATAAGTACCCTCTGGTAAACTAACATAGCTATGGAAAATCACGATGTTTAATGGGAATATACACTATAAATGGTCATTTTCAATAGCTACGTTAAATTACCAGAGGGTAATCAAGAATAAGTACTTCAGTGAAGAATCAAAATCATCTTCATCAAACATCGTCATCGGCATCGTCGTCATCATCATGATCATTTTCCTTACAGTGTATATCTTTCCACATGGTATGGGTTCCATGATGATAACCACTAATCATAGCAAAAAATAATGATCATCAGTGATTGCTATTAGTAATGCCATTGTAGTGCTATCAATGGAGGGATGTTCATCATGATGGTCATCTATGATAATCATATTTAATCAGGATGATAATCATCATATCTACTGGCTAGTTATATATCATGGCGGCATGGCGACAATCATGGATGATAATCTATATATGGCAGTGTGTCAAAACCAATAGTACCCCTTTTTTGTTCACATCAAAATAGCTGGGATTTATGGATGTTCATCCCCCTAAAAATGGTATTAATAGGTATTGATCCATACCCATATCATCATCATTGCCAGGTGGTGCCCAGTCACAGGGCTGACCGCCATCGATCGCCAGCTGCGCCACTTTGCGGCTGCGCACCCGGGAGCCTTCACCTCAGCCGCAACTGGAAACGTGGCTGGGCAATCTCCGAACTGGAGGCTTGAAATGGCAGTGTGTCAAAACCTTGTACCCCTGGTGAACATCAAAATAGCTGGTAAATGGATGTTCATCCCACTAAAAATGTATCTATAGGTATTGACCCATAGGCAAATGGGTCCCATGGAAAATGATCTAACTAAAGGGATGAAAAATCGATTTTCCAGCCAAGTTTGATTGCCATATCATATGTTGTCTGTTCAATTATGATATATTCCCGTTGTATAAGTCCCAATAGACACCATTGATTCACATCATTGTTTCCATATGATGCCGAGGGGTCTCATGCATCTTGATGGAGAGGCAGATTCATGAAGGGCAGTTTAACCATGGTAGTAGCCCGCATAAGTTGGGCTGCTATAATTGTTGGGATCTAGCCCCTGGTGATCATAAGTTGTTTATACAAAATTATATAAGTATTGAGCTATATGGGAAATATACCATATATATTATATATATTATATAAATATATTATATATTATATTATATATATATCATATTCTTTATATATATATTATATATACATATTATATTATATATATATTATATTATATTATATACATATTATATTATATATATATTATAATTATATATATATGCGTGTGGCACATACTAGTCACCTCGCAATTCGTGCTCATCACATGAATGTCATCATCAGGTAAATGACTCAATCATATACAGGCGTCTCTATATACGTTTTTTTTATTGATTTTTGCATATAATAGAAGTGGGCAGGGCATGTGAGTCCCCGTCAATGTAACTGGTTAAAGGTCAAGAATGGCGCACCAATGGGCCCACAATGATGGTCATCTTTAGCAACTGTCGGGTTGACCCATCCCCAAGCAATCTTGCCCTTGTACGAAGCATATGGAAAGTTAGAGGGCCCACTGGTATATCGTTTATTATTCATTATCATCTACCACATTTACCTTTTGGTTGTGGGGACCATGGGTAAGCCGGGAAAAAATCCACCAAAACGGGAAAAGTCGGTGTTGTATTCGTCCCAGGACCCTGATCTAGTCTCTGGGTTCCGCACCGCAGGAAGAGGAGCAATCTGACCAAGCAGCCTGTTCTCTCAACTTGAAAGATGGAAATGGATGGAAATGGGTTATACCCTCTGGTAATCACACATGACAATCATGACCAGAAGGGTGCCAAGGGGAAACGAAATTTTTCAGCATCCGTGGATTTGGTTGGCCATTGCCATTTTCCGCAGTCGGGGGTATTTACCAAGGCATGCCCGTACCGTCTCGCCGTAGCCTGGATGCCAAAATGACGAGATTTTGGATGTTGTGAAAAACCATCACACACTGGCGATATGAAAATCACAAGAATCAACGTTGTATCTATATAAAATGTGAATACCCTCTGGTAATTTAACATAGCTATGGAACATCACCATTTTTAATGGGAAAATCCACTATAAATGGTCATTTTCAATAGCTATGTTAGTTTACCAGAGGGTAAATGTGACACATAGCACGCTGGCGTGTTTCTAGATGTCTGACTTAACCATCCTTCACCCAGCCAGCGTCCAAAAAACCGCCAAGCCACCCACTCTCCGAGCTCACAATCCTGTGGCCCAGTGGAGCTACAGCTTGCAGTGCCTCGAGAAACTTGGAGAATTTTTTGGAATCCTCAAACGCAAACAAACATGGCCTACTATATATATATATATGATATATATATATAATATATAATATATATATATAATGTATATATAATATATATATAATATACGTATATATAATATATAATATATTGATTCATTGATTGATTTATGTACTTATCAAATAGTAGATGTATACTATTTATGCTACAAGAAAAACATGAAATAGGATAATCTACATATATCTTTAGCCAGTTGGCTCCCACATAGGTCGTCCTTTTACACTGGTTGGTTGATCGGATTTCGCTCATGGATTGGGTAGTATAATCCTCGATAGTCATCAAGCAACCATCATTTATCAGTTATGTCCCATATATTATTATTTCGAGGGTGAAACAGCTATGACATCCATAGTTATTATCTATATTTTCTATGGTTATATCATAGTTATACCCCATTTTTTTCATGGTGAAACAGCTATTAAATCCCCAAATAGCTGTTTAACTAGGGATAATAAATGATGATTAACTTACCCTCTGGTAATTTAACATAGCTATTGAAAATGGCCATTTATAGTGAGT